CCCTCCCGACGGACAATAAGTCTAGGCCAATGGGTCACTGTCAGTAGACTATCCTAGCTCCTTTAAGAGCTCCATTTCATACTCAGCGCCAAGTCGGCCCTCTCGTCATTTCCGCTAACGAGTAGGATGTACCATATCGATGGCCCAAGTGCCAAACCACGTATCTCCAGTTCGGGGTTGCCACTATAGTGTATTTCGTTCCGAAAGTACGCTGCACTGGAAAAAAAAAAACACACATTGGATCTGAAGGTTCAGACTCTTAAAAACATCGACAAGAAAAAACACTCTTGATTCAATCGGATTTTTGCTTAAATCAAGAACCAAGCCTCTTAATTTGAGTGGATTTCCTTTTTATTTAAGCAAAAGTCTGATTGAATCAAGAGTATTTTTTCTTGACAATGTTTTCAAGAGTCTGGACTCTAGATCCAATGTGTTTTTTTTCCCAGTGCTTTGTGATAAAGATGGGAAAAGGAAGTTTAATACTGTTAGAATGAAATAATGTGGTTTAACTAAAAGAGAGTCTTCAAAGTTTTGAAAACTTTTATGGCACTTTGTTTTCAGTTGTATTTTAGTTCCTCAGATATCTATGATCGGGAAGTCCCGGGTTCGATTCCCGGCCAGGCGACCCGAGTTTGATGGTCTCGAATAATGGTTGCCTCGGACTTGTTGGACGGAGGGGGAACGGGACTAGAAGCGCAAGGATTAGCCCTTGTGGGCTATTTGAAGTAGTTAAAAAAAAAGATATTGCACATTTTAGCGATACCTGGTGACTTGACATCACCCATACCGATGATTAACGCAAGGGATTTAGAATGGATATCTAGACAAAGTATGAATTAGAGCACTGTGAGAGAGAGAGAGAGAGGGGAAAAAAAGAAAGAAAGAGAAAAAAAATACTCAAGCCCTCATGAATGATACTAATTAGCTACAGGTGACGAGTGCTGTGGCAGTAGACCATGCCCAATGGATAAAAAATGTTACCACCTGAATCAGGGCCGGATTAAGGAGTTGGCCACATGGGCCACGGCTCATGGCGGCAAATCTATAGGGGGCGGCAAATTTTGCGATTTTTTTAAATGTAGGTATAAAAAAAATCAAATTTAGAAAAAAAATACAAACGAGAGAAGGCGACAAAATACCTCATTTCTTGAGAGTATAGTAATTTCTAATTTTGTCGTCTTCCAGTGATTCAAGAGAAAGCACCTTTAATTAGTCGAGTTAAGAGAGAAATCAAATATGCAATTTGGCCTGGAACGGCCTGAACGACTTAGAGAGAAATGATGACGAGGACTTGAGATGAAAAGGAGAAGCCCTCGGCGCGGCGATCGGCATGTAACACATATTAGCGCCTACAAGACTGCACGAATACTTCACGCATTGCATCAAACACAGAGCGGTCATTGCGGTCAGCGTGAAACGGATAGCGCCTACAAGAATGCATGAATACTTCACGCATTGCGCCAAACTCGATGCGGTCTGCGTGGCGCGGCGGCGGAAGTTAAAATCGTTAATCCCTATTTATGTTTGTTCTTTCATAATTTTTTCGTTCATTTCTTATGAAAGGAAGGCCTTGTCCACACAGAGATAGACTTACGAAACTTAACTTTCGCGCAAAGTTCCGTGAACTTTTGCTAGTATTGTTGACAGGGCTTTCCCGAAAAATGTGTTCAACACGAGCAAACGCGTCTTATGCACCCCTCCTCCGCTGGACGTTCATTTGATGGTTTTTATTGATGTTTCAAAACGAATGAGAAGGGGGCGGCAAAATGCAGGCGGCCCATGGGCGACAAGTATAGATAAATCCGGCCCTGACCTGAATCAAAACGCTTCCTGGTACAGATTTTTGGCAAAAATATGACATTGTTTGCTTCTCTCTATACCTTAACAGACATTTACCTGAAAAACAAACAAGAAAAGACAAAATAATTTAGTAAATGAACACGAGAAAAGTAGAAAAGTTTATCTACTGATGAATTCAGGTTACTTATTCTTTCTTATAGGCCACTAGACAAGGAATGAATTGAAGCACTACGCAACATCTTTCCTCCTAAAAAATGTTACCAAAAAAATGAATATCACAGAATGGAGAGGTAGAAAATCAACTCCTGAACGAGATATGAGCCTTCACAATTAACACTACTTGAATGAAAAAAATACTAATGGCGTGATTTGTTTAATCTAACTTTCATTCATTTGGATTGCATTTTGCAATTAGGAACTACAACATCTGGCTCAAGTTAAAAACAGCTTATATGTCATAAGATTCCCTATGCAGATAGGTGTCTCAATGGATGAGCCTGAAGTTTTACCTCTTAAAGAACAAAATAGTCCATTTGATTCGTGTTAAAAGAATTTGTTAATGCCATCGTTTAGGGGTTGATTCTGGAACTGTCCGTTGTGTTAATCAATTTCCACCTATAGCATTTTGAAAAGAAAACATGTGACCTTTTTCTTCAAGTCAAGATGAATGTCTAGTGGCCCATTACGAACTGGGAATGGATTCTCCCAGAGGCAAAATTAGGTCCAATTTAATCTAACTGTCCTACAGTTTCTGACATTTATAAATGTGTTTTCTGACAAAGATGTGGCACTGCTGAGTGCTGCTCTATGATGTGCGGGGCCTTTTGTTCTAGACCGAGGAATTCAATGCCGGCGCGATTTCGCTACCGTTTGATGATATCATTCACGATACCTCCTCTGCTTATAAAATCAAACTTTCTATTTTTCAATTAATTTCGAGAAAAGTGGGGCTAAAAAGTCGTGTCTGACATGCGGATTCTTTTGTCTCATCTTGCCCAGCCGGATGCCTGGCGGAAGGGGGAATTGGTTTCGATGACTAACGTTTCTACTAGATGATTGATGCATGTCAAGATGCTAAAAAATTCTCTTCCCAGCCGATCTTTTCTCGAATTTGCCACACAGGGAGTTGGATTTGATAAGCTCATCGTACTCCGAAGTTGTAAAAAAACATCAAATTAATTGATGATAACGACAGTGCTCCCATTTCCCGGGACTTTTGAGATTTTCCTGAATTTTTCCCGGAACTTTTGAAATTCCCAAAAAATCCGGATCTTTGATATTTCCCGGAACTTTCTCGGAACTCCTGAAAAAATCTATAAGGAACCCCGGAACTTTTTACGGTCATGGAGTCGGAGACATTGCGACAAAAAATTTCCGGATCCCGGAACTTTTGACGAACATGGAATGGGACTGGATAACGAGAAGTTAATAATCTGCGCCGAATTCGCCGATATTCCGCACGGGGCCCTTTGAAGCAACCATAGTCCAAATTTACATATTTTCGAGGTGCTCGTTACGACCATGTTGAACGTTTGGTTGTCATTTTGAAACGGTAATAGATAGACATCCGAACCTCGTGTCAAAAAAATAACGTCATGGCCCCTGCTCCCTTTGGAATGGGGGGGGGGGGGGTTACCGAAATTTTAGTGGGCCCATAAGTGTAGCTCTCTACTCTCTAAACTAAAGGACTATCATGGTACAACCCTCAAATGTTTTGGGGCCAAAAAGCCCTCTTATCATGGGGCACGTCGGGGACGTCGTCATTGGCTATAGATTCCAAAAGGGGAATATAAGCATTCACCCAGAAGAAAGGAGAAAAGAAAACAAACAAGATATCACCGAAGTTCTGGACGTAATACAACTTCTGAAATCAGTATTGAACAAGCTTTGACGGATATTGCATTTTATGCAAATTACATTTCATAAATCATATATTCTCAGCCAGTCAATTCCGACGGCTTCAAAACAAACGAACAATACGACTGACTGTTACACGAAGGTGGATAGTGTCAAACCGCGATTTATGGCAAAATAATTGACGACTAAATAAGTGCCGAAGAACGTGAGGAATTCAAAATTGCTATATACAGACGTGATACAAACTGTGTGTTAAGGAGTAAATTTTAGGCGTTTCGCGTGTGATCAATGCAATTGCGATGCGCCATTTAATCCTTACAATCGCTGCTCAGTCGATTGTATCGCTTGTGTGCAGCATTACAAAATCATTTAAAAAAAAAAAAAAAAAAAAAAAAAAAAAAAAAATTACTTAGTAGCTTGAGGGTATTTCCTAATTTCTAAATTATAAGATAAATATACGTGCAAGTGAGATATATTTTTAAAAATGTATCATATTCTTGTGCGAACTCAAGGACGAATTAACCTTCGTTTTTTTTTTTATTTGTTAGCCTGACAAAACCCTTGATATTTTTCAGTTACAGCAAGCTGTGGAGTTGAAATATACAATAACGTGACGTATTTCGTGAGCCCGGATTTTCCAGCACTGACACAAGAAATGGGAGAATGCATTATCAGGGTTAAGAAATTGTCTTCAGACATCAGTCAATTCAGATTTGATCTAGGCCATTTTCAGCTGGTAAGTTATGTAAACCAGTTGAACTGTACACCCTCTTTGGATTTCATTGTAGTACCGAAATAATTAAAATTTCTGAATCGTTTTGAGAAGTACAAAAATTATGTCACGCTTTGGAGGCGTCTCACGTATATGGAATTTTCCTTCCTTTTTGGCTAATTTAAATTCTATATCATGGATTTAGTCTATGTATTCTTTCATTTCATTAAAACAATAAACCACATTTAATGCACCTCATTCGCAAAAGTTCTCTCCTACTCTATGCCTCACAGTATTTACCATGGTTTAAGAGCTTTCAGTCCCGGTGACAAATACCGTAGATTTTTATCTATGTATTGGGGGCGGTCGTAGACCTGTTTGAAGGTGCAAGAAAGGCGGGGTTTGTAGTTCTAAAACATCGATGCATGGATAACCCGTCATTACAAGTTTTTCAAAAATTCTTCGATAAGAAAAATTATTAGCTCCGCATACAAATGTTGGTATAAAATTTGGGAAAACTACGCTTTTCACAGAGGAGAAGGCTTACTGGACAATGTTCATCAAGAGAACTGAGGAAAAAGTTTCAACCTATCATATGTGAGATAATTTTCAAAAATACAGTCAGTCATTTATCTGGAAATAGTGCGAAAGAATGAGAGGTGGAAAAATATCCCGATGGCCGAACAGCGAAACCTGCAAGTATCTCCATTGCGGTGTTTCAAAATCCCCGCTCCAATTTTAATTTTTCAAAGAAAAACAAGCCAACTTCATATCTTGAAATTCATACAAAATATTTTGCTGAGAGGAAAATTTTTGAAGTCTTCAAGAAATTACGCTACCAAGTTTTCCAAAGAAAAAATTAAGGATGACAGGAAGTCTGCAACGTCGCAAACAGAGATACGTGATATCGCACTTTGGTCATCGGTAAAATTGGCATTCGTATAAGATAAGAGGACCTCTATAAATGAGGGTGGATATGGATGTTCGTATCTCGTACATCTCGTAATTAATTTTCAATTATGAATCATCTGTGTCATCCTTCATTGATTCGTAACATTTTATCCCGTTTTCAGGGTCAACCAAACCGCAGAACGGGAGTCTGTGATACAGATTTATTCTTGATTGGAGAAGGCACTCATCAAGAAGTCAAAATCTGTGGCACCAACAATGGTCAACATAGTAAGTTATACAGGGTGTCCCAAAAGTCCGGTCTATCTCTCTCTGGAATTGCCATAAGAGAATTAAGTTCGAATCCTCCGCCCCTCTAGAGAGGGCCCCCGAAAATTTGGGGGGGGCACAAGTTGCTCACTTTGGTTCAAGAACTTCCCAAAGTTTCGTTTCATAATATGAATTAGGAACAATTTTTGAGGGGATGCACCGGACTCTCGGGACACCCTGCAGATGTGCTCTTAAAAAGAGAATACTTTTTCTGGGAAGTACTCAGACCCTGAGAATTCTTTCTTGCGGAGCTGAACGAACGCTGATCACTGAAAAAGGGGAATGTTCATTCTAGTTATATCTTGTATCCAAAAGATGTCATTTAAAAATAATTATAAAGGACCAATGACCTGGATACGACCATTTTATTTTGGCAGCGTTGGAATCTGGATAGGTGGTGCTTGTAAAACTCCGCGTAACAGTTGCGTCTCTTGAGACACGACTGTTAAAAAATTTGGTAAACTGGTAAAAACTTTGAATTTTTGGTAAAAAAAATAAGTGAGCTTTTCGTTACGAGGAAATCCCACCAGGTTTATCAGGTGACAAACCAAGAATTTGATCACAATAATGAGAATCTGAAATCTTGATTTTTTTTACAAAATTATGTTTCAAAAACAAAAGAAAAAAAATCATAAATTCGCCTCTTTCTTTCAAAACGGACCCAAAATAGCTTCAATTCAGCGGAAGTTTTAGTATAGTGCATATAATCATGATGTCACGTTCGTTTTTATCATTGGTACCAGTACTGCCGGTTTTTGTCTCGAGACATATTCTGTCGAATTTCAAAAAATCGAGGCAAAAATATGGGCACAGTTCGTCTTTCTCTCACGAAAGAACAAAACATTTTTAAAGTTGCCAAATTTTCCCTCGCACATTGCGTCTTTAGCAGGAGAATCTTGAACATGCGTGTAACTAAAAATTTCACTGATGATTCTTTAGGTCTCATGACGGGAAAATCAGGAATATTTTGGACACAAATTACGCAGTACCCTTTGTAAAAACTTTATTTTTTCGAGTCAATTTTGCAACCTTGGAATGAAGTTACGTTCCTCCTTCCATGCAGGAAACAAGTTTTGCAAAAATTGGTCCAGTTTTAATGGTGATAAGTTAAGAAATTGAGAAGTTGAGTTATTGCACCGTGCTAATTTGTAATCTGTATTTTTTGCAGTTTATTACGATGTTGACGACGTTAATGAGCCAATCGAAGTAAAAATTATAGCTACACAACCCAACATTTATCGACTGTGGGAGATACGGGTGAGCTAATTTTAGGTACATGCCAAATTTTAATTTCTCTTAATTTTAAGTTCAGCAGCAAATTAAGGACAGATAAGAGCGAATCACAATTTGCAGATTTTGTCAGCTCTAATTTTACGAGATATCCAATTTAAAAAAGGCGATTGGAGGAATAACTGCGTTTTCCAAGAATCGATTGTTTTGCATGCACTCATATGGAGGAAAAACAACGTTTTCAACTTTTAAAAGTCCACACTGATCCACCCACTGTCAAAAAATATAGTTATTTAGAGGCAGACGCGGAGCGGCGCAGATCTTTTCAGAGACTTAAACGCTGGGGTAGCAAAAATAGACGTCATCAAACGGAGAGGATGCAGCCACGAAAATAATTTCAAAATACAAAATCCGTTTATTATAGGGCTTTAGTAGGTATGCTTGCGCGAACGTTAAGAAGAAAACAACCCCATAAATTCAACAAGTCCGATACCCGTCCCCCCCCCCAAATACCCCCAAGGCGAAGCGTCGGAGGGGACCATACAATTCCTTCGGGGTCGATTTCAAAGAGCGACAGATTTTTCCCGGACCTCCTCTACCGCGCTAAGGAAAAACGCCATATAAGCCTTCAGATGTTGCCAAATTTGCTTTGACAATCAATAATTTTTAAGAATATTGTGAATATTTTTCTTCTAATTTCTCAGGTAATTTTTCATAATTGATCTAAAAAGGCTGAAAATTTCAAGGAAAAATATCGACAATTTTCCTCAAAAATAAACGTTCTTCCCAACTTCAGGCGGGGGTTGGGCCGCGTAACGGCCAGGGGGCGTAGCCCCCTAGTTTTCACCTATTCACCAATATTCACCTATTCTCAACATGTAGAGTAAATATGTTTTGAGTATGAATGTTTTGCCGTCTAAACGAACGAACATCGAGCGCTCGTCGTATCTCGTATGTGTTCATTTTAATGAATGACTTTCCACTCATCGCAATGACAACACTAACATCCACGACAATTCTATTGAATTTACTATTTCCTTTGCAAAACTAGGGAAAAATTTCCAGAAACCTTATTCTGGGGACTTTTTCAACTTCATTTTTAACGCGTGTGAATTTTTCATTTTACAGATATCTCAAATTGAATTTAAACACAGAGCTCCTGCAGGATGCTTACAATATTACAGGGAGCCTTCTGGTAAGCAGTTTCAGGTTTGTTGATATTATGCCTCATTAACTTAGTATGCGATGCAATTACACTCATTTTTGAAAAAGAACATAATTATGTTATGCTGACTTTTTTTTTTTTAATTCAAGTTTTACCTCCTAACATTTGCCTCCAAATGAGTAACGGCCACGATGAAAAGTTCTTCTATCCTCCTCCATTTCTAGGTAACCTTAACAAGAAAGTTTCATTTTAGCCTATGTATCTATTTTGAGGCATGCACGACAATGATGACACTTCGCACACTCTCTCTTAAATATCTCCTGAATGAGCAGAGGCGGATCCAGCAATTTGGCAAAATTGGCTTGCCTCCGTTTGAATCTCTGTAGAAAAATCGATTCTTGTTAGAGCACCTGGTCTCCACGAAAATCGATAAACTTCCATAGGTTTAAACAGAAAGAAAAAAATGTTGCCAACTTGCCGGGTCCACAAATGTAGGAAGTGAGAAACGGTTGGAGTGGAGGTATCTTTTCTTGTTAGAAGGAATGTGTGGCCAAAATGTAAGATTATACTTAGCCCTTGGCCATACTCGCTTTTTCTACATGCATCCTAGGTTTGGTGAAATTATGTCCCAATCATTTTTTTTTCTAACTTTAGTTTAGTTAGTTTAGTGCTTGAGCTAGTTAGATTCGAAAATCTAATATTACATCAATTTATAAATTCCAATTTGACCGATAAAGCCAAATCTTATTGCAGATTTGAAAACGAATCCCAAAATTGGACCATAAAGAAACGCATTCACTGGTTTCCTACTACAATATCTGAGCGTGAAGTCTCAGAAAAAATTATAAATGTGGCTTCTCAAAACCATATTTTGTGCTATATTACCGTCCTCTACGAGAACTAAAGCTTTCGGTCGCCAGAATTTCAGACGTCATTTATAACATCCTGACTACAGATATTCAACTTTTAATTCACAGGTATCATTCAAACGATGAACTTTGCGGTAAATGGTCGTCATTTAGCCGATCAAGATTACAATATTTGCATGCGCCAGGAGACGGGTAAGATAATTTTACTCATAGATAATACTTACGAAACGAATTTGCTTTACAATTTTGCTCACTGCACTCTGATCCAGAAATGGATGCATTTATATTTTAGCCTTCTTTCCATTGAAAACGCCAGAAGTTTCAGGTGAAACGTTTCATGTTCTGTCTCATTCTTTTCAGCCTTGTTTAAGGCCAGAATTTAAATTCATCGCCATACATACTCATACACGCACATACGTCGCAGACAATTAGCAATTGCAGGCACTTTGCAAGCCACTAAATGAATAGGAATGCGCAAAAAATTTAGAAATAAAAGGAAAAGATTAGAGTACTATTATTTTGCCTTTGAGGAGAACTGACACTTTTACCTCCGTAAAGACATGAAAGAGATAGGCACTGTCAAGAGAGGTTTTAGTGGAAACCGCGACCTCAGTTGGGTTCAGATCGGACAAGCAACTAAACTAACTCCGTGACAAAGCGTAGAGTATCACAAAAATTGAAGGCGCTCCAAGCCGCGATCATGATTTAAATGGCCAGTACCTACCCATTTAACTCTTACTGTGCTTAAGCGCATTATTGAGTTTTATCTTAACAATACCTGAACCACTTGCAAATTGTAGATAAATGTTAATTACTAATTGCCTGCGACATATTACACTCTTGAATATTTGTGGCTAATAATTCAGACTCATACTCATTCCGCGCTGTCAGGGCAATGAAAAATTGCTCACAATTCAGAGGTATGGACTGTATTTTGCAGAAAGGAACCAAGAGCATTGCAATGTTGCCAAGATTGTGCAACTTCTTTTGCCTTGGGAGGAAAACCTGATCATCTACAACCATTTTTTATTTTACACCCTAAAAACTGTAAAGTTAAGAAAAAATGACCATTTAAATTTCATATTTTTTCAGGATTTCAATCGTTGTATTGCAAAGGATGAAGTTGCACATTCTTAGCAACATTGCAATGCTCCTGGTTCCTTTTTGCAAAATGCAATTCATATGATCTCTGAAACATGCCATTCCACAAAAGAGACGCTCTACATGATTTACTTTGTTTGAAAACTTCTACATAATGTTTCAGGGATGTGTTCCATAGCCTACGAGCCATGCGATGAAAATTCTTTTAAAATTGGTCCACCAATTTCAATGGAAGGTAATATATTCTTGATGCACTGATAATTTTCAAGCAATTAAAGTTATTTCGTACGTAGGGAAACCAATCATATAGTGAACGAGAATCTCCATAAATGATGCCGCAAAAGACTCAGCAAGGTCGGCCCCCGAGTGTTTTAAGTGACAATATAGTTTTTAATCCGAATCGGAGCTTCGTTTTCTTTTTTAAGAATGGGTCTGTTGATCATGTAAGGGGACAACCATGTGTTTGGATTATTTAAGAGTAAAACGGCACAAAAATCACGATGGTTACATTAAGTTTGAAATTCACTCCTTAAAGCGCAATTTGCGTAGTTTGAAACTCGCGTCTGGCGGCAGTTTCCAGTCACCGTATCTGGAAACGAGCGACGGATGAGAAAAGTCCTTTTAGGCATTTTATGTCTTAATTTTGAAGGCAAAAAGCTATATTATACTATTCGAATTCCCTTCATAGCTACGGGATATTAGTCATCAGTTTTCAATCCAGCCCCAGATCAAATATGAAAAAAAAGTATGTATTGTTCAAGGCCACGTGATTAAAAAGCAGTGAAGTCCCACTGAGCTATTGGACAGTGATCCTCCTGATCTTAAATTATTTAATTATTTAGTTTCTTTAATTATTACTTCCAGACGACCCTGGATCAGGAGATGATAGTATACCACTTTCCGATGACGTGGGTCAATCGAGAGGATGTCAAGATCGAGTAATGCTACCATGTGATATAGAGGAATTTATTACGGTAAGTGGCAATCTCCTGAGAATTTTCTGTCCAAAACTGAAAAAAATGACGTTTAGGTAACAAACTGTGCAGCAATTTGACGTAACAACGGGTCAGTTGCGCTGGTCTCAGAATCGCGTTTTGATGCTTGATTCTTGTGGTTCAGCTAAAAATAGTAAAATCTGTCCCAACAATAACTCCCTACAGCATGACATATTGCCTCTTAATTTGAATCTAGAATGAAAAGAATAACCATCTACTTTTAAATTAGAGGTAAAAATTAATAAACTGAGCTGAGAGATATCGCGCTGTGAAAAATTCGGTCATGGCGTCATCTACCGCGGTAGTGACACCCTTGGTTTCTTCCACCTTGCTTTCATCAGTCAGGGAGACACAGCCTTGCACTGGATCCTCAATGTGAGACTCGGATAAAAGCAGGGTGAAAGAATCCAAGGGTGTCACTACCGCGGTAGATGACGTCATAAACCGAATTTTTCAAAGCGCTTTACCTCGGTAAATACTGAATGTAGAGAGTCCCTCTTTCGACACATCTTATTAACATTAAAACACGATTCTGTGACCAGCGAAACTGGCTCAGTGAAACCGCGTACTAGTCAGACAATAATCATACTCCTGACGATGGTGCTTTACATTGGCGGATCCAGCAAATTGGCAACATTGTTTTTCTTCATTTAAACCGATGGGGATGTATCGATTTTTGGAGGAGCCAGCTGCTCCGACCAGAATCGATTATTTAACATAGGTTAAAATGGAGGAAATCCAAATTGCCAATTGCCAAGTTGCCAACTTGCTGGATCCGCCTGTGGTGCTTTAAATCCTCCGCGCGTCCATCTCTCTGAAAAATTCTCTGATCTCAGGGAACGGAGGGTATGGTATGCACGGAAAAATGGAAACATTAAAACGTGAATTTTGGAAAAATTAATACGTGAATCGATCGACAAATTATAAAAAAAACCGGTGTCGATTCGATCGACATGAATCGATCGAAAAATGAAAACGTGAATCAATCGGCTCCGATTCAAGCAACAAATTATTAAAAAACCGGTGTCGATTCGATCGACGTGAATGGATCAAAAAATGAGAACAGGAGTCGATCGACACCGATTTCGTCGACAAAATTTGATCGATTCACGGGTTTGCCGATCGACTCACGGGTTTGTCGATCGATTCACGGGTTTGTCGATCGATTCACAGGTTTGTCGATCGATTTACAGTTGTCGATCGTATCTGTATCGATCGACTCACGTTTTCATTTTTCGATCCATTAATGTCGATCGAATCGACACCGGTTTTTTTTATAATTTGTCGATTGAATCGGTGTCGATCGATTCATGTCGATAGATTCACGTTTTCATTTTTCGATCGATTCATGTCGATCAAATCCATACCCTCCTTAGGGAACCCCGTTTGACACTGCGGTAGCTTTCCTTCCTTTCAAACTCTTAGGTATATCTACACTCTTCACACCGTTTAATGTTCCGGCCATTCTCCACTTCTATACCTTGCACCGAGCACCACTAGTAAAACCTATGAAACAACGAGTTGAGCTGCATTTTGCAGTTGGGAACTACAATTTCTAGCCCATCCGTGAAAAAAACTCAAGTGCATAGGGATACTAAACGTGCATATTGAATTTAAAAATCCCTAGACCTTTACTAATTCTTTTTTGCTTTCTATTTTTTCTAGCCTGGAGGTGGCCCCAGAGTATGTGATCTACTTCACTGTGGGAATTCTTTTTGCTCAGGAAGTGACCTACCTTGCAGAATTGAAAGTATGTATCTCGCGCTCCTGATTCTTTCATGGTCCTTTTTTCTTTCTTTTTTCCTCACTTAATAAATATCAGGGATTGTGACGAGGGGCACACGGAGAGCAATGTTTAAAAATGTATTATTTATTTTTAAGTATTAAATATGAAGAATACTGGGAAAACCTGTAAGTTCCTATTCAAATGTTCATTTGAATAGAAAATGAAGTAATGCATGCAACTTCACGCATTACGCCGAACCGTGCGGTCGGTGAAAAGCCCATATTAGCGCCTACAAGACTGCATGAATACTTCTCGCATTGCACCAAACGCACTGCAGTTGATCAGTTGGCGGGATTCGCATATTACCTAGCGCCTGCCTACACGACTGTAGGAATGCTGAGGGACTGCGTGTCATCATGTTTTCCTTTCTACTCTAGTTTTTACCATAATTAAGGGGAAAATATGTATCCTCATTGTAATAATTCAGAAACTCGGATGATATTTAATTTTATTTTTTTTTTTTTTGTTACACAAAAAGAAAATAGAATAACGAACTAAAATATCGCGTCGAAATTTTCGATAATTTTATTTGAGATCATTTGGGCAAATTTGTGGAAACTTCTCAGAAAAACTGTGTGTAGCTTTTTAAAGACATCCATTAAAAATAAAACATAATAGAGGTGCATAACGCTGCAATCAAGATAAATATACGCTCTCTTTCGGGTGCATTCGTCAGGTTTTGAGTCTTCCATTCAATCTCTTTTGAAGAAATTCATCTTTTAAAAAACTTGAACATGGTTGTTCTACGATTTTTTACGTGTAGTTTTAGCGGCCACACGTCCCTAGTTTACTTTTTGAATATCCATGAAAGCGCTCTGGGCCATTCGTGCTGCGAGGGCTATCCATCGCAGAGAGACATGCGTTAGTGAGGAGGGAATGAACAGTCGTCCGCGATGTCGTTATCTACCACAAACAACCAAGGTGACCAGATTAACGCTTCCTCGTTGAATATTGAATATTCACGCAAAAAAGTGAGTTTTTAGCACCAGGAAAATTCGCGCAAACCTATATGCATCTCCAAAAAAAGAAAAATGGATGCATTCGCGCAATCCTATCACAGCCAGAGTTTTAAATCAGTACTTCTCGTTGCGCGAATCGTGTGAAAGTGAAATTTTGGTTATATAACATGATCACAATGCTTTCGTACCTTGTTTACTGGTCTAACCGTGTATTTTTGAATGATAGAAAGGACACGAAACATACGGTAATTTTTCCAAATTTTTCGTAACGACATCAACATCAAACCACAAATCAATTTTGCACTTGTTTTAACAATTCACAGATCCCGGCACACTGGAAAAAAACACATTGGATCTAGAGTCCAGACTCTTAAAAACGTCGACAAGAAAAAATACTCTTATTGCTTCAATCAGATTTAAGCTTAAATCAAGAACCAAGCCTCTTAATTTGAGCGGATTTCCTCTTGCTTTAAGCTAAAATCTGATTGAATCAAGAGTCCTTTTTCTTGTCAATGTTTTCAAGAGTCTGGACTCTAGATCCAATGTGTTTTTTTTTTCCAGTGCACTGCCTCTAGGATCATAGAGTACATAGAGTCGTAATGTAAGTAAGAGAGCTGGCGCCACTTTTAAGCATTTTCCATGTCCCGAATTCCGAGACTCCTGTGTGACGCCGGGTCACTTTTTCGATACATAATAGATTGTTTGCGATACACGGGTACCCGGCCATCCGATGACAACAACAACAACAACAACAACAACAACAACAACAACAGAGGAGATAGGGATTACCACGTATTCCACACCGCCATTTTGGATCGAAAATGTATCGAAAAAGCGACCCGAACTCGGCGCACACCGGGCTCGGAATTCGTCGAGCAGAACATGGCGCCAGCTCTCCCATTTACATTACGACTCTATGTACTCTATGTCTAGGATCTCTGAAAGTTACAGCAAAAACTTTAACCTGGCCATCTCTTATGGGAAACAGCCGACAACCACTCTGTCAATCTTCTATCATTTTCATACGTATTTAGCTACATAATTTCCTTTAAATGTTGCAGGTAGCACGTTGCCATTCAGCATACATGTCCAGTTCGGGCCGGCGATAGCCGAGGAGTCCCCGGAGGATAATTTAGGAATGTGTTTAAAATATGATCAGCAAGCGTGTGTAGTTTAGGTTAAACACACGGCCAAGGTTATTTGGAAATTTAGACTTTAACAAAACCACCGATTTAAAATTATATAATTGAAGCTGCCATGTACATTTCATCATATTTTGTCTTATTCGCGTCGATACAAAATTGCATACTGCGTGAGCGTAGTTGTAGAAAACGTGCCAAATAGAGTTTTATTTTCAGGGCATAATACATTTGTCCTAAATTTTATTTGATATTGAAATTGAACCTGTTGCAAGTGATAAAAATTGAATAAAATTTTATACGTTCATAAAATCCCCTTGTTTGTATGATTGTCTATTCAAGTCACTCTAGTTGTCCTCTAGTCTTAGAATCGCATGCTGATCAATAATGGACCTTTTCGGCTGGTTGAACAAGAACGTTAATCTGATGCCCCCTTTCCATTTTTCCCGAGCGACCATTTGGAGTTGGGAATTTATAGTTTTCTTCTTGCGATATGTTGATGCCTATCTACAATTTTTTTCCAATCAGGCCCGAGAAACTTGAAAATTCGCTGTCAGTGTTCCGCAGGATGTGTGGGATCGAAAAGAGACGGAAATGCCTCCCCGCAATTAAAGGCGTTTTCAAAACAGCAAAGTCCCTATTATTTTGTTTTATTTCTTACCACTCGTTTGTTTTAATCCTCCTATAAAAACTACTCATTTGCAAAATACAATTCTAGCCACAACGCACTTTAGCTATGCATTCACGACTGCAAAAATGTCAAAGGAAATCGACAAGACCAACGTGCATGGAGGCTATTTCCATTGTAATCTTCCGTCGCATTCTTACGGCGCAATGATACAACTATTTGAACTCTCCGGAATGCGTGAGGTATCACGCCGCATTTGAAGGCGTTTTCAAAACAGCCAACTTCCGATACCCGGATTATCGTTTTGCAAAGTTCCTATTATTATGTTTTAGTTCCTACCATTTGTTTGTTTTCAATCGTCGTATAAAAACTACTCATTTGCTGAATATACTTCTGGCTGGAGCGCACTTAAGCTATGCATTCACGACTGCAAAAATGTGAAAGGAAATCGACAAGCCCAGTCCCGTCGGGATATAAAAGATCCAAAAATTTTCCAGGGGGGCGGCCTCCCCTCGGACCTCCTCTCTTTCCTGGGGGGTCTATCCCCACCCTCCCACCCCCGTGGGGCCCCTCACGATGCGTCGCCGCGGCCTAACTTTTTTCACGCCAGTCCGAGCCTGTGCCTCCCTCCCCCGTGCCTGTGTCCCTAGATCACCATCTGCAGTTCGAAATGTTTAGTTTCTTTTTCCAACGATATTTTGATGTCCCGTGCAAAGTTCTTCTCTTTCAATCTGAGAAGTTTTAGACCGCGCTTCAACAATGGAGTCTAAAGCGACAAGTGACATGTCGGGAAAGGATGTTAAATCCAAGTCCCCTTGAAATTTTTCTTTGGAAAACCATATGGAGCCTGAAATTTTGAGTTTTTCTCCAATGATATTTTGATGCAAGTGGAAATTTCTGTTCTTTCGGTCCAAGAAAGTTAAAAACGTGTTATGATTGCTCCTGAGGATGCGATTGTTTTGAAGAGAAATACTTTTCACATTATTTTATAATCTCTCTTAAAGTTGATTATGACTGTTTTGGTCTAAAGGGAGTTTAAAACACTGCTGCTCCAAGGTTTTAAGAGGCTATCTCGGGAGGACTGTTAAAGATAGTTGAAAGCAAAAAAAGATTAGGAGTTCGACAAAAAATATCAAATTGAACATTTATCCCCATAATTCTTGAGGATACTTAAAGAAAAGAAAAAGTTCAACTTTTTTCTAATATTTATCGACACAAATAGATTACCTACCTAGATATAATTTTAGAGGGGAATTTTCTTATATTCCTACTGTGAATGATAACATATGGTAGGTACTAGAGTACCTGTATAGGGAGAGTACCGACAGATCGGTTCATGGAGGGCTTAGGGCCCAAAAGTGCAGCCACCCTTCTAACCAACTTCTAACGCACAAAATTTCACTGCCAGTCTGCAGATTCCAATTCTAACCAAGATGGTTAAGAATGTACAGAAATGAGCGTTCTTCCGCGAAATTGAGTAAATTTATGCAAAAACTGAGTCAAACACGTGCTTAATAAAGGACGGTTCGTAACAATAGTATCAGTAAATCGCTCTGGATAATTGAAATTCATAGGTTGGCTGCCCTTTTGGGCCCTAACTTTATTCGCGGAGGCATCGGTGAAGGCCTGATGGACTTTCGGAGTTTCAGATCTGTCGGTACTCTCCCTAAACAGGTACTCTAGTAGGTACTAACAAATATCCATACTTCACTGGTCTCAAACTAAATGCAGCGTACGATAAATTACCACCGGCCTGTTTTAAGTACGTATAGTCCAAAAATGTTTTTAAAAAGAAATGAAATATTTTGATTTTTACGAAGCTCGATGAAGGTATTTCAACTCCAAATATGCACCCTGGATTTACCAGGGTGTAAAATTTAAACAGTTAGACATAATCATGGTTAGTGATTTCAAAAACACTCAATTTTATGATTTCAAAAGAGAGAAAAAATACTTTCAACTTTTCTCTTGTCCATCTGATCTTCTTAATTTGATGATAAAGATCTCAATATCATTAAATTTTCTCTTAATTAGAGAAAGCTGTTAATCAGTTATGTGTGGCAGAACAGAAAATATTTAAGCTCTCTGAACTCGATTGAGCACGGAGGAGAATTTTATGAGCCGCCGCCCGCGGCGCACTAGGGTCCAAAACTCAAAAATAGGAAGAAATAAGTCGGATAATGACTGAAAGATCCCGCAAGTTTCGTGACGGATGTTTTCGGAGTCGCTATTTTTGAATTTGATGTAAAATTGCCTACATTCTAACGCCCTGACCCTTTAATTGTTGGCAAGTTGATGGCACGCTGCGGCGCAGCGTGCTGCCAGCGCAAAACGCGTACTGACGCCTACAAACCTAAGGGGATACTTCAAGCATTGAACAATGCGTGCGGTAGCCCCTTAGGTTTGTAGGCGTCAGTGCGTGTTTCGCGCTGGCAACACGCGTGCGGTTATTAGTGAACTCTCAACGCTAGATGCGCGCTGCGAACGGCGCGGCGCGGCGCGGCGCGGCGCAAGGCGGCTCATGAAGTTCTCCCCTCTGTTCTGTCGCTCAGAACTGAACATAGTATGTATTTCAAAAATTGCGCGCTGCACGCTGAAGTCTACACTTTGAGATCGCCAGCCAATAGAATCGTTTGTTGACGTTCGGCCGGCCTCAAAGTGTGATTTCATTGGAGGAAAAAAACAGATGGTGGTCTTGTACTGTATGACGACATCAACGCTGCCAAGTTACTTTTCTAGAGATTCAAATTTTAGCTTCTGATCCAGACAGTGGTTCAAAACTATCAAAAATTTCTCAATAAAGATTTAAAAAAACTACTAAAGTCACTAAATTTCATACTTAAAATTTAGGAAGCTAATTTCTTCAAATTCAGGAACGGCTTACATCCGACAACTATGCTTCACTTGATCTGTGTGACGTAATCAGATAACCAAAACATTCCTTACCTCCCTCATGATCTCTTTCATTTCTATAGCAGGTGCTCGTGATGTGACAACTTGGCAGTGATTTTGGAAATGTTTCATCCTTTCAATTAGATTTATCAGTAAAAGTAATATTTGTATCTTAATTAGAGATGTTAACAAAATTTGAAACGAAGTCGGCTCGGGTGAAGGGAATTTCCTTTCACCCAAAGCGGCCGTGGGTTCTCTCAAGGTATGTACATCCTGTTGATGTTTACTCCCCACATTCATCATCCTTTATCCAATCTCAGAATAAATTAAGAATCCTGAGATAGACTTGTTCCTTTCAACGAGAAATTTTTCATCACATCATTGAAATATGTTGTCTTTTTGGCGACAACTCATTGCTTTGACAGGATTTAGAAGTAGCAATTTGTTATTGAAGACTTCCTCAGACTCTGGCTTATCAGGTAGCGAGTCCGTACCGTTAACATAAGCCTTTCATGTATTTTACCCATCATTTATTTTCGACACTTGGTCGTTGACACTCACCATTAAACAGCAGTCTGGCCATCTCAGACCTCCAACGCTAAAACTGAGCATTTCTCTAAGCATGTGATAGAAAATTTTGAATTAGAAAGAATTAGGGTGATGAAATATTTAGAGCTCGCGCATCGAAAGTTGAGACAAACGTTGAAGTATTGTCTATATCACCATTCACCAGTGGTGCCACCTGACTACATGTAATAACCTGTTGAGTGGTACGAATTCAGAGCTAATCGGAGATCGACGTCTGTCTCAACATACGATGCGCGAGCTCTAGGAGTGTGGATAGCAGATGACTTGAAAACGAAAGGACATATAGGAAAAGTGACTAAAATTTTAGGGGTAAGATTAGTATGTTATGCAGGATTGAGGATTTCACAGGGAAAAAGAGAAGAAAATTAGTTTATAATTCGTTAATTGGAGCTAAATTAAATTATCGTATTTCTCTCCTTGGAGAGGCAAGTAGTAACGAGATTAGAGATTTACAAAAGGGATGGAATTCTGCCATGACATATACTAAGGTGTGATAAGGGATATAGAATAATTGATATGCTGGAGACTCTTGGCTGGCTGTGCATGGAATTGCTGATAAAAGCCAGGATATTCATTTTCATATTTATAATAAGGAAGGGACTGATTGATATAAGAGATAAAGAGTTATTGGAGATATTAGATAGGAGAAAGAGAAGGAATTTAGGGTTGAAATACACTGAAGTTAGAGATGTAGATAATATGCTGTTCTTTAAGGAATAGAGAGATTATACATTGTTCGGTTGTGTGAAATGGGAGGAATGGCAACTGGGAGCATTTAGAAATTAGGGTATGAGTTAATGAAATTTCAAAGAGAAAATTGGGGAGATGGGGGACTTCTACCCAGATGCCACTGGTGGAAGGAGTTTGGCCTGTAGATAGTAGTTTAGGGAAAAATAGAAATTTAGACTAATAGGTTAGGGATTGGCTCGACATGACGCAGGCAGATGGGATCAGCCCTTGAGGGCTGGTTAAATAATAAAAAAAAAATGTGCTCTTTATCTAATTTTTATGTAACGTCATGTTGGCTTGTTCGATAATCAACGGAAGTACTGCCACTGAATCCACTTTACTATAGTCTGAAGGTGGGTTTTTTCCTGTTAAACTAATGTTTTCTCTGCCATTGATTGACACACAAGAAGCTAATACACTGCATACCTAAATGAATTGCTTGAAGATTCTCATAAAATATTCAACGTTAAAATATCTTTATTTATTGAGCTCTGGTTGACGTTTGATTTCAGTCTTCACAGCGGTGTGATACAGTTATGGGATTATCGTATGTGCACTTTGCTTGAAAAATTTGATGAACATGATGGACCTGTGAGAGGCATATGTTTTCATAACCAGCAACCTATATTTGTGTCTGGAGGAGATGATTTTAAAATTAAGGTAAGAAGAAGAAGATTATTTAACTTGGACTTGATTTGAAGTGCAGGTAAATCTGCCGGTTCAGAGCATGAGTTTGTCAAATTGAACTAGCTGTATTCTATTTTTCATTCTCCTCATCCAACTAAAGCGTTGAGTGCAGAAAAGATATTTCTTGGTTGCCATGTCTCAAAATCTTCATCGCTAATTTATATATTAGGAAGGAAAGTGTTCAGTAAATTTTCTGAAACTTCTCGTTTTCAGAATTGTAAAATGATGTAGAAAATTCAGTTAAAGCTTCAGTGAATGCCAGACAATAGCTTTAAGTTTAATAGATGAAACGTTAGGGGAGATTATGAGACCATGCAACCAAAAAATGTCGTGTATGCACTCAGCACTTCAATTTCTAAAGTTTCTTAGTCTGCAATATCTACCTTTGTAACGTTTATGTGATAGGTAGAAAAATGAATAAAATATATTGAATCAAATCTACATCAGTGGAACCAACTTCTAAAGTTTCTTGAACTATATGAAATGAAATTTGTAAAGACTTCTACGTAGTCTGTAAATGTTCTGAAAAAATGTTTTTCGTGAATTAACAATTAAAAAAAAAGGTTGCAGTTGCACAAACATTGCAGCATTGTGTACCTCTAATAAGCGAAGGATCCATTTATAGGATATCCTATAATGAATATCCATTGTAGGATATCCTCATGCTCAGTTTTCTCAGTATGTACCTAGTTTAATTTTGAACATAAAATTTACACAATTTTACTGTTTCAGATATTTGCAATTTCTCCATTGGTATATTTTTAAAAAAGAGTACCCAGTGAGGCACCTCATTATTATGTAGGTATCGATAAGAAAGATAGAACTGATGCGCTGAAATTCGCTAGAAATGTCTCTGCCAACCCTCTACAAAATGTATCTCATTAAAATCTTTAATTACTACAGGTTTGGAACTACAAGCAAAGGCGATGTATATTCACTCTCTTGGGACATGTTGATTACATTCGCACCACAGTATTCCATCCAGAGTATCCTTGGATTTTGAGCGCCTCTGATGACCAGACAATTAGAATTTGGAATTGGCAAAGTCGGAACTCGATATGCGTTCTGACAGGGCACAATCATTACGTTATGTGTGCTCAATTCCACCCAAGCGAAGACATCATCGTTTCTGCCTCATTGGATCAAACTGTCCGCGTGTGGGATATATCAGGCATGTTATATCATCCATCTATTTATGGCTGTCCCTGGGGAAAGGATCTCAGTGAGGAAAAATACAACATTTCCCTAATGAAGACGATGATGAAAGTAGTGTGTTGCTCAACATCTGGCTCATAAAACCAACATAAATGTAAAATTGAATTAAAACTGTAGCAGCTTATAGCTGAAAATTGTAAAAGTAGTACTTGGTGTTGAGAGGAAGCTTTATAAAGTTTGTTCAGGGTTCAAAATTGCGGAATAGAGAATTTGCAGGAAGAAAGTTCATTACTTCATATGAAAGTGTTTTTAGTCCAGTTACAATAGGAGTTTATAAATGCACGAAAGAGGTCAGAAAAGGTTGATAGTGATTCCTATGTATTTTTGGTAGCTGAATCTGAATTTGATGTTTCCCGCCAATCCACCCTTTGCATTTTCTGGATAAGCTAGAAAACTGCCAAAATCTCGTCATTCTGACCATATAAACCTAATTTTTATTGGAGCAGAAAAATATCTATTATCAGAGTTTTAGCTGAGAAAATTTGCCACACAATTTAATAGAGCTAATTTTGAGCTAAGTCTTAAATTTAAGTTGCACTCCTACCTTGAAGTTTACAGAACAACAGAAGAGACTTTTTACTGCGAATAGTCAAAAATTTCAGTCATAAAAAACACAAATCTCTTGAATAGACATAAAGGAAAGGGCTGTGATAACAAGAGATTTTTTTTCACTCTCAATTTTAGTTGTTTAATAGAGTGGTCTCTTGGTAAATTTTTATTGCCATTAACCAGCAGCTCTGCAATATCTTACCCTCAGAAAGGTAAGATCAAGAAACTGGTGATTGCACTCTATAGCAGTTAAAAGATGGTAACCTAACCTCTCATACTTTACCTTGAATTGTAGGACTTAGGAAGAAGAATGTGGCTCCTGGTCCAGGAGGTTTAGAGGAACACTTGAAAAATCCCTCGGCGACAGATTTGTTTGGTCAAGCGGACGCTGTTGTGAAACATGTCCTGGAAGGTCATGATCGTGGGGTGAACTGGGCTTGCTTCCACCCTTCCTTGCCTCTCATCGTCTCTGGAGCTGATGATCGTCAGATCAAGTTATGGAGGATGAATGATGCAAAGGTAATATTCCGTGACAGTCTAAAAATTAATAGGCCTTTCTGCTTTTCTTTTGGTGTTGTGGTGTTAAATCGAGTGAGAAGATTAAGCTCTCTTTTCTATTCTACTTAAATTAACTTAAAGTTAACTTAAAATTAACTTAAGTTTGAACAATTCCTTGTAGCTCAAAACCATAAACATTGATAGATTTAAAGAAAAGAAAAAAAGTATTTGTTGTATTTAAGAACCGGTAACAAACGTTAGATAGAAATCCATATCGATAACTAGACTGCGAAACGATGTATCTCCATTTGCAATGTTACGGATGTCCTGTCATATTTTATATTTTCTCTGGAAAACTAGTCAGCGTAATGTTTTGAAGACTTTCTCAAATTTTCTTCTCTGTTAACAGAATATTCTTTATAAATGTTAAGCCATGAAGTTGGCTTTTCTCTCAAATAAGAGCGAGCATTTTGAACATGGCGAAAAACTTAAGAAATTTAAAATTAGTATTACTACTTTTTATGTGCTACCTCATTACTAAAACTGACGGAAGATTAATTTTAAAGTATGTAAATCAATTGTTTCAGGCATGGGAAGTGGACACATGCCGTGGTCATTACAACAATGTCTCCTGTGTACTGTTTCATCCTCGACAAGAACTGATAATTTCCAACTCGGAAGACAAAAGTATGCGTGTCTGGGACATGACGAAACGAACATGTCTACACACTTTCCGCAGGGAACATGATAGATTTTGGGTGTTAGCCTCTCATCCGAATCTTAATTTGTTCGCTGCCGGCCACGATTCAGGAATGGTTATCTTCAAGTTAGAAAGAGAAAGACCTGCATATGCCATCCATGGAAATATTCTGTATTATGTCAAGGACAGATTTCTGCGAAAATTGGACTTCACCACCTCACAAGACTTTGTAGTTATGCAACTACGAGGAGGTGTTAAGTTTCCCCCCTATAGCATTGCATACAATCCAGCCGAAAATGCAGTGCTTGTTTGCAGCCGTCAATCTAATGTGGAGAATAGCTTCTACGATTTATTCACAATTCCAGCTGAGGCAACAGAGTCCTCCAGTGGGCATGTCGAAACTTGCGACTCCAAACGAGCCACTGGTCTCACAGCTGTGTGGGTGGCGCGGAACAGATTTGCTGTTTTAGACCGATCCCATTCCATTGTCATCAAGAACTTAAAAAACGAACTCACCAAGAAAGTGGTGACCCCTAGTTGCGATGAAATCTTCTATGCTGGCACAGGAACTTTGCTATTGAGAGATTCCGATGGAGTCACTCTCTTCGATGTCCACCAAAAACGAACTTTGGCTCACATTAAAATAGCAAAGTGCCGTTATGCAATATGGTCACCTGACATGGCTCATGTTGCACTGTTGGCAAAACATACAGTATTGATTGCAAACCGTAAATTGGAGTCTTATTGTTCAATCCATGAAAATACCAGAGTCAAATCTGGTGCTTGGGATGAGTCAGGTGTCTTCATCTACACGACCAGCAACCACATCAAATATGCAATTCTTAATGGGGATCATGGTATTATTCGGACTCTTGATCTCCCGATCTACATCACCAAAGTTAAAGGGAATCAAGTATTCTGTCTGGATCGTGAATGCAGACCGCGCGTACTGAACATTGACCCGACAGAATATCGTTTTAAGCTTGCGCTCATAAACCAAAACTACGATGAGGTTTTGTACATGGTCAAGAACTCTCGTCTGGTAGGTCAGTCGATCATCGCGTACTTGCAGCAAAAGGGATATCCTGAGGTTGCCCTTCATTTTGTGAAAGATGATAAGACACGATTTGCTCTTGCCTTGGAGTGTGGAAACATCGAAGTTGCTTTGGAAGCTGCTCGGGCAATGGAAGACAAGAAGTCCTGGGAACGTTTGGGTCAAGCTGCCCTTTTGCAAGGAAATCACCAAGTAGTAGAAATGTGCTACCAACGGACTAAGAATTTCGACAAGCTTTCATTTTTATATCTGATCACCGGCAACTTAGAAAAATTGCGCAAAATGATGAAAATTGCTGAGATAAGGAAAGATTTCTCCGGGCAGTATCAAGGTGCTTTATTATTAGGTGATATTGCAGAAAGAATTAAAATCCTGAAGAATTGCAACCAGATGTCACTTGCATACTTGACAGCTGCAACCCATGGCCTTACAGAAGAAGCTGAGACCTTATCTTCTCAAATTTCTGGAAATCTCCCGGAAGTCAACTCATCGGCTACCCTTCTAAAACCACCGGTCCCCATCATCCAAGCAGAAACTAACTGGCCTTTACTCCATGTTTCCAAGGGCCTGTTTGAGGGAGCCATGGCTGCAAGTGCTAAAGTGAATTCTGCAGCAACTGGTGTCATGGCCGCTGTCAGTGCTCTTGATAGCGACGGAGTGGAAGCTGGTTGGGGAGCTGATGCCGAGCTGGGACTAGACGATGAGGAGGGTGAAGCCGGTGTCGCACCAACCACACAAGAACCGCCAGAAGAAGGTAGTGGCTGGGATGTAGATGACGATGATCTTGAGCTTCCACCAGACACAGATGTCCAGGCAACAGGTGATGATGCGGGAAGTTACTATGCTCCGCCCTCTCGTGGAATATCACAAGCTCAAGTATGGGCGAATAATTCTCAGCTAGTCATTGATCATGTTATGGCAGGCTCATTTGAAACTGCTTTCCGACTTCTCAGAGAACAGATTGGAGTGGTTAATTTCGAACCCTACCGCGTACACTTCCTGTCAGCATTTAGTAGATCAAGAACATCGTATCAGCAGCTTCCAGGATTTCCGTCGCTCTCCAGTTATCCACAGCGCAACTGGAAAGAGGCCGGACCTAAAGGAGGCTTACCAGCCACTTGTCTGAAACTGGAGACTCTGGTCGGCAGACTCCAAAATTGTTATCAGCAAACAACTCTGGGGAAATTCGCTGAGGCCATCACGGAGTTTCGCAGTTTGCTGCTGAGTATCCCTCTGCTCGTCGTTGCGACAAAGCAGAATCTTCTGGAGGCTCAGCAATTACTGAAAATCTGTAAAGAGTACATCGTAGGTAAGTTCTTGGTGCAATAGCATCAAAGCTTTTTTCTGCTCTTTATTTCTGATCGTCCACAAAATAGAAGATCAGATGGAGAAAATTTTTCAGGAACGCGATTCTCATCAAGTTGTGTTAGAAGATCAGAAGTTGAGTTTTTTAGGAAAAACCTTCCCTAGTTTCTTGAAGAGTATGTCAAAAGCAGTCTAGTGGATTTAAGGATACCTCTGCATTTTAACTCAACAACCTTGAGCACTTGAACCCCTGTTTTCCAAAACTGTAATTTGTTGACTGCAGACTTCAAACCGTCTTACCTGTGACTTGGTTTGACCTTTTTGGGCATTTTTATTAAATACAGAAATTTGTAAAATATTCCTCAAAGTAGTGACTTTAATCTTGGGGGAGTTTTAGTACTAAGGTCCTTTTCCTTGTGGACTGTCACATTTTGATAAAAGAAAATTTGGTCATTGGGTTTTAATCTCTTTAAAATTCAGTCTATAAGAGCTGTGAATGATTGATGGTTTTAGTTAGTTGATTCAGTGTTGATCTCAAATTATCAGCTTTTTTGAAAAAGTGAGTAAATGCAGAGGGAAATGACATGAATAAGTGAATCATAATGGCGAAGTAAGTTGCTCAGCAGTCAATGGAGTGCCAATGGCTGCTAGGTCTTGTTTTATTGCCACTTTCCAGCTCTAAACCAATTGCTGGTTTAAAATAGCGCCCAAATGTTAGTCATTCTCGTTACATTATAGTCCCATTTTCAAAATTTATTCTTGCTAACATTAACAATGCATAAAAAATCAGCTTAAAACGACTGTATCTTATAATTTTATCTTTTCTCTGCAGGTTCACAAATGGAACTCTATAGGAAAGAATTACCAAAAACAACCCTAGATAATCAAAAGAAAAATTGCGAATTAGCAGCGTATTTCACTCATGTCGAGCTACAACCTGTCCATCAAATTCTAACGTTGAGAACAGCTGTTAATGTTTTCTTCAAGCTTAAAAACTACAAAACTGCCGCCTCGTTTGCAAGAAGACTATTGGAGTTGGGTCCAAGGCCTGATGTCGCTCAACAAGCCAAGAAGATTCTTCAGGTCGGTAACCTGAATTTTTTCTCAATTTTTTGGCTCAATAATGACATTTTTGACTGATGATCAGTGATGAGCTAACTGTCTGATTTTGGAAACAAGCATGCCTAGATTTTTCGGCCTGGTAACCTAGGCAGTTACCTGGAGGCCATTGCCTAGCGTCTTGACAGGAAGGAGAAAGAAAACAAAAATGCTTTTAAACTTGTTCAATTATTTATTGAAAGTAACAATTGAAAGTAACAACTAAACAAATTATTTATTGAAAGTTACAAAAAAAAAAAACTATCAAATTTACTCCAAATGGACATCATAATTTTATTATTTGCCCCAAGAGGCCTCTGGCCCCCTTTGGTCAGTAACTTTTCTACCTAAACAATCACAGAGGTGGTGAAAGATTTAAAGAAAACCTCAGGCATGGAAAGAAGTGTAATGCTTGCCAAAAATTATACTGTACCTCTTATACCAATATACATTTTTTTATGATATACCAATTTCAGAAAATAATAACTATTCTTCAAATTTTTAATTTTAAAGAGGAATGAATCCTTTGTAACTGGTACCTTGGCTGGCTTAGCTGACTTAACAAAATTCTGGACCAATGGCCACTATCCACTAGCCCCTTTGAAGAGTGGAAATTCAAAACCTGCAGCCTGATTGTTGAAATTTTTTGTTTGTCGGGACGACAAAGATGACATAGGTTAAAAGGCGGAGCGTGATTGGTCGGCTATGTCTTATCGCTGCTTTGTCGTGTCTATGTCGGGTTGACCTCTCGACAATCTAACAGGACCTCTTAAGTCTCCGACAGTATGTTGATCATCCCACCCGACAAAGCAACGATAAGACATAGCCGACCAATCACGCTCCGCCTTTTAACCTATGTCATCTATGTCGTCCCGACAAACAAAAAATTTCAACAATCAGGCTGCTGGTAAGCGCTATCGAGGGTTGTTACCATTGTGCATGGCGCTCATTACTTTGGAAGAGCTCAAATGCCCTCTCTTCATCTGAGAATGTTCTCAAAAGCTTTGCCCCTATTTCATAACAATAATTTTTATCCTCAGGCCTCTGGACCATTATAGGTCTCAATCAGTTGCATAATCTTAGCAACATCAAATTGCGCTCACCAGGTTTTGAATTTCCACTTTTCAATTGCCCATTGTCATCAATCCGTAGTCCATAGTTCTGGATATTGTTTAGGAAGCCACTGAATGATCCGGAAATTTTTTCTAAAATTCTACCCCCCTCACCCTATTGCCCTAGGATTTTTTCAATTTTTTCATGTACTTGTTCATTGATTTATTTATTTATTTTTTCTTCTCAGGCTTGCGATAAAACGCCTGTTGATGAGCACCAACTCAACTATGATGAGCACAATCCGTTCAACATCTGCGCAAGGACGTACACCCCTATTTATCGAGGCAAACCAGAGGAGAAGTGTCCATTCTGTGGAGCAACGTACATGCCGGAGTTTAAAGAATCACTATGCAATGTCTGTCAAGTTGCAGAAATCGGACGTGATAGCTCAGGCCTAAAATTGGTCGTTAATGCCCCTCCTCAAAAACCATATTAAGACCATGGGAAATGGTAATTTTTTGGTGAAACAAAAATTTGACTGGCCTGCAAGGATCAGGTATTTTTGTCTGTATTTTGTGATCTTGACGCTTCAGCGGCCCATCAGCTTTCAGTCGTTAATTGATTTCTGACTGGGAATGTGTAATAGTTACAAAAGGTGAATTTAAAAAAAGCTTCTCGAACCTTCTCAATGTTAGAACGTGTTTGAATTTAATGATGAGTTTGTTAAGAGAATAGTTCTCCCAGCTATCTCAATTTTACACCTCATCAAACCCAAATTTTATTTTGTACAAATTGTAGATACCTAGTTTTTATTGTATTGGTCTAACGGTTGATTTTTGTAAAAATTTTAAAAAAATGTCATTAACTTGTAACTTCCTTGGAAACAAGGGAGGATGCCAGAACTATACGCTTTGTAATTATCTCATGGACTAAGATTGACTTGAATATCAGTGCAATGGCCAGATTTATCATGGCTTAATCGGAGTTTCTACTAATTGTGTTACGTTTTGAGCAAGTACCAATTCTATTTAAGTATCTTCATTAGTCCTGTTCCATTTACAATTTGATATATTTGCATTTAAGAGTATCATTTTTATACCCTTTATTCAATCGAACTATGTATTGCAGTATGCATGGAAAAGCAAGTTTTCGTATTCGGAAAATAATTTGTACTACTGACACTATTTCAATAGGCATCAACTTGCTTTTATTTATACAAGTTTTTTGGTTTTACTTAAACTTCTTCAAAAAATAAAACCAGGCAAAAAGCACAGTTGTATTGAGTCGGCTATGTTTGGAAGTCAAAATCTCAAAAATAAAAGTTTCCATATTGTAGTCGTTATTTCTTCTATTAATAAAATTAATCTAACTTGAGTTGAGCTTCTTGTCAGCTGTACCTCTACCAGTATTTCAGGGTAAATTGAGTTAGGAGTTTTTCATAATACCTTGGAAACGAATATCAATCGCTCCCTACAGTACCAATTTTTCGATAATAGCTTGAGCAAGACTCAAAATTTGTCAGTTCAAAGCAAGTGTGATGTTTATTGAAATGATGTATGTCACTGGGAAGAATGCAAGCCTTGGTTTTTATTTGTTCTTATTTATATCATCATATTTTTTTTTAAACTTTCGGGGCACCCTCAGTATTAGACCTTATGATTCTTCCTATCTAATTTGTTGTTGAAGTGCTTTTTTTTTTTTTTAATTTGTCCATGTTATTGAGCGTATGTTGAGGAAAAATAAATATTTTTAAATTTTTTTTGGTCCTATCAGATTTGATTTCTAGAATGTCCCCTCTCTTTTATTACCTGATTTTATCCAGATTGAAAAGTGTTAGCTTTCACGGGGGAAAGGACTTGAGTGCCAAAAATTCAAAATTGAGGGGCTTGGAGGACGAGGCACATAAGCGCAGTTTTTGAAAACAGAGAGATATTCATGAACTCAACTAAATCTAGTTCGAAAGTATATTCTGTGAAAATCTCACAAAGAAAATAAAATTTTAAAGCATCAAAAAGTGAATTTAAACTTCCTTTTTACCATATGGTTCCATGTAACTTAGAAACTTTGAACATGTAAACTTTAAACATTGAAATAGGAAAAAATACACTCATGCGTCTTTTCCTCCAAGCTTCTCATTTGAGCCAAGATTATCTTCTTCAACACTTTGATGCAGAAAAGGTGTAAAAATATTAGACTAACCAATCAGAATATGATCGTTTAAAGTTTCTAACACAAAACGTTTCTTTTTGGAAAAAGAATTAAAAATTTTAATTAGTTTTGTTACTGACAAAAAATTGTCTGATTGCAGTGCAATTTCATCCTCTCTGTTATGTCATCCATCGTGGATCGTAATACACCACCCGCAATCGATGCGCATTACATGGTATTTGGTCCAGGTCTGACATTATGGAAAATCACAGAAGTGTAATTTAATGAAGAAAAAAAATGAAAATAAGAGAGAAAAAAAATAAAATGAAAATGAATGAAAGGAGAAAGCCAGGTTATTGAAAACACTAAAATATATTATAAATTAATTAACTAGAGATTTACAGTTCAAATGACAAAAGTAAAAAACAAATATAAAAAAGCATAAATATAGAGTAATTTTTGGTAGAAGTTAAAAAAGTGAGGTTAAGTAAACATTACGTTGTCAGGTGAATGCTAGCCGTGCACGGTTCGCCTAGCTTAGAGCTCGAGGGAACATTTGGATCGAGCGCCTCCCTGATCACAGACTCTTTGGCATCGCTTGAACACGATTGTGGCGCAGCTCCCGTTGCCGGCTGCTCAATCCCTATTTCGCCATTCTGTGGCTTGTTGAACAACAGATCTACTTGCGGAAACCGCATACGCACCGAATCGATGGTGTCGAGTAAGTTCTTAGCGTCCATTGCCAGGACGTGAGCGGCTGACAGCATAGCTTTTCGGTACTCCGCGTCGAGAGTTGTGTTGCTGTTGTTCTGCGCCAGTTTCATTGCTGAAACCAGCTCGCTCATGTCTTTACTCAAAACTTTGTGGGCTAGTCCGATTTCTTGGTGGACTGAGGTTGGAACGATGGAGACTAAGGCATCGACACTGGAGAGAAGCTGACGCAGCTCCAGACCAACACACTGTACTAACTCTAAATATTGACTAGCTTGAGCTTGTTGAACACCTGAAACGTAAATTAATTAAAAGGCGTCAGTGAGAAATGCATATTTTATGAAAAAAAATAATAAAGTTTGCTTTTTTCATTTAGAAAAGGGCAGATTAATTTTTTTTCAATTGTGATCATTCCACAAAAACTCAACAGGTTAATTGCGCTGAACACATTTTTGTTTTTATGATCACTTAAAAACATGAATAAGCAATAAGTAGCTCTTCATGGTTAGTTAAAATACGATTCGATGACTGATTTATATTGGACTAAGGGGCTACGCCCGTGACCACTCGGAGGTACAAGCCCCTGAAGCAATTTCCGCCTAAGGTATCATACTTTGCACGTTACTTGTAAGATTTTAAAATATGGAGTATGATATGACTGATTCCTAGAAAGATAAATATCAACTGAACATCATTTAGCAGTATGAAACTATCTGTATTGGTCTTTGTAAAACTAATTTATCATAAAGATAGCTCTTTCGTCGCCCAGAAGATAGCTTTATTAGCTCTGCCACAAATTAATAGCACTGCCAAATTAAATCTCTTAATTTATGAAATCAAAATACAAAAATTATTAGAAAGAGGTGAAGCAAAAATAAGTTAAAGTCAGTTCAGGCTCAAATCTTTGATAGTGATGCTTACTGGAGAATAAGCATGGATTACATAAAACCTACAAACAAGGTTCAGGAGTGCAGCTTTCATTTAGTTACCTTGAGATAATGCCATGACTGATTTAACAACGCAGGTGGTACATTCGTAGACTCTATCATTACTTCGGTTGAGGTTAGCAGTCGGAGTCGGTTCCATTTTCTTCACAATTATTATTCGTTCCTTCCGCTTTTGTCTCTCTAACGAATCTCCACACTGTGATGAAGGAGGCGTTGTTAAGCTTGTTTCCCTCCCATCGTTTGAGTCACCATCTGACAAACTGTTTGCAATAGAGAGCCGCTTCTTCTGCACGTGAAAATAATCCAACAAATCAATTTTACAATTATAAGCTGCTCTTGGGTAGAGTAATGTTGATTTTATTTGTGTTGGACCTACACTTGTTTCTTTGAGCTTAGACAAAATTTGAGAACTTTCCTTGTGCCTTAGGGTTACCCTTTGTTTGAAGGTCAAAACAGGATCATTCCTGTTGAAAATTAGCCGTTTTACCCCACTTTGCCCTATATTTTCTTGAGAAAAACCAACTTTTCCCCCCAATTTCACAGCCAAATTGCTGATGTTTATCTACTTTTGGTTAGTTTTTCAGCTCCAAATTCACAGTCGCCAAATTTTAAGATAAAGTAGGAAACAAAAAGAGAAAAAATTCTGTGTCTGTATCACAGCTTGTTTAGTAATTTTTGGGATTTTCCCGAGTAATTTTTTTCCCCAAATGACACAGGATGATCATCTTTGGTTTTTCCTGCTCCAAAAACCATGGTTTGGAGTCTTGAGGAAAGTCTAAAGAGCGCTCTTCCAAGCTACAGAGTCAAGTTATTTACTTCATTAAAAAATTTAAAAATATTGCCATTTTTGGTTATCTAGTTTTGTCCTTGTGGTTACTATGTAGTTGCAAAAAAACCAGAGAGTAGGCAAATTTGAAGTTAATATGAAAGAATGAAGAGAGGGCAAAAAAATAAAGAAAATATACTCACCAAATTAATCTCTTCCTCAGCCAACCAGCGACTGTCCTCTTCCGATTCTAACTGCTGCTGTTTGAGTCGTTGTTCTAATAACTGAGCTTCAAATTCAACCTCGGAAGTCCCAGGATTGTACAACAGTCCATCTCCGTACACCGGCTCACTCTGTAATCAATTTAGGAGAGAATTACTCAGAGCTGAGATGTAAATTTTCAGGTCAAATCAATCAAAGTTAGGCGGACATTTATTGAACAAGTACCTCGAGTGTAGTGAAGTTGTTGGAGTAGTACCTTTCGATACTTTAAAATCTTCCAGAAGTCTGCTTATGCTCATCAATTTGACCTGCATTAATTTATTGAAGGAGGGTACCTTTTACCTGGGTGCCAACCTTTAAGAAAAATAGGCACCATAGGTAAGTTGTGTGGGGTAGGTACTGCCGTGTTTAGAAAAAGCACCATATGAACATTTGAGTATGACCCAACGTTCTTAGGTTGAATGTTTACTTTTGAAAAAACTCATGTGTCTTTTCCCTTAAAGTTTTCAGATACAATACATTGTATTGCAAATAGATTTTCATGATTATTGGTAAATAGGTTTCCTGAAAAGTTCACCTTTTATCAGTGGAAGGTGGTGAAGGTCCAATGTGACTGTGTGTGTAGACTGATGGTGTTGATCAACTTTTTGAACTCACCCTTGAGAATTAAGGATATCTAAGAATTTCTCACATATTGATAGAACAAATTATTTTTCAAATTATCTGGAGGAAAATTATGAGGAAAAGTATTTTTCAAAAGCCATTGCAACCCTGTTCTGCTGCCAAAGTCATGTTCATGCGACAGGCAATACATCATGTCAGAAACAGGCAATAGAAAAACTATCAAGGCAAAATGGGTAAAAATCCAAATAGAGCAAAAACAAACATTCACCCTGGCAGAATCTTAAGTAACTTTAATGTTAATGAAATCATTTAGACCTGAGAGGAGTTCCTACACACCCAGAATGGAAAACTAAGTCACTTGGTATGTGTACAAAAATTTATTCTCTAAAAATACATACTTGACTACCCACAGGAATAAAGACTGAAATACCAAAGATTGACGAAATGTTGGCATGGATGCTGAGAGGAGTATGTTATTAGTGTTTGATGCAAAAAAACACCCAAAAATATCAAATCAACACCAGAAATAAAATATGATAGTTTAAAATTCAGAATTCAGAGAACGTAGTTTTCAGGAGAGGCTGTGGAATCATCTAGATGGTTAATCATGACTCTTTTTATCATATGATTGGGCAAAGGGAGTTTGAGGTAAAATGATGAAGATTTGCTAAAAACTGCTGAAATGCAGTGAAAAACTCAATGTTCCATATAATCAGAGGCTGTGTGTGAAAGAAAACTTGATAAATGGAGGAGCCCATAACTATTAAAAAAAAAAAAAAAAAAAAAAACCAAACAACAAGAGGATTTTGCAGTAAAATTGTGCTGAAGCAAGACTTGTAACCTTGCTTCATTGAATGCAGACTTTCTTCAATCCAGACATAAACACGGTGAACTTGTACACATGCATTGAAGGCCTTGACAGGGCATGTACCTGCCAAAATAATTCCTGAGTTATATTGAAGTGCAGAGTGCAGGGAGAGCACATCATGGTAGGGGTGTTTCTGTATCTCTGCTGAAATTAATCTATTAAGGGAAAAGCAAATGCATGCGTTTTGTTCGAACTACTACTGAATATTCTTTATGATTTTAAAATGTACTACACAAAAAAGTACCAGGAAAATACAAAATAATTTTCTCTAAAAAATTTAAATTGGCAGCTACAATTCTGAGACACCACAACTGAAAAGAGCCTATCCTGCACACAGCGCCTCAATTGGAATACAACATGCAATTTAGAACTACAATTTCTGGCTCATTCATATAAATACATATGTGCATGGGGAAACTATCGGGATATACGTTGTTTCTAAACCAAGACCGAAATAGAAAGTTCTGAATTGCAATACGTAGTCCAATTATGACTAAAATTTGGTTTCTAAGTGAACATACCTTGTATACTGGGAAGGCCTGAAAAATTTCCCCTTTAGAAAGATTAATTTTGTTCAGATCACAGTACATTTGTAATATCAAATCCCCCATGATTTTCCAATGGTTTAGTCTGAATTTCTTGTGTTACTTAGGTTAAAAGAAGACATGATTCAGTATATATGTAGTCATTTCAGTACTATTGATTTCTGCCGCTTATTTTTCAGATTAGTGTAAAGGACGAAAATTTATTGAATTTTCAGAAGTTTTCCCCCAAATAAACCGTGTTTACTTTGTCAAATTTAAAGTTCTGTTTCTCAAGTTTTTCCTATAACAAAAAACTCAGACTTTTTTTTTGTCATTAAAAAACTTTCACCAACAAAACTAACCAGGTCATTACCTCCTGCCTCTCTCTTTTCAGACTTCAGTTTTTCAAAAAGAATTAGCATTGTAAAAGATCTGATAAGGTTGCTGTTGCGAAGATTTTCTATAAAACATTTTGCAAAAAAATCCATTCAAATGCTGCCACAAAAGACAAGATGAACAAACACAAAAGCACAAAACAAGCTAAAAACAGTCGGCTCATATGATGATGAACAAAAATATGTGCGTATTTAGGGATGGTTTGAAAATTTAGGAGGTATCATAACTGAGGAGCAAACATTGGTTGATAGACATACACACATCTACATGAATCACATTCGGAAGGTGATTGAAATTCATGCTGCAGTTTTAGTAAAAGCTACCAGTCTCAAAACATATGATGCAGACTACAGGCACACTTGAATATGTTTCCAAACCTCCTCGAAATCAGAGCCACTAGCTGCATTAAACGACAAAGTCTGAGTTGAGCTACCACCGGGCCCTAGCACAGCGCTAGAAACAGAAAGGTTATCATTATTCAACGTTGATGTGGAGCTATTAAATCGACCGGACACCAGCTGAGAAGAAAGCTTCCTACCAGCAGCACTTTTCCTTGTGCCCAGCGCTTTGCCTCCGAAATTGCGGGGTAAGGACTTGTTAGAGGCGGAGGAGGATAGCTGGTTTGGGACGAGACGAAGCTCGGAGGAGGATTGGGTGCTGTGGGGGAAGTTTTCCGAAAGGCTACTGCTGAGAGAGTTTAAGCTTAGTATGGAGTTTCTCACGGAGTTCCCACCACCGAGTTTTTCTTTGAAATCTACCGTTAGAGTGTTGAAGGCGGAGGCTGGGGTTGTGTAGACAGATGGGTTCACGCCACGAGCTTCATTCTCCTTCAGGAGATGGACAAGGACTTCCGGGTTTTGAGCAACTATGTACGTTGAGACAGCACCTGGTTGGCTCGACGTTTCGTCGTTAATGAGATTCCGTGAGGGTTTTGGAGGAGGTAGACATTCATCTGAATCACCTGTGAAATAATTGATGCAATTAAAAGTGCGAAAAATAAATTATATAAAATTACAGTAAATGAAAAGTAACATAACAGTGGTGAAAGTGCAGAAGTGCGTATTTCGATTTTTGATAGTTTTGAGTTAGCTGCATAAACGTGTTGTTGAAGATTTTGTCTATCCCCAGCAAAAGATAATAATCGAAAAAAATCGGGAAGTCACCTAAGACCGTAGAACTTTTTCCGCGTATCTCGGGCTTAAGTGCAGAAATGCGTATCTCGTTCTGGCCCCTTCGATTGAGCGCTCCTCAGCGTTTCCCGCCAACAGTGCATACATCAGCTGATCAGCTGTTCTTTGTTTTTATTCACTTTCAGGAATTTGCTGTTTTTGAAAAGTTGCTAAATGCTAATCACTCTAGGATCCTCCAGTATTATTTCTTCATAGGTACCTATTACTAGCGGCCCGCAGCGTTCATGTCCATTATTTATTTTTGGGGCCAATGCAATCATGAACGGACAGTTCATCAGGATGGTCAGTTGTATTAGAATCGATTGATTCATACAATGTTTCATCTACCATATTGGATTAACTAAAGCACCTAAACAAGTTTTAAGTATAAATAAACTCTATTTTGATCTTAATGATCAAGAGCAGGTTCAAAACGCTACCTGCAGAAATGCGTGTCTCATGATCAAATGTCATTTTCCAATTATAAAAAGCTTGATCCGACTGTTTGAGGTCAAACTAAAGCTTCTGATAAGGAATTGTAAGCGTGAAACTCTTGTTTCAGTCTTTAAATGATCAAAATCTGCCAGCAACATGTTTAAAACAGTAATTGCAAAAATGCATACTTCAAGATAAAGTGTCAATTCTTAGTGCTGAAAATGCAAATCTGGAAATTTCTGCCGTATTTTCTAAAGGTTCTAGAAATTATTCAAAATGCTGATGTAGTCTGAAAAAGCATCTTATTTTTGCTATCCTTAAAAATTATCACCCTTCTACTGACAATGAGGAGGAATGTAGACAGTTTTTTTACTCTCCTGGAAAATCGTGTTTTCTGAGATACGCACTTCTGCACTTTCACCATTGATATGTAAAACTATTTCCCAGAGGGCGCACTGTTTATTAAGGAAAAAAAACATTTCATATGGTTATTTATTTTACACCCATTATGCTAAAAATTTGGAGATAAGTAAATTTCTAAGACGAGACTACGATGTGTGACAGGAATGATTAAAAATTTAGATATGGAAATATGAGACAGGTTTATCTTCCTAACCTAACATTTATCTATTATCTTCTTTAGCAACAATTAAAGAGATTTGTCAACTTTAAAATGGGCTGCAAAAAACAAACTTTCAAACAAAAAAGAAAACTATAAAAACGTTTACTTCAATTGTAGTATTTCAGAATTTGTGCTCTTTTTTCATTTTTTTTAAAAAAATATTTCTTGAAGTTTTCGTAATAAAGTTTTGGGGAATATTTTTGAAAAATCAAACAACCATCGCGTGAGATTTTGTTTAGTTATGATGATTGGTCATCTATCAAATAAGTAAAGTATCACAGGAAACCTGCGACTTTGCAAATCAAAATAAATTGTTCCATAAATTCAATACTGATAAACAGCACTTACTCCATGATTGAATACGCCTATTCCCTCTTCGCATTGAGTCTTGCTGCTGACGTTTTTCTTCTATTAAAATTTCGCTGAAACACATAAAATAGGTAAAAATTGAGAACTGCTCATGCAAGCGGAGAAATCAGTTGTACTCTCAGTATTTCACAGATTACTTTTTCTCACTCCATTTTTCCAGAAAAAGAAGGAGAAAAAGTTATGGAGAGTGTGAAATTTACGATGGCACTCCACAAGTTGCATTTCCTTCCAAGTAATTACTGACTAAGAAAAGCACCTTACAATAAAAAACAAGAGAGAGGTGATTTGCATAGAAGTCAGGGCGCTTGTTCTTAATACAGCTTTCAAAGACAGCAATGTTGGGGAAAACTATTCTTTTGGAAAAGGTAATGACAGATATGAAGAGAGAATATGAATCTTGCAGAAAAACAATGAATAAAGTTCACCTTTGATATTAGGTTTAATTAAAAAGAAAAAAGAAAATCTTAAATCTTGAAATTCAATTAGGTAGGAATTTACGTAAAAGTAATTAACGTTTAGAAGTTAAAGTAAATACATTTTAGGATTTAAAGGGCCGTCAATTAATTACATCATTCAAGTAGGGGGAAGGGGGGGTCTAGCGGTGGATGATGGTGGGTGACGTGGAGGGAGGGAGAGGTCACGCCAAGGATGATATAAGCTTTCCTGAAGGCAAAAAGACTGAAAATCTTGCTTGATTTTTATCAATTTTCTGCATTTTCTCCAAAAAAGGGGGGAGGAACACAACATATATGTATTTGATGTTCAATAACAGGAAATAGTCATGTTTGTAACGCTGTAGACTATATCTATTGATTTCTATCTACTTTCTGGGGGGATCTAGCAATGGATGACAGTTTACAGTGGGGAAGGGAGGTCTAAAAATTGAAGAAAATGGTGATATAATTGATGGACGGCCCCTGATGTAAACAATGTTTGAAATATCTTGTTATTGAATAAATAGATTTAATCCAAAATATCTTCAAACATAAAAATTAAATTTTTAGAGAGGTAAAAGGAAAAACTGTTCCAGAAAATTATAAGGAGGTACACAAATTTAAGCTACTAATAGGTACTCAAAAAACATTATTTCGAAGCCTCTAGAACTAGAAGGAAATACTTACTTGAGAACCTGCTTAATCTCTTTAAAGCTGGGCCTTTTGCTTGGCTCGTAGGCCCAACACTGTGACATGAGCGAGTAAAGCCGCGGAGGACAAAGGGGAGGTAGTGGTAGGCGTTCTCCATTTTCTAGTTTGCCGATGACATCATTATTGTTCACACCTTGGAACGGCTTCACACCAAACTTTAGGATTTCCCACATACACACTCCTGTTTAAGAAAAGCATAGAATGATCATTTGAACTTTGGCTGATGGTATTTATTTTAAAAAACTTGCATCCGCAGCGTGAAAGGCGCTCTTTTTCTCAAAGAGCAGGGGTGAATTTTCTTCTGAGGGCGGTGAAAGTTCTTCAAGTTAAAACGTCAAGGAACCAAAGAAAATTTTTGCTTGAGAAGCTTTTGGTCTAAAGTGTATTACTGGTATAGTTAATATCAGTGTAGCAATGTTTACTCAATGCTGCTGTGCTCAGAGAAAAAGCTGAATGAGCATTTGAAAGTTCCCAAATTCCCTTAGGTAAAATGTTCATTTTTGAGGAAAGTTGTGAATGTTTTCTTTTGGGATTTACAGATAATGTAGATCTGGTTAAAAGTAATAACGTTTTAAAAAAAGGAGGAACAATATTCAGAATTTTCCCAGTATGTTTGCTTTTAATTGAAGGAAATCTGGCAACATCTGAGGGCTCCTGAGGCGTTCTTTCTGAGCAGAATGGGTAATGAACATTGACACATACTTCTTCTTGAATATGGTAATGACAATTTGTAATTTTATCAGTTACTCAGAATATGAAAGTTTCATAAGTCACTCAGTTTGAAAAATTGGTAAAAAGAAGTTACGCTGAAATCCTCACTCAACAAAAATGGGAATCTTCACTCAAAAAATTATTTCATGGACTTCTTGTCCCAATACTTGCTTCGGTTCTCATTTTTTTTTTTTTTTTTTTTTTTGATTTCTCAGTTACTACCATAGTGTTTTCTACTTAAGTAGACATATGTCAGCTTGAATTTTCCCTATAAAGAAATTTGTTATACTAGTTACAACAGAAAAGTTGAAAGATTGAAAAAAATGTGACTCGAGCAGCATTTTATCTTCATGAAAGTTTAACTTGGCCAGCTTTTGATGGATTTCATGTTGGTTGATTAAGATAGCAATAAAAAAATGCAACATCAGTGTCAATAAATAAAAAATTTAGCTTTTTTGCGGCAACAATGCTCGATTATGAGTACTTTTTGAATTACGAGGGCTCACCAAACATCCAAACATCGCTTGCAGTTGTAAAACGGCGAAAGTTAATAGATTCTGGGGCCATCCACTTGATGGGGAGTTTCCCACGACCCGCTTTGTAGTAGCTTTGATCTTCAACCCATCGTGACAGGCCAAAATCAGCCAACTTCACACAACGATGGGAGGAGACTAGAACATTCCTGGCAGCAATATCCCTGGAAAGTTGAAATTTTATTAAGTTGGTGGAAATAGAAAAACAAACACATGCATAAAATGACTTAATCATAATCGTCACTATAAATGCAACATCACAAAAAAGCAATGAATACATCTGATGATTCTCACCAGTAGCATTGGAAACGTTATGTTATTGCAATTGTTCGGATTCAATTTGATTGAGTAGAGAATCTCTGATGTGAAATCATGACCACCCCAGTGTAATTTCCACCAATCATTCTAATTTATATAAATTGGAAAATAAAGGTTTAGCAGATTTTTAAAAACACTCATGCAAAAAAAATGTTCCAATAAGTAACCGACAGCAATGGTAGGCATGATGATGTAAACCAGGAAAAGATGCAAATATGTACTCGTAAATGAGACAATCTGCAGGAAAAGAAACCTCTCAGCCCAAGAACTGAACATCGAGAGGACTAAATTAAAACCAAAACTGTTTCTTACAGAAGTGTGTCACTAACTTTTACCCCCCCCCCCCCCAAAAAAAAAGGATTTACATTAGATTTAGATTAGGTTGGTTCAGTTCCGTTATGTTACATACAAAAAAAGCAGTTAAATTTTTCATAGTTGATTAATATTTGAATAAAAACGCAAACCTACCTATGAACAAATTTTTTGGACTCAAGATACGAAAGAGCGGTAGACAGTTGGAATGTATAGAGGACTAGAACAGATAGATCTAAAAAATCTTTGTTACTTTGTAAATAAGCACGGAGCTCGCCATGCCTGGCAAGTTCCATTACAATCCAGATTGGATTTTCTGAGCAAACACCAATGAGCTTGATAATGTGGGAGTGATCAAACTGCTGCATGATATCTGGAAAACAGCGAAGTCAACAACTTTGAAATTAGGAAGGCTACTAAAAAATTGGAAAATGTAATTTAAATGAATGTTTAAAAAGAACCAGTCCATTTACAAAAGAGGTTTTGAAATAACCCAAGATTACTACCTAATACATTCTATTGGACTATATGTCCTTTCTTAAAATCTTATCGGTGGATAGTTACACTCTGCTGAAATGGCATCCAGGATATAGGGTTTTCTATTGTGTCAACACCATACTTCTTAATGCAGAGAAGATTCTCAATTTGAACTGTGGGTAGAAAATGAGTGAAATACCAAAGTAAGCTTATTTAATGATGTCAATGAAAAGAAATTAATGAATTAAAAATCGCACACTTCCTCGAATCTCCTTCGACCAAAATTCCTGAACTGTTTTGGGCAACAATCTACCTGTAAGATATGCATGAAGAAAAAAAACAAAAAAACATTTCCTTGTAACTACACAAATATTGGCCTCTAAATTCAAAGATTTGTTTTTTCAAAGCCACGACTTCACAAAATTTGATTCTTTCAAACCGTGAGAATATGCATTAGATCGAAGATTAGAACATGATTTCAGTTTTGTCATAATTCTCCATTCATCTTCTTTTAAATATTTTCTCTTCCAATAAATTAAACAGAATACTTTCTATGGTTGATGCGTTCAAATTTTGTTTAACACAAATAGTAACGACAACATTTTGATGTACTCACAAGCCTCTTCGAGAAATCTTTCAGCAGTTGCCAGATCAGCGTCCACTTTGCAGGTTTTAATGGCGACAGGGACACTGTTATCCGGCCGCAACTTGTAGACCCCTTTGTGAACGTCACCGAATTGTCCTTGCCCAATGATTTCTCCCAATTCGATTTTTTCTCGGCTTAGTTCATAATCTCTGCCTGCGCGCAGAAACACACAAGCAAAAAAAGAGGGAAAAAAGGTTAATGGTCAAAAATTTTAAATTGCTTATTTACACCAAGAAAGAGGAAAAATGCTGAAGGTTACGAATTCTTCATCTGGAAGAAATTATGGACGTCTCAGCATTGAAATAAATTAGATACACACAATGAAATAGGAATGTCAATTTCACGTTGATTTTTTTCAGACATTAATTTAAAATTGATTCCCCAGCTACTATTGAAATCAAGCAATTTGCATTAGATTTCTGTCAAAATTATCAAAGCTGCAACAATGATGACAAATTAAAAAGATTTATCATCCTTCCGATCTCTAAAATAGAAGGAATATGAAGTTTTGGCCATCAATTATTACATTGTATCAATTAATTGATAAAAGTCAAATTTTTTTTTTTCTTTCTTTCTTTGAATAATCGCTATCCCTCCAGAGGTAGTGAAATACAGGGCTTCATTTGCATATCGGCTACATGCTACATGATGAATTAAAAAAAATTGCGGCCCCTTAAATTATGCAATTGCAGACTAGAGCTTACTTTGCCTGATAGGGAATACAGCCCGTTAGTAATTCAGTTTTCATTTGAAAATTATGAGTCCACAAACTCAAAGCAAAATTGATATGCGAAAATAAACAACTTCAGCCCTTACTTGTTGGAGTGGAGTAGTCACCTTCCTCATCGCAGATCTCAGCGTAATCCTCAGACAAAACAGCACTTGTCCCATTCTTGACTTTGGTTTTGGCAGCAGCATTTGAAGAGTCTGAAAAACCCCCAAAAAAATGATTAGGAGCGAGAAAAGGAAAAAGTCGAGGTCACTGTCCTGTAAGTCAACTAGATGTACTTTGACAGCCACGGAAAAAAGAAAAAAAAAAAAAACTTATTTCACCAGTCAAAAGATGCTACTTACTAAAAAATACTCAAAGGAAATACACAATAAAGTCCAAAACAGTGTAGAAGTAAGAGAAACAAATCTTAAAACACAACATCTGCCTAAACTCGGGATGGCAATTACCAAAATTTTTTTAGGGAAAAGGATTTCTTAGAAAAATGAATTAGGCAATCAAATCAATTCTTTGCAACTGATTTAAAATCTAAATTTAATTAATTATTAATTGAAAATTTAAATTTAAAGGTTAGAATTAAACAATTTTTGTCCCATTTTGAAAGCGTAGATGGCAAGGCCAAAGTTTTAAGATTTTTGATTTTTCAGGTCAAAATTGTTTGCTACCAATTAGTAAATTTTATCGATTCTATGCAAAAAATCAAATAGAGGCTTTAAATTAGACTTTAGTCTCAATAATCACCGTTTACAGTTAAAAATTGAAAATATGTGTAATACATAAGTGATGCTCATTAAGAATTAGCAATTTGAAAAGTACCTACTCAAGGCGCAACATTAAAAATTAAGACAATAAAGCCTGGGATCAATTTTAGGATGAAGCACTGGAATAAATGATTAATCTTATTTGAAAGGAAATCATAGCTGTCACAATAAATTCCTGAGGAAATACAAGGAGAAGTATGTCTTTCAAACCGTTGGGAAGGCCCTAAAATTTTACGATTCGTGACAACCTTCCATGAGCTTGAGCGCAGAAAAAACCTCAGAAATTTTAATGCAATTACATGTAACTGGGAGGTTAACTCAAACTCAAGAAACTGTGCTCCAATAAAATTAGCTTACCTTTCACGCAACAAAGCTGGCAGGGATACTTTTTCCAAATGGCAGCTTGAGTAAAGAGCAGAAAAAAGGCACAAAAATCAAAACTCTATTTATTGCTTGTGACAGTCAACAGGAATACAACCCAGACGAGAAAGGACAATGCCAAATTTTTTTTTAGCGCAATTACTATCAAGTTGAAGCGGAAAAATTTAATTGGAGTTTTGGGATAATGAAAGGACCACAGAAAAATTACGATTTAAACAGATTTCCAACTTGACAGCAATTGACTTCTCGAGGTCTAACCGTAATATATTTTTGACACTTAAGTCCCCTTTCCTGAAAACAGTCAAACACCTAATTTTCGAAATTGAGTCAATCCTGGAGAATTATACCTTCAAGACATTCTAATCGAAGGCCAAAATAATTACTAAACAAGAAGAACTCCCAGAGAGAGGGAGAAGGGCCTGAATTTACGTTTTTTGATATTTGAAAATCTCTACTGATGAAAATGAGTTGCATAAGCACCATACCACCGTTAAAGATTTCCACCAAGAGGCACTAATTAGAGCGGGCAACGTAATCTTTGGGATCACTTCAGCTAGTTGGACATCGCTGATTTGCTTCCAGTAATATCCTTGCTGTTCTGCAACTCAACAATTTTTCATGTGTACTTAGCCCCTGTTTAAAAACTAATTATTAAAACTCAAAATGTCCCCTGCCTTCTTACTGTATTTGTCAGTGTGTGCCTTAAGAGTTTTGTGTGTTTACCTTTTAAGTTCCAGAGCGAAGTATCACTATTTGTGTAAAATCTAAAATATCCGTCGACTAGATGAGCTAAACTTTCAGCGACCTCCAAAGAAGGGCATGTCACAGTCAGTGTTTCAGGAGCGCCCGTTACCCGTAGTTGGAGGAGTGTCTTCCGATGAGGTTCACAATCAGTTACCAAGGTGCTTAGACTTTCGACAGCATCGAAATCAGCCATTTTCTGAGGCTGAAAAAAATTAATTGAAAATATACTTGATTGAGAGTCCATTGCAAGATAAGAGACTTGATTATGAGAGTTTTAGACACATCTCCATTACCTCCTTACCGATTGTCTTTTCTTTGTAAGTTAAATGGGAACAAAAAAAATGCTACCAAATAATTTAGCAAGTTATAAATTAGACAGATTTTGAAATGGGCTCTCTGTATCCACCAGAGTTTGGGAAACTGATCTCTTCCAAGTTTTTGCCAAAGAAGTAGATCCTTAGGTCTCATTCACTGAAATAATTTCTGACTGTTGACGGTGCTTTCCTTGTGCTGCTTCCGTTCTCATTTTGCTTTTTACAATCTTTTGTCTACCATTCCGTAAAATTCAAAGATATTTTCATGTCTATTGAGTTAATTTTTGCTGAAGTTATAGCTCAAATTTTAAGTAAACCTTAATGTTAGACTTAAGTTAAAAGTTTACTCACAACAGTAGCCTTATGGGAAATATATGAGATTCCAATATCCGGTCCAATGACTAACTCCACTGGGAAAGACCACCCAGACTGAAAAAGAAAAGAAAAAGTTGTTACAATCTTTATTTTTCAATACCTGCTTGGGTGCTTCCATCACCTAAGACCATTCACATAAAAGAGAACCTATGTCCACAAAAACATTGAGTTGCAGCTATCAGAGCATTGAGGAGTGCTCTACAAACATTTTGCTTACAAAAAATGCTGTAAGATTACACATTTTGTTTCAAACATGTGACTCGTTTCCTTTCAGTTTTGATCAAATCCAATTGGGCGACTGGTGATGTATTATTCAGGAAACTAACAGGATTTTTTCTGTCAATAACTCAAATTTAAATTTTGCGACTGGTTGAAAAAAACATTCTACCATATTACTTACCTTCCTATAATAAGGCCTCTTTTCCGAGGAACTGTCACAACTCAAGCTAAAAGAGAACAACTGACTACTTGCCTGAGCATTTAACAAAGTACCTCATTCAAATATTGGGCAGTGAAAATTTCATATTGGAAGAGGAATGAATTTCTAGGCAGAACAAAGATTGGGAGGAATTTGACTTACCCCCAGCGTGCAATGGAATTTTTCGTAGTCAAATCTGTTAAGAGATTTCAAGAGTTGGAGAAACTTGCAGAGACTTTCTTTTTCAGGTAATTGTATTGCTTTCTTCAACTGATGCTTGATCGTTTGTTTCAGGGTTTTTGGTTTGATCTGATCGATAACGCTCAGCGGTAGGAACTTCTGAAGACCGACCTTAAAAAAGAAAAACAGAGTTCTTAAAGGGAAGAGCCTCAATTGTCCTTTCTATATATTTTGATTCACCACTGTTAAATTGAGATGTGTGATAAGATTTATTCGGAACTACATCTGAGCTTTCACAGATGTCTTTGGGGTACAGTAAGATCTTAATTTATCAAATTGCGATTTTACAGATTCTATGATTTAACGAATTGATCTTCCAGTCCCTTAAAGAGCTTCAAGCTAATTTGAATTCACCAATCCTGCAATTTGACACATCAACTTGTCAGTCCCTCGAAATTCCATAGATCGAGGTCTTACTGTGATACTCTTTGGTGACCATCTATGAACAATCACATTTGAACGCGCGCCCTAACATTTGGGGCTCAGGATGAGTAGAACCATACAAGAAAGGGATTTTAAAAGAAAAGACTGTAATTCCATAGCAAAGAATTCGATGATTTTGGTTTGTTTGAAGAATGTTATCATTCCACCGGCAACAAGTCGGTTTACTAAAATTTCATGGGAAATTTTGGGTAAAGAACGAAAAAAAAGAATGAAAAGAAAAAACACTTATTCATCTTAGGATTCTCTCCTTGAAAAATTTTCAATGTTGCTCCTGGCTGCAATTGCTCAGACCAGGTTCTCGATGGAAAGTTATTCAGGAGGCGAAAATATAGTTGAACAAAATTTTAAAATGAAAGCTAAAAAAAGAGTGCTTCCTTAATTTTAAGAGCCTTAAAAGATGACATTCTTAAAATGCAGTGGGAGATGTGGTTTTTGGGCAGACGAGAAAACAGTTTTTGGGCTGACAAGGAAACAGAGAGAGCATTGGTTAAATTCATAAACCACAAATTAAAATTAAAACCAAATTTCAAAATTTCAAAATCAAATTTAAAATTTCTTTGCGTTTTTCATCCTTTACATGGAAAACGAATGAACATTCTGGCCTTAAATTTTTAGAGGCTGATCACTGAGTGAAGAAGAAAAATCAAAGAAACTTAAACGCCATGATGGTTATTGGTATACCTTTTAAAAATTGGACATGCATGGACATTTTTAAACATCACGATCAAGACACAAGGTTTCAGAGGCTATCCATCAAGAGGCATTAAAATTTTTTTAGGGGGAAAGACTTAAAAATTATCAATAAAAACTTTGATTAGATGAAGAGGAACAGTTAATAAATACTTAGATGTATCTCACCTCTTTTTCTAAATGATCTAAACTAATTTTTTTGTCCAGTTTATCTTTAAAAAAGTATCTAATTTTAAGACAGCACAGCTGAATAGCCACTTCATGATCAATATTCGCACCAATAGTATCTGAAGGGTATTCTTTCTGAACCTGTAACAAGAGAAAAATAAAGATTTGTCATCAGATCATACTAAAACCTACAAAGAGAAGAGCAAAAAGAAATCAGGAATAGGTCTGATTCACACGAAAGATACAGTCAACTGAATAGAATTTTGGTGAGCAAGGTTGTATGAAAATCACGTTGATCAGAAATATATGGAATCTACTCCTGAATGCATAATTTGGTAACTGGATTGGTGTGGTTCCAGATCATTTGACACAGAGAGCAGGATTTTTGTGCAATGAGTCACTAAATCTACCAAGTGAGTAGATTACAAGGTAATTTATAGCACATTTTTGGAGGCAAAATCCCGAGCGAGCCCACCTTTAAAAAGTCCAAAGACTCGGAGGAATTTCAAACGCACCAAAATGGGAGAAAAATAATGGAATTTAGTCTAATGAAAGTGATATAATACAGCAATCAAATCGCTATCTCCTCTCACTTTCCACTGATTTTTGTGAAAATAAAACATATTTCATTGTAGAGTTGTTGTTACCTGCCAATAACTTGTTTGAGATTCAATTCTTTGATTCTGAAGATAAAGTTCGTACTGTGATATTGTTTTCACATAGAAACTCATGCTCGCTTCTGATTGGTGCCGGATGACATCATTTAGTTCAGCTAGAAACCGGGGTGATTTAAATTTGCAGAAAAGTTGCACTCTTTGAACTGTGTCTATGTCGGTTTCTAGGTTATTTTTTGCATTTTTAATGTGCACATGCACTAGGTGTCATTTAACTTCAGAAAAATGTATTCGCAAGTCAAAATTCATTCATGGTTTTGTGACCTATTGTAAAGATGGATGGCTAAAATACCTGTATAAGTCTTATAAGCCTGTATGAGTTTGTATCATTCCTGATTGACATGGGGTTTTGAGTAGGGAAACTTGCAAAAAGAGAGCAACTCTTGATAAAGAAACAGTGAACACTTACTTCGTGAAAGAACAGCATAAAGGTAACTTTGTCTTTGTCATAGAGTTGACCTAAATCTTGAGGTAGGAACCTGATCCTTAACTCAAATTTCCAATTACTGAATTTATGCTTTGCTTCACACTTTTCCAGCACCTAAGTTGGAAAAATTGTAAATACATTAAGACAAGAACACATAAAGCAGCATAGTAGGTATTTAAAAGATGCTGTGCTACAATGATGAAAATTCATTTTTGGAAAAAAAAAACCAAATATATAATTGTTTCAAAAAATAATTTTGTAAATCTGCTGGGGTGCTATTTTTAAACAAGCGCCAGAGACTTATCGCCCCTACAGGGGCTTGACACAATTTATGCACAAATCTTTGACTGTCAATTACACAAAGGTCCTTTTTTCAGGTAGGTAATAAAGAAAGGTTTGATTGAAAAATCAGAATTGGACTTTCCAATTATAATATCTTGATAAATAAGTTGCAACCAGTTCGGTTCATTTTTCTGCCAACAAAAGGTACAAACTTCCATTTTGAGCTCTCATCATAGCAGATTAGACTTCTTTTAATGTTTTTTTTCTTTTCTTTTTTTACTAGGCTTTTTAAACCGTTAGTTTCAGACTGTCATTGACCCCATTTGGTTTCACATTTATGACAATTATTCATATCAAAAAGTTTGTGAAATACTCCTACAAGCATGCTGCCATGCTAAGGAAAAACGTCGTATGAACATTCAAGAGTTGCCAAATTTCTTCTCAGAAAACTGTTGTTTTTGAAGAACATTATGATACTTTTCCTAAAAATTTTCAGGAGCTTTACATGACATTGCCAACAAAATTATCTGAAAAATTGAAGGAAAAATATTTACTAATTTTCCTGACAATTTATAATTTACCAAAGGAAATGTGGCAACACCTGAGGGTTCATACAGCGTTTTTTCTTAGAACGGCAGCACAGGTACCATTCCAGATTTTAGTTTCTCTTTGAGAAGGTCTCCTTCCCCATGGAACTTGGGGACAAAAATTGTACTGAAATAACTTTAAAATGCTTTCAGCTAAGAGTAAAGGTTTAAATACCTGTCTGAAAGTGATATCTGGATGAAGCCAAAATTTCTGCTTGGATTGCGGCTCAAGGAGGAGAATTGCATAACAACGATGATAAGTTACTCCAAGGCGATTAGTAATCAGCGTAATAGTGCCCTGTAAAAAATTAAGAGAACCATGAGTATGATTACTGTAGCTAGGATGTATTTGAAATGTTTAGCAATTTCTAGCTGCTTAGGTTCATGCAAAAGTTATTTCTCCCTTGAGAAACGACACGATTTGGCTTTGATTATGATTTGAATACATTTAGGCCAACGAAGTATATTTGCATTGGATGTAGTAAACAAAGACATGTGCTCAATAGTTTAGTGGGAAAGTGGAAGATTACAAGAGGCTAAAAAGTGGGCACGAACCAAAAAAATAATTAATTTATTCATACAAAAGCATAAAGCAATGATACTAACAAATGAGTGAATTTTCATTTGAGGGTGCATTACGCAACACAGGTCTACCTGCACTGCAATTGCAGAAAAAATTCTTAATCCGCTTTTGGTTGTGTCACATTATTTTAAATCTAACATAGTAGATGGAGTTTTTTCTTTGCATTTATGAGCTAAATTAAGGAAAGATAATCTGTAGTATCTAAAACTCTTAAGGACAGTTGCTTCCAGTGTTGGCACTTATTGAAAAAATTTAAAGAGAGAAGAGAGCTTTCGTTAGATGTAGAGCCAGAAGCACATTTGATTTTTACTGTGCATCTGTATCAGTGGCTATTATTCTTCCTCTCACAGAAAATTTAGCTCTCAGTTTTTGGTATGCTCCTTTTTTCTTAAATTCCAGCTGCTTTAAATAAGGAGGAGCGTTGTGGTTTGAATTATGCTATATTGGGCTAAAACCAAAGCTTACCTTGATGTCTAAGTCATCATTCCATTTGATATACTGAAATTCTCCGCTTGGAAGATCTATTTTGATAGTAGCTGGTGGTTTTTCCGACGTTACGGCGGCCATTGGAGTTGGTACACTTGGTACAGTGACCTTTGAGGAAATACCACATTTAAAATCCATTTCTGTTTTCTCATGGCTAGAGCAATTAGAAAAGACAAAAATTAAAGCATGTAGAGCAAATTAAGCTGTCATTTTTCAAATTGAAGTAGAAGATAGCTACAGTGGTTCGGTTCTTACAAACTCTTTGTGGAAATAATCCGCTCCAATTAAAGAAAATATAATAACATTCCAAACTTGAAATGTACGGCATGAAAATGGGGATAGGAATAGAGATGGTAAGTTTGGATTGAAGCTCTTGCAAAAAGTACTCCCAGCGACATACTTGTAGCCCTGACTGTGGCCACCCTCTCATTTTTTCATTTTGAGGTGACTGCCCAAGGACTACAGAACCTTCATGCTTGAAAGAAAACTTGGACTACAGTTTGCAATCGAGAGGTAGAATTTCTAGCTGTAAAAGCACTTATCTTCATAAGGAAACTAATGGTATATACATTGTTTCTACAAGGGGCCGCAAATAGCAGTTCCTTACGGCAAAATGGAGTCTAATTTTAAGGATGGAAATTTTTGTCAAGTTGGGTCAAAAACTTGGGATTTCAGTTTTTAACGTGAGTCACTTCTTGATACCTATCCTAGGGAACAAAGTAAGACCTTAATTTATCGGATTGAGATTTAAAAGATCAATCTTTCGGTCTTTTCAATGGCTTCGAGCTATTCAAATTAACGAATTCATTAATCTAACATATCGATTCGTCAGTCCCATAAAATCCCATAAATTGAGGTTTTACTGTATATTGAAGTGGTTTTCTTCAGTTTTGTGCCACTAAAGAAGTGTGATTTGCATTTTCGTCTGAGAAAGTTTGGTCTTACACAGGAAAAATTTAAACTTTACGTAAATGGATTTTTCTCCAAGCTCAACACTGGCATTATTTGGAGTGTAGGTAACAAATTAGTAGAAAGTTCCTCACCATTGTCACTGGAGTAACAACGAAGAGAGACCTGGGAACTTGACACCATTGATTTTTGTCATAGTGAATGTAGCTTCAGTTCCATTCTGAAAAACAAACAAAGCGTGTTAAAAGCGTACACTTCATGAAAGGGTGAAAATTTCCAACAACACTTACTGTCATACTTTATTTTTTCAATGGAAAACTACTGATTGTAAGTTCTTGAAAACTCCCATGACTTTTCTTCTCCGCACAATGAAAACTCATTGAAAATTTCAAGGAATGCTAATTATTTGTTCTCTATTAAAAAAATTAAATGGGAGGGGAGATTTGTAAACACCGCAAACGAGATGCATGGTCTGCCAGTCTCACCATCGATATGTTCTTGGGAATTAAGAGAAATCAGAAAATACCTGATGTTAGCCAACTATGAAAAAGCAAGCTTTGCCAGTTTTCCAAAGAAAAATTAAAGAATGACAGGAAGTCTGCAACATCATAAATGGAGCAACATGGTTTTGCACTTTGACCATCGATATCCTTTAACAGTGACTCGGTAGGGACCTTGTCGCCCCATCTGGAGGAAGGAACTGAAGCTCTAAATGTACTATAGGGAATGTTTTCATGAAGTTGACAAGACCGAGTAGATGTTAGCTGAACTTTATGGAGTCAAATTCATGATCTTAACAGAAACAGAGGATCCAGACCGTTTCTTATGGACTCATACTATCCATTGAGAAACGCTCCTACTGTTCATGTTGACAATATCCTTGCAACTGCATGAGCTAAGACTTAATGCCAGAGCAGCAAGAACTGCGCATTTGAAATGAACAGGGAAGCACATGCAGTATCTAATAAACCTGAAAGTATTGAGGTGAAATAACGACAAAGTATAGGATGATGGGGGGTAAACAAAGCCTGCAAGTTGAGCTGAACTTGAAACAGTACAACTTTGAACCGGGCTTACCTGATCATTGTACGGAGTAAACCAACCTGAAGCTGAAACAGATTTCACTAGGGTCAGAGATTTACTTGAGAACCAAAAAACTTAGATCGTTTCAAGAAACAAGCCAAGGGACCCACATCAAAGGAGGGTGAACCAAATTTTGAATTCATTGAGCAAATAGCGGATAGGAGTATGTGCTTGTGTGGTTTGTTGCTACCGTATTGTCGGACAAAATTAGGATAAAAGCTCAAGAATACTTACGATGAAACAAATATCATGTGTTTTTCCCGATAGGAGTCAGAATCACACTAAACAGGAGGCAATCGGCTGGACTGAGTGAGCCGAAGAATAACAAGTTGAATTCTCAAAAGAACCACTGTAAGTAAATTAAAGCCGATAGGAAATTGTGGGAAAAAATCTGTACCAAAACCACAGATACAGCAAAAGACTACCGCGGGTGCACTTTAGAAAAAAAAGCTTGATTTGATGAAATCACTAAAATTGTCATGATAATTATGAAAAAGTAAGAGTGGTGGAGGGTGAGGGTGACCATACCTACAGTCCCAGCACTACGTCACAATTTCCGACCCCTTCTTTCCCTCCCTTTTACATTTCCAAACTACTTGCGTTGTTGGTTGGTTATAGATTGTATTCGATAGTAGTTCGATGTATCGTTTGGTTCAAGACAATAGAATATAACCTCAAACAAAACTTGTAGTGTAGAGTTTGGGCTGATATTGAGAAAATCCCTGACATTCTGAATTTTTATGGCCAAATTTCGTTCATAAGAATCATTAATCTACCACAAATTACCCTTCCCTTTACATTATTCAATTAACTTTTGAGGCTATGTTCGAATGTCGAATTGATGTCGAACCAATTGATATCGATACAATCTCACCTGTCTGATGTATCGAATCGAATGCGATCCAAACGATTCGATCGCTCCCCACTTCCAATCCCTTCCCTTCCCCATAGAAATCGTCCAAATCAAACTTCGTCCTCGTTGAACTCTCGTGAAGAATTTTCCCCTGATTTTACCGTCTCTTTGAATGTTTTTCTGATTATTAGATGTTTATCGATTCGAAGAGTAATACTAAAAACTGATATTCAGGCTGTGATCTTTCCGTCTTGGCTCCCGTATTTCATCATAACTGTAGCAATCAAACGAAGCCTAAACTCAGCCCTTTCTCATTTTACATTTGGAAACCTCTCTTTCTTAGGTGAGTCAATAGAATTTTGGAAGTTTGCTCCGTTTTAAAATTGGTACGGTACATCCCGTAGCCGTAGCTTTCAAATCATTTTGCTCTCGCCTTCCTCAGAGGGTGGACGTACCAATGTAATTTCATCCGTCTAAATGGAAAGTGCTTTCATTTCATTAGCTGCATGAACACCTCTTTCCTTATCTCTCATTTACATTCAATTCCAACTATAAACTGAATCATACAACTGATGAAAGAATCTCATGGTGGTTCCAAATTTCAACTTAGCTTAGGTAACCAACAAGTGAGTCGAGCGAACTCTTTTAATGAGATGAGCAACTTTTCAGTTCTGCAGTGTATACCCAGATTTTTTCTCTCTAAATCCTGACTTTTATTGGATTCCCAATCATACCTCTGAGTGCGTCCTCATGGAAAGGATTTTTCTACGTTTTCACCATATCAGAATACAGGGCGATGGCTGTGAGTTACACTGGAGTCCATATCAACTAAGTTCATACATACTTGTACAGTGCGACAGGAGGTCTACTGTCTTCATCATTGTAATGCCAGTAACTGCAAGAACCGAAATAGCAGTTGTTTTTTCACTCCAACAGCGTGAAAATAAAGTTGTCCTTGCCTCTACAACATTCCAATTGAACTGCACCCACAGCGGGCACGACCATGGTCTCTACTAACTTAGGAATGTCCCCCTGTTACTTATCATGAAATTCTATGAGATACAGAATTATGCCATGGTTGGGCTACTTATGCCCTTGTCGCACTCTTTCTTACCAAAGTAGACCCTCCATTTGTTGTGGTTCTCCATTTCATGTAATCGCACTCGTCATCTTATTGATTTTTCACACCTTAACACTAGTTGTCAACATGGCCACCCACACTTCTCATTTAATAGTCACATATCTATATGGTACCAGCAAAGTGAGCTCTTACTCGACGATCAGTATTCATTTAGGGTAACACTCAGCTCAAAGCACCAAAAGGTCGTCAACTCTAAAGGAAACCCTGAGATATCATATGTTGACATCTAAGGGCAAAAGTTTAGAATATGAATCCTTTGCAAACTTTACCCAATAACTTGAGTGTCAAATTTCCGGAACAGTTCAGTATATATGAGGACTTATATGCAACAATAGTGGATGTCAAGTTTTCACATTGTGAGAAAATCGCGTTTGAAGTTTTCGAATCTTTGTACTTTGCCGCCCGTAGAACTGAAAATATTCTTACAAAGATTTTTATGAAGAGCAACTCTTCCTGTAAAAGATACGCATTTTATGATTAATGTAAGTAAAAAATTGAAGGAGTAATGAACAGCAATTTGAAAAAAATGCGACATCCGCTATTTTTACTGAAAACATTTTATTATGCATGAAACAAAGTTTTCAGGAAGGGTAAGGCTGGCGAAACAATTGAAATGAACCAAAAGTCAGTCAGTGATGAGTCATTTGATTAAATTGAGCAATAAATTAAATTGTTTGTAACTTCTACACCAACAATAAGGAACAAATTATCAAATTAGAAAACAATCAACAATTGTAGCGAGGCGGTCCCTATACGTATCATTTGAGCGTCAGCCGCAGCCCCATAACCGGTGCGCGAGCAGTTATTGCAAGTGTGTTTGAATCACACGGTGTCCTGCCGCGCCGCCCGGGGAGAACAGTGGATGCTCATATCCACTGTTTTTACAAATAACATGGTTATCAATTCATATCTCACCGAAAAATTGCGCTGGAAGTCTTAAACTTTGCACAGGCATTTTTGAAGACTCCAGAATTCGAAAAAAGCGTTTTCCCTAAAAATAGCAGATGTCAGCGACCGCCATTGTTACATGTAAGTCCTCATTTGTGCTGTTCCTTTCCATGTAGGTTAGGTTCTGTGTAGAACCCACGCCTGTTGTGTAGCTGATATTCTCAACTAGTATGCCTGTCAAATTACTTTATCAGTCAGCAGCAGAAGCTTTACTGCCTGCCATTTCATGTGACACTATTGAGACAAACCGGCCCTAATTATCAATGCAACTGCATTGTGATAACCAAAGGGCCAAACCGTGTATCTCCTCTGCTATGTTTCAAAATTTCCCCTCCTATTTTATTTTTTCGAAGAGTAACGAGCCATTTTTATAGCTTGAAATTCATACGAAATATTCTACCAACATAGATTAAAAATCAAGGAAATGTTCAAGGAATTATGTCAGCTAGTTTTCCCAAGAAAAATTAAGTGCAGTAGGAAGTCCACAACATTGCAAACAGAGGTACATGGTTTTGTATTTTGGGCATCGATTATACTTATTAATTCTGGACAGTTTGATTTAAAAAAAACGATAATTAGGCTTGTGAAAATTCAAAATTTAAGGTATGAAAGTCTTTTAACTGTAATCGCTCTTAAAGAGGCCAGTTTTTATCTTTCATATTTGAATCACCTCGAAGTTAATATTTTTTTGAATTTTTTGCAATTTTTCAGGTAAGTAATGAATGAATGGCCCAGCATCAAAGTAAAGGCTGAGTTTCAATAGAGCTCCGTTTTTTTAATGCTTTTGCAAGTCGATTGAATTAATTTTTCTCATTTCTCCAAGTCTAGATAATGCTATATCATTCAAAAGGAATTTAAGTAATTTTTCTGCTGTTTTCAGGGTCTCATCTTTATTGATCAAAGCTTGAAGGATTGAGGGTGGTGTCATGCCCCGAAGCAAACGCCGCTCTATTGCTGAAATGACGCCCGAGGAAGATGGAAGACACTTTGCCAAGAGACTCCGCAATACATCTTCAGTCAGGTAGTGAAAACTTAGTAGGTCTCCATTTGACTTTCTGCTTTGGCATTTAGCAAAATGCTTGATTCGACAATTTGTCCTGGGCGTCTATGAATAGCCATTGTTTCGTATTTTTAATTTTATAAGCATTAAGATGCAGTTTGTGGTACAGCATTTCCAGTATACTTTTTTCTATGAACTTGCCTGCTTACTTAGTTGCTATGTAACAATTTCAGTAAGTGCCTTCCGTGAAAAACCTTTTCATTTTTAGCTGAGGAACACTGAATTTTGTTAATTCAGAATTTCAGCAGAGGCATGTATGAGGAAAAAGAGCAGATGAAGGAGGTTTTTAAAACCATCAAACAGATAAAATTTCTGTTAGCTAGAAAAAAAGCAAAAAAAATGTATGAAGAAAGCAAGAATTTGTGGTGTGCAGACTTCAGCAAGTACGAGTCCAAAGTTGCAGCATTTCACAATTCATTTTCTAAAAAATTTCAAGGAAGTAAAATATCAAAGAAAGCAAGTTGAAAGTTTTGACGAAGAAAGGTTTCCACTCTTAGTTGTCCTTTCACTTAATGAATTGACCCATCAATTCCTTAGTGAATGTATTTCTCATTATCTCAAGAAGCCTTGAATCCACAGAATTTTTGTGATCCTTGAGATCCCCCATCTGGTGATTTAAGGAGACTTGAAATGAAATGTTTGCCTTAACGTAACTAAAATGGCTCTCCAGGATATGTATGTTCGATTCCTGCACAAGAAAAATTTACTAATTGTTTTCCTAGGTATATCACATGTTTGGCTTCCTTGAACATTTCAAAAGAGAAAGTAACAAAAGGCTCATGTTTCCTGATTGCAGCTTACTCACAGCATCCACAGGAAAAGATACACAAGTGCTAAAAAATCCAACCTTTTATATGTTGATTCTTCTGCTGAGAAGGTCTTTTACAAACACTTGGACAGGAACACCCAAAAAAACATCGAACTAGTAAAGTCATAATGATGTCAAGTTTACACTTTCAAGAAAAAGTGAAAAACATATTATAATAATCAGGCATGTTCAGGGCTCCAAATTCCTGTAATTATACGTAACTTTACATTGGAGAAAAGTGCTGATTTTTCAGCTTTACCTGGCAACAATGGAGAGTGCTTGAAACACATCCTTTGAGATACCCAAGCCTTCTCTGTTCAAATCTCCATTTATGATATTTTGTCGAGACTTTTCAAAATTTGCAGCATGAAGTTTTTTCAGACTTAATCCATTACTCATTATCAGGTACTTGTTTTGCAATGATCAAAATTACCTCGGGAATCTTTGTTAAATAACAAGGGAAAAAAACTCCTCCAAAATTTTTCAATAAAGTTTACAACCGTTTTTGTGCAAATCGATAAATTTTCAAGTGAAACTTCACAACTTTCAATTACAACTCAGCAACTCAGGCTGTGATCCCCTTAAAAATTGCGTCTCTGTATTACTCTGCAGCTCAACTTTTTGAGGGCCTTACTCAGAAGGCCACTCTGTAGCAGTAAAAAAAACCCCAGTCATACCTAATTCAAGAATTGGAAAGTATGGGGTTCATCTAGAGATATTCTATACCCTATAGATGCCTGGAAAATAATGGAAGTAAGTCAAATATGTCACTAGGTAAAACCATGAAAAAGAAAAGACATTTTAAGGAAATCTTCAGTAAAGGTATTCATCGGTTGAAGAACCCTAAAAAAGTCTCAGAGAACTGACAGAATGCTATTGAAAGATCTTACTTCGAATCTTTTTAAGAGGGAATAAGCTCCAACGCTCACTAACTCCATTAATCCTTACTTTTAACACAAGATTGGAGTTGGCTTCAAAGCCTTGTTTCATTTAGTCCACTTGTAGATAGGAATTTATCTTTTTATTTGTGAATTTACTTCTCAATCATCATTATTTTTTCATTCGATTATCAATGTATAAATATTTTTTTTTTTTTTTTTTTTTTTTTTTTTTTTTTTTTTTTTTTTTTTTTTTTTTTTTTTTTTTTTTGTAATAGTCCAAAAAGAAAAAAAAAACATACCTCTTGAGTAATTAAAATTGTATAAGTAGACCTTTCCTGGCTTTCTGCCACTCTCATGAAACAAGACTCTAAGCAGTGAGGGATCATTGAAAATATGGTGAATTTCAGCTACAAAGAAAAACTATGAAAAATAGAAAAATAAGGGGGGGGGGGCTGGAAACACAGGAATTTTAGTGCCTAATTGTAATAGCAGGCAAAAGTTTTATAGTGTTAGCTGTTTTAATTATTACAATACTAAATTTTATTACTTCACAACACAGGGAAAATAGTATGAACAAAGGATGAATGAGGAACAGTATCACTGAAAGACAAATTTCATCCGCCCATGGAAAGACAAGAAATAAGTTAGGATAGACTTTTAAATATAACCACTGTAAACTAAAAAATACCATATGAATAATTCAGAATAAACTAATAGGTAGTGTACAATAAAGGTAATGGACTGTGGGAAAACAAATTGATAATAGCATAAGTTTTCTAGTGAGGTTCTTAGGTAATCACTTCTTGAACAGCTACTGTTCAATAATATCGTAAAAACTCCGAACTAGTAATTTCTTTATCTCAGTTTTTTCTCAAATCTATGAACATGGAAAGAAGATAAATGATTCTATAATCTCGCACATTTTCAAGTGATTAAGACAGAGCCTAGTTTGAGTGGGAGTGGGCAGAGAAGTGAAGAGGAGAGGAAGGGAGGAGTTCTTGGCACCCGAATCAAACAGCTATTTTTAAGTATCTCATAGGCTGTGGCAAACATTACAAGCTGTTTGTTTTTGTTTAGGAAACCTGTGATACACTTCTTCCAGAGTTTTCATCCCTATTTATGGGTGATCTAAGGTAATGTCCTGGGATTTAATGAATCGCTTATCATCTCCCCCTAATAGTTTTGACACTCCAAGCCAAATGAATGTTCACTTTATTATTATTGATTATCATTATTTTTTCACGTTCTGAATCAGCATATTTTTGTTCTCGCATCCTTTTTTGCTGGGTCTTTTAAGCTCATTTCTGTAATTTTGCAGTTGACTGATTAGGTGTGAAACAAATTATTATTAAACAAGGAAGTATAGAAACAACAGGCAGGAAGGTGTCTCTTCATGTGCTAGGAAGAGTTAAAATAATTGTATTACTGTTTTTGAAAAAGGGAACTTTTATACTAATAACCTTTAAATTGAAAGAGGGATGGTTTACCAACATTCTGGCACAAAATTCACCCAACAATGTCTGGAGTTTTGACGGTTTTAAGTTTGCAGCTCAATGAATATAGTTTTGAACACAAGCTGCTTAAAATCCTTTTCTCTTATGTGTGACAACCTCAACGTGTTTGGATTAAAATGCAACTCTTTGTCCTTTAAAAATCCAAAAATGAAGTAGAAAGCTCGGATCTTATTCCTTAGGATATCATAAAATGTTCTCTGTGTTAAGCTCAGTTTGATTCACTGGCCTTGGCTTGTATAAATAGCACTCCTGATTTACTCTTGAAATTCGTCTCAATGCGCCATAGCCCTGTTTCCCTCGGACAGTCACCTTTAGCGATATTTTTCTGCCTCAGAAACAGTCATTTTTCTTAAACCTAAGGAGGAGACTATTTCCAATCGCTGGCTCATTTTTTTAAGCTCAAGTTATTTTTTTCTTTTAGGATAAACTAAAAGTAAATGTTTTTAAGGAGGAGATCTGAAGTAGTTATGACTTTCTCTACAATAATCCTCCAGCCTCTGTTTTTAATTTTTTTTTTTTTCTTTTGTTACAGTGCTAGGCGACATTCCAAAGCTGAGGACAATGCTTTTAGCCCCAAGCACTGTTTGACGTGGTTTGCAGAATACACGTCAGCTGATGATCCAGAACTTCTCGGTGAGTTGTCAGCAATTTTTAATGATTATATGCCTGTTTGATTGAGAAAATGTGAAAGTTGTCCAAGGTACATAAATAATACTTCTGAGAATGGCGCAAGGGTTGATGGATCAATTGATAATTTATGGGGTTTATGATGCTTATCATAAAATTTCTGGGTTATTCCACACTGTGGTGGACCAAGTGAAACTATTAACAAGTTTTTCAGGAAATACGGTGAAATAATTCAGAAAGTACCTCAAACTTTATGAATAAAAAGCAAAAAAGACAAAAAGAAATTGATATTCCTTCAAAATTTACCTTTAGGATTATTTCGTAAATTTCCCAATTAAATTTTTATATCATCCCCTGTCTTTTTTCTTCTCTTCAAGTTTGTTTCAAGAGTATAATTATATTGATTAATTTTGATGACTGAAATTTTGGATGTGAATTACTTGAGTACTTCCCATTGTTGTTGATTTAGGCCCAGAAGGAATGGAAAAATTCTGCGAAGACATAGGAGTTGAACCAGAAAATGTTGTAATGCTGGTACTTGCATGGAAAATGAATGCCAAACAGATGGGATTTTTTACTCAGGAGGAATGGCTTAGAGGCTTAACGGAGTTACAGTAAGTTAACTATTCTTAACATAGCATGTTATGTAATGGAATGTGATAATTGCAGAAAAAATTGCCGAATGTAATTCAGAAAATACTCATTCACAAGCATGATCTAGAAAATTTGTGTCATTCTCAAGGCCTTTCTCTTACTAGGCCTATCCGATATTAAAATCTGTCGGAAGGAAGTGACTCGGTTTAAACTTCTCACAAGTTTTCAGATCTTGAAAATGGTTTAATAGTCTTCATTAATAATGTTGCATACAGTAATATTTTCGATCAAACCATGTATTTATGCATCAAATTTACAAAAAAGAAAAGAAAATGTTGAGTTCCAAAGATTTTAAAGAAAATTAGTGGCATCATTATATTGCTCCCAAAATTTTTCATTGAAGTAGATAGTTCAAGCGCAGATCCCTACTACAATTAACAACTCCATTTCTTTAAATCAAAATCTCTCGCGTGCGGGCTAATTATTGAAATCGATTGACAAAAGGATATAGGAAGAAGACAAACTGGTAATGAAGTGATCCTGTTGGTGGAAGCAGGTGGTTGGAATTGACAAAGGAGGTAAGTAATAGACTTGCTAACTGCAATCTCTAAGGGACCCTATAGTTATTCCATCATTTTCCCCTTTAGTCTCTAAAACCTCCTGTTTCAACCAATAGGATCACTCTATTTTCCCTTTGTCATTTTAGTCTACCCCTTTGTCCATCAATTTCAATAATCAGTATGCTGGAGGCCAAAGATTCGAGTGCTAATAACTGCATCCTCTTGTTTTGTCAAAGCATGCTCCTCTCTCAGAAGAAAAAATGAAGCTGTTCTGCATCCATAACCTGTTTTATGATGTACGTCATTCATCAAGTAATCCCTTTTCTTGATCAACTATTTTTGTTCAATTTTTGCAGGTGTGATTCAATTAGCAAACTGCAAAGCAAGCTTGAGTATCTGAAATCACTTCTAAATCACTTTCCAACATTCAAAAGTATATATCGATACGCATATGACTTTGCAAGAGTAAGTTGATGAAAATCAGTAAATTGGTTCCTTTCCAAATCTGCATGCTTCTTAAGCTAAGTCTAGCCAGAACTTAGTCCTCCTCATAGAAAACCTAAGAATACTTAATACATGTTGATAGTAAAACCGCAGGTACATGTTTCTCAGTTTTTAATTTCTCAATGGAACTGTACAAAAATTGCTGCGCTAAAAACTTGGAGTATACAAAAAAAAAAAAAAGAAGATGCTGAAGTAAAATCCTGGATGTCGACATGAACACCACAGTTTTTAATTCAACGCAGCTAGGATGTCACTCTAACAGCCGAAGTGTCCATAACAACATTTAAGAGGAGTTGCTCAGATTTTTAACATCCAGGATGCTACTTCAGCAACTTTTTTCTCCATGTAGGTGGTTTAATGTCCCTTTTACTATGGACTGTTTTACTCCCAGTACTTGTACATTCATGTGCTGTTCATTCATGAATATTCACCCAGTTTTAAATTATTTGTATTCATTTCTGCAAATAATTGATGGCTTCAAGATTTGCAGCATTTTCAAAATTCGTTATTTGCACAGCTCTGCTCTCTTCATCATGAAAACTTACAGTTTGATACCTCATAATATCATGAGTATCAATTCATAGATAGTTTTTAAACTCTAGTAAGGTTTTCTGAAGTTTACATAGAGCTTTCATGAGATCACAGGCCAAGGATATGTACAGTATATCCATGCATAACTAAACCCTTTTCAGAAGGGTCATTTTTTGAGAACCAGCAATGAGTGGCATTCTCCAACCAATAGCTTTTCATCGATAAGCAGAATTTAGAGCATATCATCTTCTTTTTCTCTTGTTTCAGGAGAATAGTTTACATCTCCCAGAAGTTTTTTTTCCGAACTCCACAGGACACAAACTGAAAAACTATGATTAGTTTTTTCAGCATATTTTCAGAAGACAAATACGCTAATGGGCCTGTTGCAAACTTTTGCTAGAGCAAAATTAAGAGTAGTTTCTTATAGATAGTGCCTCAAAAATCACAATGAGCGCATCGGCAAAGTCTGAAATGCACTCATAACTTCACAATCTGCGTAAGAAATTTGCGGTTTTTTGAGCTTCCCGCTTCAAAAACGATACTACGGCACAGGTGAACATTTTGTCAGAGGAGTCGTTCCATTTTCGGCAATATTCATCATGGCCGACGACAATCCACCAAAACACCTGTGATGGGACGAGATAACACCTGAACAGGATTAGACCAGATAACAATTGGCGTGTTTACGTTCATATTTTCCTCGCCCGCCTTGATTGAAGTTGAACTCTCCTCGAATTACGCACGGAACTGCGCAAGCGTCGGCCATGATGAATATTGCCGACGATAGAGCGACTCTTCTAACAAAATGTTCACCTGTGCCGTAGTATCGTTTTTGAAGCGGGAAGCTCAAAAAAACGCAAATTTCTTACGCAGATTGTGAAGTTATGAGTGCATTTTAGACTTTGCCAATGCGCTCATCGTAATTTTTGAGGCATTATCTGTAAGAAACTACTCTTATTTTTGCTCTAGCAAAAGTTTGCAACAGGCCCATTCTGCATTTTTTTTTCTGTATTGTCTTCAAAAACTAATATGTTTCCAATGTTTGTTTGTTGAAAGGATAAAGACCAACGGAGTATGGATATAGAAACAGCAAAAGCAATGTTGCAGTTATTACTAGGCAAACACTGGGATCTGCACGGACAGTTCAATAGTTTCCTCGAGCAGTCAAAGTATAAAGTCATCAACAAAGATCAGTGGTGTAATATTTTAGAGTTTTCTAGGTCTATCAACAACGATCTCTCAAATTATGATGTTGATGGTGCATGTAAGTATAGAACAATAAAATACCGCAAGGTTTTTTGAATAATTTTATTCCTTTATCTCCCAATTTTGTAAACTTTCTTGTCTGATGATATTACCTTTCTCCCGATCACTTGTTATCAGATTCTAGGCGATAGCTATTTCGATGTTACGTACACATCATCATCAGGCCATCATCGGGAGAAAGGTAATTTCATCAAACAAAATGCAGCCCGATAAAAAGAAGTTCAACTTTAAATTAACTTTCTTGTCATCTTAATCATTCATTTTTATCGTATAATTCTCACGCTTCAGTATCATTGATTTATTTAAAGTCAAAGTTTCCCTTGCACATTCATTTATGTGCATGTAGCCAACAGTTGAAGTTAAAAACAATAAAACTCGTCCAGATTAAGCTAGATCCTTGATCTCCGTCTTTAAATCGAAAGCCATCAATATGAGCGGCAACCATCATCAAATGAGAAACTATTGCTCTTCAACGTGCTTCACAGTTTACATGCTTACATATTATTGTTTCAGGGCCTGTCTTATTGGATGAATTTGTGGAATGGATAAAAGCTTCTAAATCTAATGATAAAAGCGTGAGCTGAAAAAAGACCCACTTCAACGGAAAAAACAACAGACAATTTACAGATCAAAGGCATCTCTTCCCGCATTGCTTGTCATTGAAATTTGGCCCTTTCAACTTGCTTACTTTATCGATCGTACCCTGTTGTTTGTGGTAAGACTGTGCTAGTAAGTGCTCAATTATTGAAAAAAAAATAAAATAAAAAAATAAATGAATAAAAATTTAAAAAAAAAAAAAAAAATGACATGCGTGGCTCATAATGTTTTCAACGAAAAAAATTGGATCAATTAGATTTCATTCTGCAATTAGGAACTACAATTTCTGGCGCATTAGTGAAAAGTTTTATGTCTATAGGGAAACAAATGGCACTTACGGTGTTTCTAAGATCAGCCATAAATTGTAGTTCCTAAAGTATAAGTGTAATCCTAATCAAACTTAGTTAAAATCTGTTTCAGTAGCTTGAGCAACCTACAAAACTGTCTTTGATAATCAAAATCTCTTTCTGAGCTTTTCTTTGCCTCAAAATTACTAAGGATTCTGAAGAAAGTTAGTTGTCAGATGCTAGCAAGTTTTATAAAACATGTCTACAAGCATTATTAATCTTTATAAAATGCAGTTTAGCTGTCTTTTATCGGTTTCCTTCCTGAAGATCCCAAGAAATCTTTATCAGCCTCACTTGTTTTCCCCTTAGCACTCTATTTATTGCGCATCTTGAATTTCATCGCTTCATCACTGTAATTGAAGAGATATTCTTGTTATCTATTTTTTGTTATGTGTATAAAACTGTCTGTACCCCTCTAAATTTGAATTCTTACAAACTGTAGTATACCTTGGCATGGTATGTACTTACCATGTTCAGACGTATTTTGGTTGCTGTTTCATTTGCCACTTGTCTCGGATAAATTGGTACTTGTGTTACTTCTTTCCAGGAACCAATGGAAGAGTATTTGACAGAAATGAGATCAATAGTCTTGCAATAACGTTCCTTACGATTCTAGAACGTTATTATAAATTAAACTGTCAAGCTTTGTTGTGCGTTTTTATTGGATGCAGATTTTTGATAAAGGGGAAATCTTAATATTCATCTTGCACAAAGAAGCTCTATCCAGGCAAGGTACTACTTACAAGGGGAACTTACGGACCTGCCACCTCCGATTGGGCTGAATTTTTTTTTACAGACTCTATGGACCAATTCTAGAGGTCAATTTGAGCCGTTTTCCCGAATGCGCAATAGGAAGGGCGTAAAAAATCCCCAAAAGTTGCGTTTTCAGCGTGTGATTTGGTCGTGCGGCGCGTGGCAACACTGAAGCAGCCTCTTGTACCGCTTTATCGGCCTGAAGGTTTCAGCGGAGTCCGGAGCCCTACTGCACAGGAATTGGTCCATAGAGTCTGTAAAAAAAAATTCAGCCAAATCGGAGGCGGCAGGTCCGTAAGTTCCCCTTGTTAGTTCTAGCCAAATAATTCAGCGAATTTTCTAGTATCCGCTTCTGGATGAATCCAAAAAATCATCATCCGGGTGCGGTGACAAGAAAAATTCATTTTGGCCCAACTGCTCATTGCCAATTGTCTCAGCAAACAAAATACGTCTTTTTTAAAGTCTGAGTGAGTCCTGGAAATCCAGACTAATATTTGTATTAAATCGTAGGTTACCTGAACATTTAAATGAAAAAGAAATTGAAGTAGTAACTTTTCAGCTTGTCTCTGCTGCTCGTATTACTGGTTTTTAACTTTTTGTTCGTACATTAGCATTCAATTTTTAATCATGGAATATATTCATATATCATCATTAGGATTATTTATTGGAGTATTTTAATGTTTTCAAATTCTCAGTTTTTGGAACCTGAACCACTGTGATTCCTGTTCCATAAGAATGTTTTGTAAATTTAACTTGCCCTGCCTCAATTGGAAAACATTAGAATTTTAATAAATATATTTTGTTTTTCAAAAAAAAAAGCTTTGATCCCACAATTGTTTCACCAAAAAAAAAAACCATTTTCTTTGTGACATAATAAGTATTTAATAGGTACTCAATATTCAGATGGATCTTGATATCAATTACAACCGTACAATCTGAGACCACTGAAACATAATTTTATTATCAGCGAAACTGATCTATCATGGCTGTTATCAATATTGCTAAATTGTAAAAATATTATTGTAATGGATGATGACACTTGGAAACTGCAATAATTCATTTAATCAATCACTTACATACAAGTACAATAACAATTTCACTGATTAAATATTTTAAATTCTAGATGGGTTCCAAAGAAGTTAAGTACCAAAGATTAACATACTTCTACTCCCGTACCTCAGAATTTTCCCAGTATTGTCTGAGAACTTTTCAATAAAATAACAAGAGTTTATTTATCACCTTGCACTCAGCTTAATGAGAGTACATGAGGAATATTTTCGACAGTGCTGTCTTCAATGCTGTCGCAGTGTGAAATATCTAGAAATGTTTTTAATAACAATTAAGTGCATTTTAAACAAATTTCAGTTCTTACGGAAGTTATGTTTCAGGAAGATTACTAAGCAGAATTTTTTTTTCCCCTCGGTGTACTTAACTTATCCCAACAGTATTCTCTATAAATATTTCCTGACAATGTTTCTGAGTTATGTGAAAGGTTATGAAACAGCATTTGTCACAATATTGCAGGTTTTAATGGAGTAAAAGTCCTATAATATTGTAGGTATCATTAAAGATATCTTGCTGTAGTCCTACTTTGGTAGGTGGGTATTTATTTCACTCATTGTCCTTATGTTTTTTGTTAAAATGTAAAATTTTTTTTTTTTTCTCCTGTAAATATTAAATAAACTTTTTCTTAGTGAAATCCTTTTCATGTTGTTCATTAACTACACCTGCAAAGTTATGAAAACTCTCATAGAAGTAGAATTCACTACCAAAGCTGTTTATACGCTATAAATATTCTATTTTATGCTGAAAGGAACTGTTTGCATAAGGTTGGCATACTTTTGCTTAATTTTTTTCAATTTTGAATGAGTTAAAAAAATTCTGGTAAAAATATGATAAATATATTTACAGAGTTGAGAAAGAAATGATAATTGTACACAAAATTATTTACAGTATCGATCAGCTTTCATTTTACTTCTTCTATCAAGCATTGTCTCGTGTAGCGTTCCTTCAACACGCGCTTTCTTCAAGGCACTTTTGTCCTCACTGTTTACTTTTAGCTTTTTGTCCTGGAATTTTTGGAACTTTTTCCTAAAATTTAAAGAAAAAATACAGAATGAATTTCAATAAGATTAAATGATGCAATCTGAAAGTATAAAATACATAGTGAATTAAGATGAAACTTTTAATGCAGTACTTAAATTCTTACAGAATAAAACTGTCAGTTTGTTTTTTATATTGTTAGACAATAGATTAGTACAAATTGAGGTACGTAGAAAATAATTCTTATCACCAGCTAATATAATGGCCATGCTATAATTAGACACTGCCCCAAAGGAAATTCTGATTAAATTTACAACTTGCTTCCTCCGCAAGGTAGCAATTTGCCCTTCCTCTAAAGAGGGCAAAATTAGAAAATGAGTATTTGAAAACTTACACATAATTAACTTCAATATCAGAGAGACTTCCTTTCATTTCAGGCGCAACTTCTACAGGTTTTTCATCAGTCAATAAATTTGGCGTGCGCACTTTTAACATCTCTGAGGGTCCAGCAGTCTTTGACACTGCTACGATGCCATCATCGTCTGGTCGGACTGATATAAAACAGCCATTGTTGCCTTGAATGGCAAGTTTTCCATCCTGTTGACCAAAGTATCAAACAGTCAGAGACTATACATGATGAAACATCGGCCGTAAAAAGGCTCTTAATGCACTGACAAAGGACTATGCACAGAATACCATAAAATTTGGCGCCTGCATGATTTCAGTATTATGATATTCCTTGCAACCTTCGAGCTTGATGAGGTTCTAAAATCGAAATTTGTACGAGCAAATATCGGGAAAAGCAGGGCTAGAAAAAGAATTTTTTGGTCTTCTCACATAGATTCCAGCCCAAAATCTTACAAGTGAATGTTCATGGGAGCATCTCATATTTTTTTATTATTATTATTATTATTTTTTTTTTTTTATTTGTACATGAAAATACAATTTGTACAATGATTTTTTTAGATGCAAGTTACATCTTTAAAAAAGTTTTATTTAACTATAAGTTAAACTTATTTTATTTTACATTTTAACTACAAGAAAACTACCTCTGTGTAATGAGGAGGAAAACTAAAACAATTTTGCTTCAGAGTAAAAATGTCTTCTTGCTTTAAATTGAAAACTACGGATGACCTGACCCAGTCAAGATCCCAAGGACCCCTGATTGCGTCCAGGGAGCACAAGGAGGCGCTTTTTATTTGAAAGAAAGAGAATTTTGAAAACCCCTGAATTCCAAGCTTGTGGGGTTAGCAACGTTTTAATCTTCAGATGCATTGGTCCCTTTCCAAGAGCGGAAGCGCTTCAGGGTTAGAATGCATATGCAGCCGAACCTCGTGAGAGTTAAACATTTTTGTAATGTAATCCTCCACAGAATCAATGTTGAGGTCAGCACGACGCCAATTGTTATCAGGTGGTTAGAATCATCGTCTCGTCACATGTCTTTTGGCGGATTGGCGTCGGCTTAGTTGAATATTGCGTGGTATCCTTGTGAGCAGGGGTTCGATGGAATGACTTCTCTAACAAAAAGTTCACCTGTGCTGTGGTATCGTTTTTGAAGCAGGAAGCTTGAAAAAACGCAAATTTCTTAAGCAAATTGTGAAGTAAGGAGTGCATTTAAGACTTTGCTGATGGTCGTGACCGTTGATGGTTGTTTCATTGTGATTTTTGAGACACTTTCTATGTGTAACAACTCTTATTTTTGCTCGAGCAAAAGTTTGCAACAGGCCCATTTGCAAAGATTTTGCCGATTTCAAAATGCGTCTCCTCAAAATTTTTAGGGGGCTTGAAACTTTGGGAAAGGGTGAGGCATTATCTAATGAATGGAGGGGGCAAATCCCGAACGTAAATTGACCCATTTTGCAAGCACCCTTTTGTCACCTCTTGAGCTCTTTCGTTCTTCCATCTCTGTTCCTCCTTTTCTATCCTTCCAGTTTCTATCCTTACGATTCTTCAACAGGTTGATGGTAACGTCTGATGAATTAGGTTCAAGTGAACGTATTTATGAACAATAAAATGTCATAAAAGCTTTCATCTAAAATCATACCTGGAAAACAGGCTCCCATTGCTGTAGGACCCCAATAGCATCGGCTCTTGCAGTTACATTCCCGTGAATATCAACACTCAAGTATTTTCCGTACCCAGATTTAAAAGCTACTTTGTTCTCATTCACTACAATTCCAGTCAAGACTTCTTCTGGTGAGGGTCCTTCCCCTGTTATTGACAAAATTGAAAAGATAAGACGAAGCAAACAGGAATAAAAACAAATTTGCATCAATACTTTTTTTGTCAAATTTGTGCTAAACACAAAATTAACTACTAAATACACAATAGGAAAAACTAAAATTTTATGCAAAATTCATGTATATTTTTGTTAAAATTTACTGAAATGACTTGATAAAAAACTTTGGAAAGTGAAGAGTGGCATTGAACCTTGAAAAATTAACTAAAAAGGTTTCCTAACTCATATATTTTAACAGTTTTTTCTTTATCTTTAATTTTAACAGCCAGTATTACTGACATATAAGCTTAGTGACAAGATGTGGAGAAAGAGATAAGACAGTGTCATTTGCCGGATAATATCTGAAAGGGAAGGGGATAAATGGTAATTGAGTGTTGCACACTGTACAGCACGTAAAAGTGTTGATTTAGTGACTTCCATGTGAACATTGGGATGAACCACAAAGAGTTTCATGTGATGATGAGTGTCAGATATTTACAGAAAAACTAAAAGAGGGCAGGAATTCTGAGATGCTGCAAACTGAGATAAGTGTTTCTTTGGTTTCACCATCCTCCTTCCAGTTTCATTAAATTCTACTGGAAATGCCATGCATGAAAAGTGAACAAGTTCTTTCATTCTTCTAACTTATTGTAATTTTTGGAATGTTAGATGAAGTAAGAAATCAGAAAAACGTTTACTTAAATGTGGTACCAACAATATTGTGGAGCATTCAAATAGCACGTCAAGTTGCTTGTTGGGCTTTCTGTCGACAAGCTTTTTGCCAAACGTGCTCCGTGGTCAGGATTTCGCTCCAGTGGAAAACTCTTGGAGCAGCGTATGAAGCAGCCTGATGCGCCGTCTAAATACGCCTTAAGTAAAAAAGAAAAATGAAAGAACAAGTGAAAGATAAAATAGTTCTCTTACCCTCATTGTGAGGAGCCCCTAAATTGAATAATCCATTATCAAGAGCTGCCACATAACATTGATTGCCAAACTCAATGGCTACTGAACCGGTCATATCTTTGACATTATCAACAGCAGCCCAGCCACCTAGAAAAAAAAAAGTGAAGAATTGTTACTCTCCCTGGTTCCATTTCAGCCTTCAGACCAGCTAAAAAACATAAATCTTTGAACTGACATGGAATTTTTAAGTGCCTCAGTAACAAAATACATAATATTTTGAAAACTCAATTCCAACAAAACATAAAAAGGTGATCTCTACTGAGTTTGCGCAGCAAAATCATTTTCCTCAATAATTTTGCCGGAGCAAATTAGATCTTATTTGTCCATGATTTTTACGGTTGCATCAGTCACTGATGTTGGAAATATACTATTAATTTGAAGTTTGGTGCAATACCTTTTTTAAACCATGTCTAGGTACAAGTTTAAAAAGACAGAATTTTCTTCATTAAAATAAGGATCGAATTTACTACTTAAAACTTGATTCTGAAATGCAAGTAACAAATCAATTAAAAAGGTTTTCATAATGAGGTATTGATTGTATTTGAAATTGCCAGATGAACCATATTAGTTGACTTTTGGTTTGCATAGTTTCCCCCCGGAAAATTATTATTTAGGTACTTTTTTCCCCCTTTATCTTCTCATTTGATTGTATTTAAATATTTTCCATTTAAAGGGAAACCAACAGATGAAGAATTTCTTACCATGATCGAGTCTGTCTGTATCAACAACTTCTTCTTCAGTTTCTTTTTCTGAGTGTTTCCGCTTCTTCTTCTTTCTGGAACGAGAGGAATGCATAATGCACATCATTAAAGAATACTTAATCCTTCTATAAAAGAAGGAATGGCACAACTAAAATCTGATTACTTGTCTAGCATATTGAACTCAATGATAAAGCTAATTCTTCAAAGATAGACGATCAGTATTTAGCGTGCATTGCTCAAGTTGAATTGTGCCCCTGCAAGTTGGTAGTGGTAGTCATTTATGATATGGCTGGATTCTTTCTTGTTATTTCTATTCCCTGTTTTTACTTTTCACTTTCAATTTTTACATCCATAGCTTCCCAATCCATTTTCTTCATCCAATTATCTCTCTTGTAATTTTACTTCTCCGGCTCTCAATGCTGCCCTCACTGTCCGCCTTGTAATCCAAAGTGTGATGGCAAATGGCAACACTATGGTATTAGAAAAACTCATTGATGATGACTGATTGTGCATAGACACAAAGACCAAGCCCTTTCTAAAGGGAACAAACGAAACTTAAATAGAGCAGACTAAGATGTTACGAGGAGGAACCAGCTTTGAAGAGCTCAGAAAAAAGTAAAGCCACATTGCAATCTCTGCTTACGCCCTGAATACGCACACTATCTTTCAGATAACAGAGTTGGTCATGATGAGCAGCTGCAGACTGATTGTTAAATCTGATTCTAGGAGAATCCATACGTGAGACTGAACATAGCCCTATTTGTAAATTTTTGGTAGCGTATCGATATTCAATGCCCTAGAAAGAACCACGCCAATTGAATTTACACACTTCTAGACCGCAACAGAAGATCGTCTAAAGTCACATTTGCAAAAGTAAATGTAAGAAGCAAGATGACAAATTATATGTCATAGTCTAAAATTGCATAAACCTGTTAAACGTTGACGGTACCATGCTTGCAGAGGTTTCAATGATGAGAATGCTGATAAAAATAAGGGGCAATGGTAATTTTGATTTGGCTTATGACAATAGAAAAGAAAGGATGAAGTACCTACGGAATCGACAATGCGCTGAAAAACTTGTTTAGTCCGGAAAGGGACTAATAAGATTACTTTATCAGTCCTTTGCAGAGGTTAGGACTTCCTACAACTCAATTTCTTGATGATTGCAAAAGTATGGATTGTAAAAGCTTACCTCTTCTTCTCATTTTTGAAAACTAATTTTGACTTTTTCACCATTTCGTATTCGGACATACTGTATTATGAACTGCAAACTTTTTCTTCGTTAAAAAATTGAAGCTTCTTACACAAATATCGTTATCAATAATCAATTGTTGAAATATAAATATAAATATAAACAGCGTCACGCCGGCAGCGCTCTCTATGAGAGAATAATAGCAACTTGATACAAAAACAATCACGCTGACAAATTTTCTCGTGCTGTTTGCTGTTATCAGTGCTATCACATCAGTCTAAACATAGACTAGCAAAATTTTATTTTGATAGTTCTTTCGATATTTTCCTTTCCTGTGTCTTTATCACTGCTTTAACACTTTCACCATTTTTTTTCAAATTTGTTTCTCACATTACTGTACATACTTTACATCAGTTCACTGGGATTAAGTTTTCTCATACGCATCTTGTTGGACTGGATGGAAATTGCCGTGTGAACTTTATCTTGCTTCTTCAAATTATCTGTAAATTTACCTATTTTTTCGTCAAGTACTCATTGCAAATATGTCAGAAGATGATGAGAAAAAACTCACCAAGACAGAATCTGGGTTCAAGTTGACTGGGTCCAGACTGCTCGTCGAAAAGCCGTTTGCGTATGCCCTCAAGTCTAGTTTATTATCTGAAATTTGTGATAACTGTTTTCAGAGGTAATTTCAAGGAAGAAAATCTTATATTTACACTTGTGCTTCAATCTCAGAAATCACAGTCATAGGAAATTTTCATTTCTTATGCTTGTTGGACTGCCGGGTGTTCGTCTTGACGGGCTATTTGATGAGCCCTCTTCCAAACATGCTCTTTAGTGACAATAGGGAGCACTGCGATGGAGTGCCCGTTGAGCAGTCTGTCAAGCTGCACATCAGGCGGTCTGACGAGCAGCATTGCATTTCGTCTGAACGCAAATGGGTAAATGGAAAGGAACTGAGCCACATCAGCTATTGCCAGATTTAATCAGGCAATTTAATTTTTTCATGAAAACGGTTGTGCGGATTTTTGTGCAAATTTCGATGACTTTTCGGCTTAGCAGGAAGCAAATTCCTCAGAATTTCTAGAGGAATTTGCATAAACGTTCTCTGGTAAAAAATTGAATTGCTCCTTTAATTTGAGAATAGCTGATGTGGCTTGGTTCCCTTCTGCTAAACGCGGTCCATATACATTCAGCCTAAAGAGGAACCTGTTTAAATACACTTCTAAGTTATGGCTATCACGGAAAGAGGCAAAACAGATTATTTCACAAGGAGAATAAAAGGTAGTCACAGTAGTAAGTAACAAGCCAAAAGAAAAATACACAACTCCGGAAACGATGAACCTTGAACTGAAATGTTCAGCAAATCCTTCCATGATTAGGTACTCACAGTCAGTGTATCTGTTCTCCAAAATTGAATTTTTCTTGATAAGTTTATTCTTGAGGAAAGATACCTACTTTCAATAACTTTTATGACCAAGTCCCAAAAATTTATAGTTGACACCTTTTTTTAAAAAAGTGCAACAACCATGGAAGTCAATTAAGTAAAGGGTTTTTCTTGGTCATTTTTTTCAGAAAACAAGTCAAGAAATGCTCTGGTTGTCAAACTTTATTCTACTGCAGCCGAGAATGTCAAAAGCAAGGATGGAAGATTCACAGAAAAGAGTGTCCTCTGTTATTCAAAATTAAACCTCAGATTTTGCCAGATGCAGCTTTCTTTTTATCAAGAATCATTTTTAGTCTAGAGGTTTGTATCGTCTGGTACCTATCGTAAAGTAAGTCCTCTTATCAGTAGGATGGATTTTCACTTAAGTCGTTACACATGTTCTTCCCCTGAGCCAACTAAACATTACTGCAAATATTAACACACTGAGAAAAAACCTTGATTTTTCTCTTCTCAGGAATTTATTGGTTCTTGAACCTTGAACAACTCTCCAGCAAAATGTGAAAATTTGCATTGCCTCCTTCTTTCCGTCCACTTTGTAAATATTTTTAGCTTTTTAACTCACAATCAGTCATATTTATCAATGCGTCCTCATATCCAAGTTGTATAACAAAAAGAAGGGACTTCAACATGATTCTTACCCCCAAAGATTCCTGTTTTTCACGGGCAGAACTTTAAAAACAGGAAGGTATTTTCTTGCTGGCTAAAATGTAAAAAACCATCTCAGTCTTTGAATTTATCAAAATGCTAGAGTTTGCCCTTTCAAATAATTTTCATATCTTGCCGGTAGAATTTATATATAAAGAGGATTAATTTATAAACTCACGATACACTGACTTAACAAAGAACATTCTGCAGAGTAGACAGAATATGTGGAGTACATACCTGCTCTTTTTCTGGAATCAGTAGATGTTTGAAAAAACTAATAATTTCAGAAAATGTGGTTTATCTAAATACTAAATATACTATTGTGTGATTCATGTTATTGCCAGAATTTATAGTAGGTAGCAAAAAGAAAAAAACCTGCTTCACCCATATTTCTCTGATATGCTCTGATATTGCTCTAAAGAGTGCCATAGGTCTAGTTAAAATATCTTACATTGTAAGGAAGATTTGATTTCTCAAAAATCAGACATACCTATTTAATTATATAAAGGTATGTAAAAACAGATCAGGCTCAAGCCTTTTTTCCCCAAAAGTTTTACATTTTACCAGGAAAGCATCCACTTTTAAAACAATTTCAGATCAGATGTACAAACCAATATAAAACATATCCATCCATATTAGAAATTTAAGTAGCAGCTAATAGAAGTTTGTTTTGTAAATTCGTCCAATGGACGTAATTAAGATTTTAACCTTTCAGTATAACAAACACAATACATTTGTAAGTTCCAGGACAAAAAAAAAAAAAAAAAACCTTTTGCTTTGATTCATAGTTTTTGTTACTTTTCCAGAGAAATCCTGATGAAAAAAGTTATTACACGGAAAAAGACTACAGAAAGTTTGATGACCTCCAATCTCGTAAGTAATAGATAATTTCTTTTTTGCGTAGATGGTCTCTAAAATTAAAGACTTAAATCGCCACTTGTGAGTTGGTTGCTGAATCGATATTTTTTTTGGCTCATTTCTTCGATGATTACTTAGCTTGTCATCAAATTCCCACCAACTTACTTTGCATATCGACGGTGAAAGTGGGCAATCACATAACTCGTTTGCGGTGTCTGAAAATCTCTGCCTCTACGTCATTTTTTTTAAGGAGAACAAATTGATATTATTTCTTGAAGTTTTTGCAGAATTTTCTTCGCATTAAGAAGAAAAATCATGACAGTTTTAAAGAATCGCCGTTGAGTAGTTTTCCATTTAAAAAATAAAGTATGACAGGAAGTCTGCAACGTCGCAAAACGAGTTATGTGATTGCCGACTTTCACCGTCGATATAGTCCAGTCAAACAATACTGTTTCCCTCCTGCACTTCGCTCAGGAATAAATCACATATTCAGGCGTTACAGGGAGGTGATTCTAAGTTGGGCACGTATTAAATCAGTTTGCACTCAACTCCATCTCAATTAAAAATTAATTTTTTTTCAAATTTGACCATATTGGAGTATCAATTTCATCGATTTAATTTTGATTTTCCTATGTATTATTTCCAGACGAAGAAGAAATCAGAAAAGATAAATCTAGAATGGAACATATTGCTCTATTATCAGCAGTTTTACATAGATACTTAGGCCAAAAAAACGTTCCAAGATTTGAAGAATTAGTTAAACTTTATGGAAAGGTAACATTTAAATTTTTTATATGCATGTCATGGTCAAAGGTTAAACTTTGAGCACTTTTCTGCTTGACCAAAACATTTTCATGACTGTCTGCAAGAGTATGTGTAGTAATTAAATTTTAACTAGCCGAGCAGGTGTGTCATTTGCATTTTTTTAATAAGTGATTTGAGAATTGATCTCTCAAAAGTCACAACTTTTGGAAATCTCTGGCTGGGAGGATTTTGTGAAAACATTGTAAAAGATACCTACTCAAATGTAATTATGTAGTACCTAATGGGCCTGTTGCAAACTTTTCCCAGAGCAAAAATAAGAGTTGTTACTCATAGAAAATGTCTCAAAAATCACAATGAGCGTATTTACAAAGTCTGAAATGCACTCCTTACTTCACAATTTGTACAAACACTTTGCGTCTTTTCGAGCTTCCCGCTTCAAAAACGATACCACGGCACAGGTGAACTTTTTGTTAGAGGAGTCATTCCATCGAACCCCTACTCACAAGGATACCACGCAATATTCAACTAAGCCGACAACAATCCGCCAAAAGACATGTGCCGAGACGATGATTCTAACCACCTGATAACAATCGGCGTGTTTACATTCCCATTTTTCTTGTGTTCATAGATATCCACCTTGATTGACCCTGTGCTCTCCTCAACTTGCGCACGGAAGCGTCAGCCATTTTGAGGGATAGAGTGGAACGACTGCTCTAACAAAATGTTCACCTTCACTGTAATATCCTTTTTGAAGCAGAAAGCTTAAAAAAACGTAAATTTCTTACGTAAATTGTGAAGTTAGGAGTGCATTGCAGAGTTTACTGATGCACTCATTGTGATTTTTGAGACATTATCTAGGAACAACTCTCATTATTGCTCTAGCAAAAGTTTCCAACAGGCCCATTGCTTAAGAAAACAGATTGTAAAGTGTAAATTAAACTTTTCCCAAAAATTGATTTATCTAATCCGGAGCGCGGATATTCTGAAATTAAAATGAACTGGAGTTTGAGTAATCCAGTGTTTATCGTGAATGAAGGCTTAATTTCACCAACCATTATTTTTGATGTTTAATACCCGAGTTTTTCTATCCTTCATGGCATTCACTAATTATTCTTCTTCTCCACAGATGTGCATCAATAGTTTCTCAATATTAGATCCAGACATGCAGTGTATAGGATCTGGAATCTATCTTGGCGGATCCATCCTCGACCATTCTTGCAAGCCTAATGCTGTAACTGTGTTCAAAGGGACTACCTTGTATGTTATCTCAACAGAAGATATAAACCATTTTGAGTGGTCCAAGGTACGGTGCTTTAATCGCGATTCTTGGTGAGGCATTTAGCGTCACCCAAAACCAATACTTTTAATAGATCTAAATGGAGGAAAAACAGTTTTGTTGATTTGCAAAATCGCCACCGCTCTTTGGAGAGAGGCAAAAAATTCAGCTCAAGATAGAACCAGGAAGGTATCCAAACAACACCCCTTAAAACTGATCCAATAATTTAAAAATTGTCAAAATCTGCTTCATCTTACATCATGAAATCAAAATGTTTCACTCCCATTTCATGAATTTTGAAGATGTCAAAGAGCAAGCATGAGCCAGCCGCTTTATGTTGCGTTCCCACTAAACTAGTACAATACAAGTAAACTAGTATTTTTTCTTTTTCTTTATCAGACAAATAATTTTTCACAGGTACAAATTAGCTACGAGGACTTACTGAGTCTGACAAGCAAGCGGCAAGCTGAACTGAGTAAATACTACTACTTTGATTGTAAATGTCCTCGATGTCTGGATTTTGACTTGCAAAATCTTGAGACATCAATGTTATGTCAATCTGCAAATTGTGGAGGTCCTGTCTACATGAATGTAAGGCAATATTTTTGTTCTTTCTCCTTTCAATGTCCTCTTGTTAAATGCTTAAGGTAGATCCTCTGATTATTTTAATCTACAATATTGCTAGGCTAAAGTCTAGATGCAGGATTTTCAAAAATTATTTTATTCACGTATGTTTTTTGGATCTTTGAGATCCATCATCAGAGTTTTTCAAAAGCAATACATCATTAGCAACAGTCTCTATTAGCAAGCGCAAAAAAATAATTAGGTAATGAATAGAATCTTATGTTTAACATTTCTGCTCTAATGTTCAGTAATCTTCTGATTATGAGGCAGTCGGGTAATCCAATTAATAAATAATTCTTATAACCTGAAGGTTATGCACTTGAAGGAACTTAAAAAGCCGTAAAAATAGAATACCTCATAAGGATCTAATCCATAACTTTGGTCAATAAACTTTTTTTTAATTTTGCTGAAAAATGAAGTATTAATTCTAGGTTGATTTACGGTGCCTATTTCATGAAAGGACCTCGTTATTTTTGATTGGTTCAATTTTGCCTGGAAAATAGGATTTCTCCCAAAATTGAGTTTTTCGGGGGAAATGGAAAATCTTTGCTAATATGAATAAGAACAAAGATATTTTTGGATTTAGCAGCCCAGATTATTGAAGATTAGATCCATGACAGGCCTGAGAATATTCCCTGCTGATTTTGATAACTAAGTTCTTCCATTTAAATGCCATAATCCATTTTTATACCACTACTTTAAGCTCGTCCGATCATTTTGTATCAGGAAAGATGGAAACAAATTTCTTTTCAGGTGTCTTATGGTGCTTTTTCCATCCAATAAATTTCCTTGGTTTTTTCCAACAGCCAGGAAAATCAATTTTTTCAAAGTAGGGAGAGTTTCTTGTGCTGAAAAAATTGATGATTAGAAATACTGGTAAATGCTGAAAAAAAACTAAGGTCATTTCTAACTTTAACAGCACAGATTAGGTGGAAATAGCCCTATTAGACACTTGGAAAAATATTTCTATCATCCTCTCTGACGCAAAACAATCAGATAAACTTTACTTAGTGATATTTGGATGGATTAAGGTGTATGATCAATTAAACTTCAGTATCGAAAACAGCAGGAGATATCTTAAGGCATGCCATGGATGTAGTTCCTTGTATTTTTGGCCTGATTTAAGGTTCTTCGTACGTTTCTAAGGTTCCCTGAGGTTCGTCCATTAAAAATTTGGTAGCTGGGAGTTTTGCAAGAAATGAGGGAATGCCAACTTCCTGAAGGGCTTTATAGAGACTTTGGTGGCTATGTGTTGCAGAATGTCAGAGAGCACTGTGAAAGCGGCTTTTAAATAAGTGTGTAAGGTTCTTCTTTGAATCTTCTAATGTGGTTGGACTCTATTTGTATAAATGCATCCAATTGTGCTTTTTGTATGAAGTTCGATTACATCAGGTATTTGTCATTGCATCCTCTCACCTAATTTTTTTTTATAATGTTCCCAGAATTCAGATGCCTCTGAATTTGCTTGCAAGGACTGCAACCAGCCCATTAGAAATGACAAAGTGAAAAAGTACAAAAAATTTGTATTGGCAATAGAAGAAAAACTAGCAAATAAATCATCAGTCATTGTGAATTCTGACGTTGACAAGTGGTGTCAAAAAATAGCGACACTCGCTCACCCTCTAAATTATTACTATGTCAAGCTACTTGACCTTGCATGTGAAGAGGCTATCAAAACTGAAAACTGGAAAGGTGCTGCGGAATATGGGTCACAGCTTGTCAGTGGCTTCAGGTATGTTATCTTCTAGTTGGATATTTTGATTTTGCTGCAAGGGCTCTTTAAAAATACCCGGAATGGCACCATGCTTACCCTAAATAAAGGAACGGAGTTCTAAAGCTCCAAGTCAAAAGATTCTTAGCTCCAGCTTTAGTACCTACATTGAGAGTGATATGAGGTTTTACCGTCAGAACTTTAAAGCTTCTCAAAAGGTTCCAAAACCTAGTAAATCAAGTTATTTTTCCGATTTAATGATTTTTTTTTTCTTGGCTTGAGTTTAAAATCTCAACCAAGAAAGCACTGTGATTTCGAGCATATATGCTAAAAACTTGTGTGTTTTTTTTATCACGTAATTTACTTAAATATTAATCCCCATCCAATGATCACTTCTGTAATCTAGGTTGTCTTTGACGGAAAGAGAGGATTCCTAATCATAAGGTTTGGTTTATCATGAATATTTTGAACTAAGGAGTGATGGAAACATTAGGAAAGAAGAATTTTAATTATTCGTAAATCAGAAGTGGGGCAATGGTTTACTCTCTCGTTATGAACGACCCTTGCGGCATTCCAGCCTTTAAAATTTTATTACACCTTTTTCAGGCATTACTATGGTGCACTAAATCCAATATTGGGAATCCACCTCATGAAGTTGTCAAACCTGTATATATCGCTGAACAACAAGAAGATGGCGGTGAAACATTTTCAGGAAGCCATCAAAATTTTGAAACTGACAAACAACGAAAGCATTCTCACTTATCACCTTCAAGGTCTGGATGATTGAAATGCCTCGGATGGTCTGTGGCAGATTGTGACAGAGTGGCCTTTATGTAATGTTCAGTGGAAACTGTAAGGGTAATCTGAGGGCCACCCTCCAGAGTGGAGTAGGAGAACAGCCCCAGAAAATTTCGCAAGAAGAATCCCTCCGATATATGAAGCACGTTTAAGTTCAAGACTTGTGCAATATTAGAGTGTTGACAATTTACTGATTTCACCTCTTTTAAATATTTCTGAGGTTTCAACTAGCAGCATAAGGTGAGGAGGCAGGAGAGTTAAATGTTTTCAGGGAACAAAAACCCAGGAAAAATAACATCTAAAAAATCAAAATTAGGGGCTGGTCTGGTCTTAAATCCTTTAAAGATTTGCTATTTTTACTGTCTATTTCTCTCCACCCTTTCTCTTTTTCGTATTTCCTTTATCCTTTTTTTGACCTGAAAGGATGGCCATGCCACCATAGTCTCTCCTTGGACCTGCCATTGCTGATTGTTTTGATCTTGCGCCTCTTAAGAAATGGTATTACTTTACTTTCTTTGCGCTCCTCGTACTGTGTGGCATAGTGAGGCAAGGTGAAAAATAACGAGAATAAGTGAAAAAAGTAGATTGATATTCTACTTCAGGGCATGGCTCATGATGGTTGTACAATTATGCATGTTGTGTTGGCACCAGAACACCCATAAACTCAATAAATTAATATTGCCATAAAAAAGTAGCGGATTTCAGAAAAATGCAATTAGAATTTCGACACAATTCCAACAAGAACAATCTATCTCTGGATCTAAAATAACGGAAAGTTTGCTTGTATATCCTCAGAATTTTTTACTCAACATGAATTTATTATGAGGATAAAATAGTATATGGGATCCTCACCAAAGTGAAGGGAAATCAAAGCCAAAACCTCTAAATTTTCCCGAACAGTAATGATCAAGTACTGCTCCACCATTCCTTTACTTACAGTAATTAGGCTGTGTTTGTTTTCTTTTCTTTTTCTTCCCTTCTTTGTCTTTTAATGTACCTTTCAACTCTACGATCACAGGGAAATAATTGGCATCATTCATAACAATATGACTTTTTCAGCTTTTTGCTTAGAAGCGAACGGCTGATAACGCTGCAGCCAAGATAGGGTTAGCATCCTTCCTGAGTTTAAGTATGATTTATTTCAAATCATAGGTATCACTTTGCCTTGAAATTTCGACCCGACTACTTCAAGGGTTTTTAACAATGATTGGCGTTGGAAATAGAAAATCAAACATTTTGACCTCCATGGGTGAAGTTTTTTGGTCGTCTCAGAAACATCGGGCTTTCAACTAAATTTCGTTTTTCATGATTCTGGCACTTATCGTCGCCATATCAATGGAGTTATTTAAACGATGTAGAATTTGTGATTTAATATTTGTATGATTGTACGAAGCAATTTTAAACTAACGCCACACACTGTATTGAAATAATGATGATTGGTCTTTGCCTGTATTATGGCTACTGCTTTCCACAAACAGGAAGTGTAGCAGTGATGAAACTAGAAATAAACCCTTTCAATGTTTCAAAATTTATCCCAACATTTGATTTTTTTCTCCTGACTTTTCTTATTTCTAAAATTTCATTCGATATTTTTAAATGAAATTTTTTGGGGATACTCTCAGAAAAATCACATGAAATTTCATACAATACTGATGATAAGTCATCCCTCAGGGAAATGAAATGTGATGAAAATATTTTAATGCAGATCAACTTCTTTCGCATTATAATGCATCCTATTGGTAGAGGAGAAAGAGGGAGATTAGACGCACCTATGTGTCATCCAAAAAAAGTAAGAGTAAGTAATAAAAGATTTAAAAATTTATTCGGCAACGGCCTTGAACAAAATAAAATATCAAGTTATATAACATAGAAATCAAAATCAGAATGAGAAAAGATGTTGAAAAACATCAATAATCACGACTCAAAGTAGGTAACAAAAAGAAGAAGGTACAAATCACTGATTTTATATAAAAAATTTTGAATTGTACTTTGTAATCATGCATGAAGAGTTTTATAAACTTAAATCGTAAATTTACAATTCCTTCAGCATGGCAAAAAATACATATGTAACTTTGAATTATTCCTCATTATCATCCTTCCCTAGTTTCTTTTTCTTTAATTTTTCACAGTAATTGTAAAGTGTACTAAGCAAGGCACTGAATGCTAATCGCATGTTGCTCTTTCACCATGAGACTACATAGCACGTGTATCATTAATACAACTTCGCCAAGTGGCAAATGGCGACATAAATATAAAGCAACGTTGTAATTTGGTCTCTTTAAAAGTTAACAGTAACTGGAGATTGGTTGCGATACAATCATCATTTTGATAATAGTTACTCATATCACTTGCTTAGATATTATGCTCTAGACTCCAGAACACACCAAGCCCTGTCCCCCCCCCCCCAAATTCATTGCAATCGCAAAAAATTCTGTAACATAGGCTGGAATAAAAAAATAAATGCATCGTCTTGCATACGAATGTCAGTAAGAGCTACTTGTTCAGGAAATTGATGAGTAAGAGCATGAGATTTAAATAATACTATAATGTATCATAAATAAAAAAAGAAATTAATGCTACAAAAATTTAAAATACCTACAAAAATACAGTTATAATAATTCAGTCTGAAGAAACTCTGACGTTAGGAAGACAGAGCACTTCATTGAAGGAACAATATTTTTTCTGTCATGCAAAGAAAGAATGCTGTATGAGCGTTCGAACGTTGCCAAATTTCCTTTGATGAGATACGAATTTTTAAGGAAATCTGTCAATATTTTTCCTCTAACTTTTCAGAAAATTTTTATCACAGTCGGGCTAAATATCTGAAAATTTCATGAAAAAATATTAAAAACTCTCCTCATAAATAAACTTTTTACTAAAGAAAATTTACCAACTCTAGAATATGTCGTTCTTCCTTAGCATGACGGAATAGTGATCATGAATCCTAAAAAATCACAGACATTACATGAACTGAAGTAGCACTCAAAAAAATAGGCAGAAAAATCTGTGAAAGTACAACAAATGACATAGGGCCGATGAGATTTAATCGAAAGGCACAATTTTTCGTAATTTAAACAGACATGCTTTACATAAATCTACATATGATGGATGGATGCATGCTGAATTCTTTGTCAAAAAGAGTTACGCTGAGAAGAAATCGAGTAAAAAAAGCACAGTGTAATTTCAAAGACGAGTTAAATGACATTTGTAGGAAGCATGCACCTGACTTTGATAGTGAACATACATTCAACAATCTCAATAAAATTTGTGTAAAATTAATTTTGCAAAAAGAATGATAAATTCAAAAATCATAGGTATATTAATTGAACTGTAAACTTCACTGTCACTGTTTTGGGAATACTTAAAACTTACAGACTATTTTGGTTCTTGGACGTTTTTAGAATGAAGAATGACTCTTGATATATGCCAAACTTCCAAGTGTGACAGATGGTGTAAAATTTGTCCCTAATCAGAGTATGGTGTTCACTTCCCAAGTTACGATGAGGAAAAAATATAACAGTGAAGAGATTAATTAAATTGTGTCAACTGTTAAGTACGTAATTGGGAAGTGGAGGGGTTGTTACACTAAAAAGATAAAAATATTAGTACCATAAGATACTTAGCTCATGATTCTTTTGCTCTGTGTTTAAAGATACACTTCATGATCACACAAATGAATACCCTTCCTAGAATTACTGCAAACAAAATAATTGAATGGAAAATTGCGAGTTGAACCTGTGATAACAAAACACACCAACTCGCAGTTTTTTTTAAGGTCCTGAACTTTTGTATTTTTCGAGTCTGTGTGTTTCCATTTTCATAAATTCAATTGGGTACATGCAGCCCTCACAAAGTAATTTTAATCTTAGCATATGTAACTGGTTCACATTTACAGGACAAAGACCCCGTGCAGACAAGAAATAGATGAAAAACTAAAAGAAAAAACAATAGACAAAAACTTAATGAAAAAGCAATAAACAAAATAACTTATTGGATAGGCAAACAGACGGAAATTTTAAAAGCCACAATTATATCAGACTTAACATAATTTAAAAAAAATGACACTAAAAATGACACTGCCCTAAAGTTTGTAAATTACAAGAATCTCCCCCTTCTTATTAGTCTATAATAAACTGCCGAGCTGAGGAAAAACGTCATAAGAGCATTCGAGTATTGGCAGAATGCCTCTCAGAAAATATAATTTTTGAAGGAAAGTTATGAGTAGTTTTCCTTGAAATTTTCAGGCACTTTATATCAAATTACGAGCAAAATTTTATGAAAAACACGAAGAAAAATATTGACAGGTTTCCCCGAAAATGTGTGATTTTTCAAAGGCAATTTGGCAACGTCTGAGGGTTTGTGCAGCGTTTTCCCTCAGCACGGTAGACCACCAGTCTGCATGAATTGTTAGTAAAGCAGACAAAAAACAAAAAAATGCGTGGAAGATACGACTATAGCTAAAATTTTAAAGGTTACACATTTTTGGCAATCCTTAGGGAGGCTAAAACTCAATCCTTCCAGAGGCTGCGGTTGTTTCAACTTCTCAGCCGTAAATCTGAGAATCAATAATGACTGAATAATGCACACAATAATGAAAAAACACTTAGGTAATTTCGCTCCTATCTTATTTGTTAAGAAATTGATAAGAAATAGCTAGCCAAAATTGACTGAAATAGTGGAAGAGTCAAATTTTATGAAGAATTTGAATTTAATGAAAACTTCAAGAGAAGGATCAATTATACCTGTACAAACAAAAAAGAGACGGAATAATAGCACCCAACTAAAGAGGGAAGTTAGTGTGGCTGCATCAACCACCTTTCAAAGAATACTACATGCTCGCTATTAAGGTGCTCTCTCTTGGAAAAGTGACTACCTTCCTCCAGGGAATAATCAAAAAAATATTTAACTCTTTTAGAGTAATACCTTAAATTTGAAATAAAATATGAAAAACAAAAATCCCCAACAAAAGTTTAGGCCCTAGCAAGGGCTGAGAGCAGAGTTACTTCAAGATCGTCAAGGCTAAATCTGCATGGAGCGACACCAGAACTTGCTTAGTGAAGTTTCGAGGCTTTTTATAATTTAAACGGTTTAAGTTCGCAACAACGTATCTCGGTTGGCGGTATTGCAGACATATTGTCAAACTTTATTTTTTAAATGATAAACAACTCAACAGCAATTCTTAAAAAGTGCCATGATTTTTCTCCTCTGTGCGAAGAAAATTCTGCGGGAACTTTCAAGAAATGATGTTGATTCGTTCTCTTTTAAAAAAAAAAAAAGTAAGAGCTGAGATTTTCAAACACCGCAAACGAGATACGAGGTTGCAGACTTACACTGTGAATTTACTGTGTTGTATCAAAAGAATAATGTTTACACAGCTTCTTCAAATGAAAACTTCATTACTTCAGTAACTGATCAGATAACTGAAACTTTAAAAAAATCACTGTATCTATTTTGCGTGTTTAAAGATCGCTCTTTTTATATACAATTTTAAGAGGATATTTTGAGATGCAAAAGAAAAAACTGAGAGTGGTTTATTTTGCCTTTAAACCTGATAAATCTGGGAGGGGAGTCTGCTCCTCAGCTCTCTAAAGAAGAATTTAAACAGATAATCACAAAATTCAAAGAGATAAAGTAAGTTTTTAAAATTCGGCATCAAGATGTGGATTTGCAAGGCATTTTCAATTCAATGACGATTTTTGTTTGAAAAATATACATGAGACATTCTGAACACTTTAATGCACTAAGTATGGAGGCAGACCAACCAACTTACTGCGTCAATTATAGCTATCTGCTTGGCTTTTGACATTGTCTCACCAATTCCTAAAAATGAAACAGGGATTGTATAATTTATATTTAGAGTTATAGCAGCACATCTGGATTTATGGTGGGGTGGAATTAAGATAAAGTCATGTTTTAAGTTCAATTCTTTCAGTAGCTTCTGAAAGACATCCATATAATTATCTTCTAGGTGTGTTTGAAGGTTGCAGAAATCCCCAGGCCGAATAGTGCCTGACAAATCATCTATAACCGCTGACTTAACATTCGGCCCTAACCTTGCCACATTATGATAATCTTTGATTGGCAGTTGAGTGGAGCTATTTTGTTGGCGATTTTTTAAAAGTGAGCTGGACGCCTTGAATTTAGTGATTATTTGTTTCAATTCTTCTTCAGAAAGCTTAGGTGCCGACTCTCCTCCCAGATCCAACAAGTTTAACGGCAAATTTTTCAACTTTAATAGCATTTTTGCTGCACATTGACGTTTAGCTTCTTGCTTAGAATTTGCTGACGCCTCCTCCGATTCAGTGCCAACTGTACATTTCAATGTAAACTCTCGTAAGTGCGGAGGACCCTCTTCCTTTACAACACAATATTCAGCAGCTGGCAGACGATGTCTGGCGCAAAGCTCGTTCAAAACTCCTACAGCATTAAAAGAAGAGGGAGGGTGAAATGATGAGGATTTAATTCTTTCTGCACTAACAGGAAGTTCCACTGACTCAACATTATTTGAAGCAGACTTACATTTTTCTCTAAACGCACTAATTGAATTATCATGACATAAACCTTTAACTTTGCCTAACATTTTTATTGCACACTGATGCTTGGCATCTTGCTTTGTACGAGCAGATGACACTTCAGATATGTCCCCAACTGTACACATTATTGTCATCTCACTCTCATGTGGAGGACCTTCCTCAAGGACAACAAAATACTCCGGAGATGGAAGACGGTATTTAACGCATGCCTCATTCAAAGCTCCCACAGCGTTGAAAGAAGAGGGACAGGAAATCGTTGTCTGCTTTAAACTTTCTGTGATATCAGGAAGATCCACTTGATCAAATTTCTCTGGGAGTGGCTTTTGTTCCTGTCTTACTGTTAGCACATTAAATGAGTTTTCACATTTAAAATTTTTTAATGTTTTTAACATTTTGGTGGCACACTGATGCTTGGCATCTTGTTTCGAGTTAGCAGATGAAACTTCAGATAAGTCCCCAACTGTACACTTCATCGTAAATTCCCTATTGTGCGGAGGGCCTTCTTCTTTTACGACAATATAATTTGGAGTCGGGCGATGGAATTGTACACAGAACTCATTCAAAGCCCCAACAGCATTAATAAAGGAGGATGGGGCAGTTGCTGCCCTTTCTGAGGGATCAAGAAGTTGCTTTGGTTCCACATTGCCTCTCCATTGCCCAAGTTTTATGAGCATAGCCTTTGCTGTATTGTGTTTGGCTTCTTGCTTTGACAAACCTTCTCCAAACACTTCCAAGTGTAAATAGCACAGTTTAAATTTAAACATGACTTTGCAGCTAGATCCTGAATGAACAAGTTCATATTTCGGTAAAACTCCTCCATTCTTCACCATGTATTCTTGCAGCTGCGATACTGGGGTCTTCTCTCCAGTTCTGATCATCTGTAAAGAAAGGAAAAGACACCATGTCATTCTACAATTACAATTTTAATGAATACATTTAAATCTACCTAGACCCTGGATGATGAAATACTTGGACTGAAGCTAAAAGATGCACAGGATATGCCTCAATCTAGTTCAGGGCAAAAGCCTAGCTGGGACCTTGCTTTTTTTGCTGGCGTATGAATTTGAAAAACTGTAGAAAATGCAGTAACACTTTCCTTGGTCAATTTCAAGGTCTCTTCTTTCGTACGGTTCAAAGTCCAAATTTTATTTCTTAAACTTCATTAAAAATTGAATTTTCAATGTCTCGTGAAATCGTTTTTTAAAAATGAGGGCTCTTTGTTTTTGGTACAGACATAGAATTTTCCTGTTTCAAACAGACCTACCCCCAATCTGAGTCAAATCATATTCTCTAAAAAATTAATATGATATGATACATCGACGACGTAAGTCTGCAATCACATATCTTGTTTACGGTGTCTGAAATTCTCCACCACAATGTTATTTTTAAAAGGAGAACAAATTGACATCGTTCTTTGAGGTTTTTGCAGAATTTTCTTTGCACAGAGAAGAAAAATTGCGGCAGTTTTAAATGATTGCCGATGAGTAGTTTTCCGTTTTAAGAAATGAAGTGTGACAGGAAGTCTGCGACATCGCAAACTGAGTTATGTGATTGCCGACTTATACTGTCGATATGATATAATACAATATAATAATAATTAATAAATAATTTGACAACAAGGTCCTCCTTCATTACTGACTGCAGATGTAATTCCTTACGATTAGAGAATTTTGAGGTTTGTATACTGAGAACGAATCTGTCAGTCAGCGACAGATTCTGAATAATTTAGTTTCATGAAAAATCGGAAGTGCTGCTCAATAGGAAGATGAGACAAAATTTTGTTTCCCTTCCTTGAAATGAATCAATCTTTGTCTGAAGCCGGATGCGCAAACGATTCATTCCAGGGAAGGTTTGGCGAAACTTCAGAATCCGACTCACATGCAGTCACTTTAAAATTTTAGTCTTGTAACTCATCACTTGAACAGTGGCCCACTGAAACCCACTTCTTTCCAAATCAACATTTTCTCTCTAAAGCACAGAGCAGGTGGGTGGAAAATGATGGATTTGACATAATCAGAAGAGAAGAGGTGATATTAAAATGATAGAATCGAACCTCTTACTACGAAAACTGGAGGCTGAACTGTTCTGAAGGAGAGGCCCGACCGAGACCAATATTAGACATACCTAGACATACCCTTGCAGACATTTCTTACAGTAGGTACTTAAACCAATTAAACTAAGTAATCCATTATCCTTCAGTGGGTACTTACATTGCTTGCTAGGGAGGCTAAGCGTTGCAAAGATGGCAAAGATGTTGATCACGTAGAAGGTAGGTATTTAGATATGTATGTAATGAAAGAGTTTTCATACACTACTTCGATACTACGTATCGGTGCAGTAAAAAGAGATAAGAAACGCCTGACTGATAAAGATAAAGTTAAGATAGCACGTCTGGCAGGACTAGATGTTAGAAGAATCCACTAACTTTCCGTAAATGTTCAGCACTCAACTCGACTGTCAACAAGAGTCCAAGCTAGGTCTGTTCATGTTTCAACCTGTATGAAGTCTCTACGAATGCCACAGATGTCAGCACTCAGGTATGATGCAATAGTGCAATTCTGCTTATCACTATTAAATTTGTTATGACGTGCCGTGTTGTATGTGGTCAAGTAAAGATAAAAAAAGAAAGGTGACGTCACCAATTTCTACCAGTGTGGCCCGAATGACGTAAACAAAAATGGCTCCCTGCTGCCACTTTCAAGATGTAGATATTTGTCAAATGCATCTACTTAGGTAGGCAACATGTTTTACATGCATGCGAACTCCTACTCCACTCCCACAAGGCGCCTTCTTGATCCGCATTGCCACTCCTTCATCAAAAATGCACTGGGGAACCCCCCCCCCTCTCGAACATTTCATAAGTTTTTCCTTTGAAGGCCATTGAAGTTCATGTCGGAAATTACTAATAATAAGCTCAAACCCAATACTTACCAACCTAGGTAGAGCCTGTTTCACGTTACTTTTCCACTTTTGTTGTACTTATAATTCCCTATCCTGTGCATACAGCAAAAGAAGAAAAGTAATCTGCAACGGGCCTATTTACTATTTATTTTATTGGCGAAAATACACCATTGGTGGAAAATATAAAAGCTGCAAAATTCAAAGTTTAGGGACTTACTTCAAAATGTACATAGGTAAATTTGTTTGGTACAAAATTATGATCCTCTAGCTGCTCAGAAGTTGTCAACAGGGAGATGCCTCCAGGCAAATGAAAGAGCCTCAGCGTTATTTTTATAAACTTCCCATTTTTCTCAAAATGATCAGATGGTACAAAATAACTTTCATTTTTGACTAGAAACTTGTGGAAAATCCTCTAAACGCTAAGTAGATAGTGAATGGGATGATCTATCAACCTAGGACCAGAAGTTCAAGTAAAGCAGCCTCACAATGATTTTTGAACTTTTCACTTGTCTCAAATTTGGTGTCACTTACCTATTTACTTGGTCAGGGGCCTGACTTAACAAGTCAAAATATCAAAAAGTTACCTATTAATTCAGACCACCCATTAGTACTTACAGCAGAAACATTCTGATCCTCATGAAAAGTTATAATACCTAGAAATCTTTATGTGGTCCCCTCAGTTTTTTTTTATCTTAAAAATTATGTGTTCATTTCTTCTGGTAAGCTATATCGCCCAGCAGAGCAGCATATAAACATCAAATCCAAATTTCAAAAGAGTACAATTATTTACTATATTCAGCAAAAAGCACGCTACTGAATAATTATAGGTAACACTATTAAGGAGTCAAAACTCATTTCAAGGTCCTGTTGGATTCTTTGAGATTTTAAAAACTACACACTGATACCTACTTTTATTTTTCTTGAATGTTCATATGAGCAGAAGAAACAGAGGGTCCACATTTCAAGATGTATTATTATTCTGGGTATGAAATCCATACTGATGGGTATATTAAAATCTGGAAAATTTTCAATTTTTAAATATTTGTCTTAACATTTCAATGTGTGCTTGATTTACACGCTTGGAACTATATAGGTATTATTACATACTTAGGTATTATTTTGTGTAAAAAAGACAAGTGCCCTTAGAAATAAAAACCCAGCAGTGCCACAACTGCATGTCTATCAAAACAAAAGTAAGGGAATGATTGTGGAAAGTAAAAAAAGTCTGGGTATAGGATCATCAAATCTTTGATAATTTTTTCCCATTGTCACAGTTTAGCTTGAACCAAAACTTGCAAATATGCCTATCTAAAAAGAAAGTTGCTAGGTTGCTCCATTACAAGAGACGCATGCAACATTTTATAGTTTTTTTAGGAAACATTCAAATGCTGGTCCTCCGCCTGTTTGCATGAGAGACTTAGCCTCTTGCCATACTGCAGTGAGATAGTGCTCTTCTGATGTAGCATAGCGTATCGACAGCCAAAGTGCAGAAACATGTTTCTCCAATGCAATGTTTCAAAATTTCCCCTCCAATTTCATTCTTTCAAAGAGAAAGAAGATAACTTTACAGCTTGCGATTTATAGACAAGATTCTGCTAAGAGTGAGGAAAAATCAAGGAATTTTTCAAGAAGTTATGTTGAATAGTTTTTTGAAGGAAACATTAACTATGACAGGTGTCGGCAACGTCGCAAACGGAGATACGTGGTTCAGCACATTAGCAATCTATATCATGTGGGTAGTATTGGAACACCGGTGCAAATCCGGTAATTAAGGGCATTCCGTCAAAATGGTAAAATTTAACTTGAGTATAATCTTCATTATTTTAGGTCTGATTGAAAAAAAATAGAACACCAAATTAAATCAAACAATTGGCGAAGGAGATTCATGGAACTGAAAAAGTGCTGGGTATTCATTTAAATTAGCCAGAATCTTAGGTCAGATGCAAATGTGAGAGTGATTTTGCGGGGAAAAACTACAATTTAATCATATAAGATGCTTACTTAAAGTTACAAGCCACCATGGTAAAGACAATACTAGAAACCAAGCATCGCAATGCCTATAATCTCCGAATTTTCCGATAGAATTAGAGTGGACACAATGAAAATTTTCAGTTTCAACTGCATGTTAAAAGAGATGTTAATGTTTTTGAAATCTTAAAATTTTAATTAAACTTCCTCCTCTTGAAGAAAACCGAAGTTTGAATCAAGTTAGATTTCTACTAGCCTAATAGGAAACAATTGTCACAATGTACTCCGCTCTTCTCAATAAGTTCAGAGATAAAATACATCAAAGGAGGGGAGCAATTTAGTGAAACTCAAATCCAGATATTTAATAATAATTTTGTTTTCAATGGCCAAATAGACCTGAGTTGATTTTGATTTCTTCAACAAAGAGGAAGTTAGAATTGACTACTTTCAATGGAAGCAATAAACACTAAAAACCTTTTTTTTTTGCGTTGATCCTGGAAATTTGCGGTATGTACATTCAATAATTTTTTAAAGAGCTTTTAAAAAAGAGGAATTCCTCTTGATGCCTTTATTACTCTCATCATACTGAGAGAAGATCCACTGCTACACCCATAAATTGCAGTCCCTTTTAAGGGAGATCAAAATTTGTTTGAGAGGCGAATGTACGCGATTGCAAAAAATGGGGGCCTTTCCCTATGATAAAATATTTTTATTTGCTGGGAGTTCTTTAAAAATCAGAGGCAAGATCACATTTCTGTTTTTTATTATTCCAATATTTGAAGATTCATTTACAGGTATAAATGAAAAATTGGGTTTGAAAAGCGAGATGAATTCATCCAGAGGCAGAGTTACTTGAGTTTCTTTTGAACAAGAGCTATTTGCTCATCAACGCGTGCTGAGGTGCCATTGAATTTGGTTGGGGGCGGACCGATCATCTGAATTAGTTGAGGAACATCTTGATGTGAAATCTGGCAGAATCTCGCCAGAGCTTTCATACATCTGAAGATATACTCCTCTTTTGGACTTCCATTGAAAAACTGGAGGAGAGCCATGGTGAGCTCAACAGCTACATCATCAAAAACCTGAAAACAATGTAACGCATAAATGCAGGAAGAAGCAGTAAGAGGCAGAGAAGGACTTTAAAAGACAAGATATGATTCAAATGGCAGAAGGTTGCTACTGGGGGAGAAAATTTGGAACAGTTTCAATCGTCCACTTGACAAGGTGCGAATTGAAGCTTTCTAATACCTGTTTCCTGATTACAATTTCATGTAGAGCACGATTCAGACAACCAAAATTACTAAAATTAACTCCTAACTGAGATATTTAATGTTTTATTTGCATGAACTCACACCTCCCGCATATAGAAAAAAAACAAAACTCTATTCTTTCTTGTCGCATGTAAGCACTAAAGATGAATGAAGAAAACTTCAAAAATTTGCCATTAAATAAGAATGAAAAACAGTTGCAAGCATATTTTGTCACCTTCCAGCCACAGTATCACACACGCTATTTTTACCGAGATTGAGTTGTGAATAGTTTTGAAAGAACGAGATGCATTTACATACGAAAATAATACTTTTTTTAGAGTAAAAATGTAGAAATATGCATACAAATCTATTAAATTTGATGTACTTTTGTATTACAAGCGCCATTTAGGAGAAAGTATTAAAGCGCCAAGTTCTGCAACCGACAAGGACATAGAATCAAGACAACCACCCACTTTTCCGATTGATTAAAATTTTTGTTACATCAAACCTAGGAATGACATGAAGCTAAGCTATTTTCGTATGTAAATGCATCTCGTTATTTTGAACACTACATTTTTTTTTGGAATAAGAATTAATAAATATGAAAAATACTCTATTAAAGTTGATTAACTCTTGTATCACATGCACCATTTAAGAGTCAAGTGTCACAAACACTAACTTGGGTAATCGCTCATCTTTGGGATTGTTACTACAATATTAGTATCAACACCACTTGGAATGCTCTGGAGCAATTCGTCACTTTCCAGCTAAAGTATCACAAGTGCTATTTTTATCGAAATTGAGTTATGGAAGGTATTCAATTCATAAGACGCATTTACGTACGAAAATACCATTTTTTTAAATTTTTTATCAAATAGGAATAATTATGGGAAAAACTCCGTTAAATTTGATGAGCTTCCGTATCACAAGCGCCAAGGGTTCTCAGAATGCCCCGAGAACGCAGTATCACAAGTGCCAATTTTCAAGGAAAATATAATTGTTTTAAGAAATTTTATTAAAATTCGAGGCAGGAACTTGTGCTGGGTTAGCATTCCAAGTTTCAAACCAGAACTGCGGTTGCAAATTAGTTTTTTGTGCCTCCTGAGAAGTTGGCAAAGTGGCGCTTGTGATACTTTGGCCAGAAGGTGATGATTTGTAGGTACATTAGGAAGCTTTGGAGTGCTCTCGAAGTAAAAAACTTCATGGGTTTTATTCCTGAGTCATGTTGTTCCTTAAAACTTTAGGCAGTTATGACTCTAAAATTGACAAAAATTTGGCAGATGATACTTTTGCAACCCAATGGCAAGTCTTGGGGCCCTGTTCTACTGCTAAGCCATCACATTTTGCACAGGAAAAGGCAAACTTAGAAAAATCCAATTAAATGAAGCTGAAGCGATTAAAAAGTACGGTAAAAGCGACAGAAAATGCAACGATTAGCAGAATCAATTTTTGCAAAGCTGAGTGGATCTACCTCAAAAAAACTTGAAAACTCTTTGATGTCCTTAAAACTGACAATACCAAGAAAATCTTCTTTCCTCTCCTTAAAATGGAGAGAGATTTTAATATTTGACCAATCATATTGTGCGGCTTCCAAAAAATAGTTATATTTTGAAATTACTCAACAATAGTTACAAATACTGTGCAAAATATTGGGCTTATCCCCTACTGTTAAAATGGACACACTCTTCAAACGCAAACTTCACAGTCCTTCGTGGAAATTTTTAACTTCACCATGTGATCAGATAAATAGTAATTTTTTAAGGCCCAAATAACTTTCAGGAAAAAAATTTTGATCAAGGTATTTATCTAAAAAATCAGCTGTGGGTGGCAATTTACACTTGATGCAAGAAAATACGCAGCTTTCGATTTTCATTCTTTCTCCGAGTGACTCATTTTTTCACTGAACTCTTGGGAGTAAATTTTTTTTTTTTTTTTTAATGCTAGAGTTTCCCTATATTTTTCCTCCCAATTCAATCCCCTTGGTTTCCTTGGTTTTCCCTGAAAGTTAGGGGTGTTCAAACATATTCTTGCTAGAGCGCTATCGGTATCATCTTTAACTGATACTGGTGGCGGTACTGACAGTGGCGATGATATCACTAACAGCCGGCCGTATCGGAGTTCTAAGAGCTCGCATTCGATGCATTCTTGCCCTGTGTGTTGGTTTTTCAGATTGCCTGGCACGGCGGTGCGTAAAATAGATGTACGCATGGCAACAGCTTATTTTTTTCAGCTCCGAAAACTCAGCTCACTATCGGTAAGAGCGCTCATATTGTAACTTTTTCTTAACGGAATTGTTATGGTAGCTTACCGACAACCAATAGAACAGCCCTACTGATAGTAGAAATCCTGCACTAATGGAGCTGTCCTCCATCAGAAAGCTGAGAGGCTAAAATAAAGGACTCAACACGCACAAACTAGAGAGCTTCGGAATCAAAGGGAATACAGACCACAGTTTTTACCTCCTTGCAAGCTAGGTTGTGAATGATAGCAGAACCCCTGTCTTGAAGTGTCTCAACATCTGAGAGCAAGCAGTTGACAGCTACTTTTGTGGTCGCTCGAATGTTGCTTATCATTTGATTATTGTACGACCACTCAGATATGTACAATAGCCACTCTGAGCTACTAATGTTTTCAAATAGATTACAAATCTGCGGGGAAAAAATAAAAATTGAAAAACGAACATGAGTAAACTGTTACATTCCATGACTAACAAGCAAGTGAAGACATGAAATAGAAGTGAGAAAGATAAAACTCAAAAATAAAAATAAAATACTCCAAACAACATTTCGATGGCCAAAATGCAAAACAACGTAATCTCCTTTAGTGACTTCGCAGACTTCCTGTTATACTTCACTCTTCCTTTAGAAAGCTAGTTAACTTAATTTCTTGAAAACTTCCTTGATTTTTCTCCTCTGATGGCAGAATATTCTGCATACATTTCAAGTTATGAAGTTGGTTTTTTAGAAGAAATATAGGGAAATTAAGAGGCTTTAGTTTGAACTTGAAATTGCCTAAGAGTAAAATAAATTCTTCAAGCAGACCTGATTTTATTAACAGGTTAAGGAATAGTTTTCTTTAAAAACACATTACTTACGATTCATTTTTCGTTCACACAAACATTTAATGAGTGACTGCTTGATCAACGCTGCTCTCAATGGGATTTAATCTGAAGTTCTCCTTCTCATTTTCACTTGTTAACTTCCTCATTAACTAACCTCTTACGGAGCTTCAAGACCATTTTTCCTTATTGATACCCAGATTAATTCTAAAACCTCTTCAATACTTTTTACTTGATTTTCTTCATTCATGCTTTCGATTTCCATAATGTACTCAATCTTAATAATTGTATCAAATGTTGAATTTATAATTCCCAAATCATTTGGTATACATTGGAATCATGAATTACTGCCTCTGAAAATTATTACAGGCAATTGAAATGCCCCAGGCTGAGTGTTGAATAAAATGTGCAGTTTAGAATTTGAAATATGGAAGCTCTTTGGACCCTAAAAGGCAGCAAATCTTCTCATGAGAAAAACAGTAGAAAAAAGTCGGTGCCAACCTTAAGATTCAAATTTCAAACCAAGACGGTCAAAAATGTTCAGAAATTTTATGCGAAAATTAACATAATCAAACCTAACCACCATGATGAAGCTCTTAAACGCATCAGAGATTTGCAATGTATATTTTGCTTCAAATGTAAAATTTTGCAAGAAACATGAGGATGCGACCAGTTTTCTCTGAGAGAAATTCCCAAGCTCAATAAATCTCTCTAAGCTGAGGCCAGAATGGAGGAGATCCCCCACAATATGCTTTGAATTCACCTTTTTATCCAGTCAAACTTTCCATGCACAGATAGGGAGCAAACACATAAGCATGGTTCCAGCCTGGGAGGCCCCAAACAAAGAAGGTTGCAACCCTGCAAATGTATTTCTACCTTATCTGTACATATAGAGTTTGACTGGATGTAGAGGTGGACTCTCAGCGTAGCATGGGATATCTCCTCCATTACAACTTCGACATTGAGAGCTTTTTTTTAGCTTTGAAGTTCATTTCAGAGAAGACAAATGGCACCATTGCGTTTCTAGCGAAATTTTACCAATTTAACTGTTCTTCTTAATTTGTACATTCCTGACACATGCAGAGCTCCATTGCACACATGTCTATAAAAAATGCCTACACTATGTTTTTTGTTCAATGACTCATTATACAAGATCATTTCTTGCAAGCTGAACAGGAGGGTGCGACAAAAAGTTAGAGAACTTAATTCCAAAATTACTCACAACCAGAGCTAATGATTCCTGCTCAGGCACTGGGAGTCTCTCAATATCATGAGCATAGTTCATTAGCACATGATCACGTCTGTCTTGGTGGAGGAGAAGAATGACGTCATCCTTCAAAGCAGCAGCCCCAAGCACATTTAACAAATGCACCCTTGCCTCCGAGGGTATCGTGCCGTCATTCAGGAGTTTACCTAGAAAAAAACTCAAAAGATTGCAATGCAAGGGGCAAGGGGGACAAGGCACATAAGTGCAAATTTGAAAAAATTTAGATATTAAAGATTTCAAGTAAAACTAGTCTTAATGCATATTCTGTGAAAAATTCGCTCCCAAATCCCAATTTTTAAACATCAAAAAGTCACTCTGAACTTTCTTTCTGCCATGAGGATCTATGTATTTTCAAAACTTCAAACACACATTTCTTGAAAAAGCAAAAGCTGCACTTATGCGCCTTGTTCTCCAAGCCCCTCATACCTACTAGAATGGACCAAATTCTTTTTCAAATGAGAGAGAAACAAATTATGATTATAATACTGCATTAAAATGAGATTGTATTTCCGTACTGTGCAAACTGATAAAGGACTCCTTGGTTATTTTACTCTCCAATTTCTTAACATTTCACCTAACATTGAGTACTTATAAACAAACTACCTACTTAACATTAATGAGTTGAAGCTATATTATTCATGATGATCATGATAGTTACAGTATTTTTGCTTTAATGAGCAAATTAGGTAGTCTATCATAAGGAGACTTTTCAGCAAGGGGGAAATAAGCTGAGACAAAGATTCAAAACATTATTCATCATATTTTTTCGACTCACCGATGAAATTAAGGAATCCTTCTCCAAGCGCCCAAGATCCTTCATCTTCCAACATGTACTGATGCAATTCTTCCAAACTTTGCATTTCATCCGTTGTCAACTTGGAGTCAATAATTGAAACAAGATCGTCAAATTCTCCTCGAACCTGTTAGAGAAAATTCCTAATTTAATATTAAAATTTATGAGAATCAGGAGCAAATCAAGCTACCTCTAATAGAAGGGGGGATAGGAGGGGAGGTGTAGCAATGCGTGATAGCTCCCATCATCAGAGTCGTATACATCCTCCTTTAGAGATCAACCACAACAACACATAAACACAACTATACACGTATACACACGTACGTATACACGTATTTCAAACTACAAATATTTTGGTGGTGAGAAGCTTGTCCATAGGGTGCTCATCTAATTAGCGCCTGGGTTTTGAATGCCAACGACCAGAGGGCAAATGCCCATTCTAACGCATCATGTTCTACAAAGAGGAGAAAGCAGGCAGAGGAGAGTGTGGAACTCAGAAATACAGCTTTAGGATCAAAGAGAGAGCAAATATTTTTATTGGTGTGGAGAGAAGGTGAGCTACCGTGGAGGAAAAAAAAACCTTTGTGTTCTACTAGAGTAGACTGTCAGACACGCCAAAAACTGCCAAAATTATGGAACTTGAGTAGTTCCCTACCACGTTTTTGTGGATGAAACTTAGGGGTAAAGGCTGCTCTTTACTTATCATCGGAACACAGTAAGTAAATGCAAAAAGAGTTTGCTTTGTTACACACGACCTAAATGTTGACTAAAAACTTTACCTCTAAACAGTATTTAAATGTGTTTTTCATTGGCTCAACTACTCTGATGACAGCATTTACGCTAAAGGGTCCGAAGTTTATTCTAAAATATTATAATTTTTGCAACAACATGGGAATTTTTCTTGCGTATTTCAATGATGATGGTGCTATAGATGCTCATAATTTTAAACATGATTATTTCTGATAGTTGTCACTTACATCTACTAAATTTTTGAAAACAATTGGAGGTTCTCGGTTCTTTTTCCTTTCTTCCCGCTCTAGTTTTTCTTCTGCTTCCATTTCTTCCATGACTTGTGCTAAAGGTTTTTCTGCCGCCTCAGCTGTCTCCTCGACCAATTCACTGGCACCGTTACCATTGCTGTTGGCCATGTCTAGTCTACTGTGAATATTCTCGGCTCCCTACAGCAAGCAGAAAACATAAATGAATTAGAAAATTCAGAATAGATGCTTGACCCAAAGTTCTCAGTTTCATTACAAAAGAATGTTGTACTTTTCAAATTCATGACAGATGTTCACAAATCTCAAATGGCTGCAATCGTATTTTTAAAGTAAAGTAAGAAAATGAATTTCTGCTGAAAACGAAAATCATCTCTATGGGTACTCTGTGAATACTAGAGGCAGCTGAAAATTAGTTATTACATACTTGTTTCAAATATGATTTTCTTTACACAAATACTCTACAATCACACAATTCAAGTGTATCATTAAAAACTATTCTCAACAAAAGAAAGTGTAATTTTTCTACCGCAAGACATTAAGTGTTCCGGGCATTAATGCTGTGAAATCTGCTTTCGATCTTAAAATGGTAAAATGCATTTACTCACGAATCAGTGAATCTTCAAGTTAAATTGGTTCATTGATCATTTTTATGGTAGATGCTTTTTTGTAGGATGATCTTAGGCCTTGTCCACACAAGCACAGTTTGTGGAACTTTCAATTGCGCATTGTTTTCTGTTCGCAAGCAGAATAAGTAATAACTCAGCTAAAAATTATTTTGCCAAAGTTCGGGGAACTCTATACTAGTGGGCAAGGTCTTGGATTACAATGCCTTATACTGAATGCATAATTTCGAGAGAGCAAGTGAAGAAAAAATATGTTGAGTGAATACTTACAGAGTATTGATTCTTCAGGAAAACTGTTTTTCCTGATAACAGAAGCTTCTAGATAAAAATTAAATAAACAGCCAACTTACTTATTAGGCTTTTCCATTATCTTGGAGTTATTAAATATTAATTCATTACCAGAGCTATTAATTAGAGCAGCGAGTCGAAATTAAAGGCAAACATCAGATAGACAATAGCAAAAATCAAAATTTAGAAATGCTTATCGTTTAAATCAAAGCATAAAATGAGATGAATGTGTGTTTCTCTGGTATAAAACAATTTGTACTTTTCAGTTATTTACCTGTCTACCAGGCAAAATTGAAGACAAACCTAAGGTAGAGAATACCTCCAAATAGGTTGACCCATCGTTTTAAAAAAATTGAGTGCCTACAGAAATTATCTTCTATCAATTTACTACACTGGTGTCCAGTCATCCGTAAAAGTTCACTTCATATTAGCTTAATATAGCATCATAGTTTGCTGAGCTCTATTACAGATATTTAAAAAAATCTTGAATGACTCAAAAGTTAGCTGATAAGTAGAACACCGAATACCAAGCAGCTGAAATGATATACTCACACCTACATTTGATTGTTTTCAAAATTTTCTATGGTATGTTGATTCCACTTCTTCCTATCCATCTATTCCTCAGGGAGACATAATCTTTTTGTACATTTAAAGATGTTTTGATGCCCAGTGACAATGTTTAAAGGATATGCGATTCATCTGTGATATTGAGTTGCACTTGCTTGTATTACATGCGATGGACTTTGATACATATTGATCCATAATTAACAGCAAAAGATTTGACGAGTGATTCTTTAATACAGAGTGAGAGTTTCGTGTTGTTTGAACATGAGCCCACAACTTTAAGTAATTGGGATGGAAAAACGCGGGAACAATTTGGTGTTTATTGGACTAAGAGTCCCTCTGTGAACAATATATCATGAGGTTTGGTCATTCTTGAAAATTTCTGATGCCAATTCTAAATTTGCACAAAAAAAAATAATAATATCAGAGAAGTCGAAGGAGGGACATGAACCTTCCAAACGTCGAATCTAGTGTTTCCAATGAGGAAAACATCGTTTTGATGGAGGATTTAACAAGAGGATGTGTTATGATGACTTTATTTTGGAGGAGTTTCACTTCGACAGTCGAGAGTTTGATTGCAGGTAGGCAACACCTGAAGTTCGATTGAGGCAGGCCAAGTGAGGATACAAGCATTTCAAGGATTGTCAAGGTGCGATATTGCCCGCCATGCTGCAGCAAGTGGAATTTCAACTAAGCCTGCCGATATCTGGCTGCATTAGTTGCCTACCGGCAAGACCAATCCACACAGGCCAGTCATTATGCAGCTTTTTTGAAATCCACTCCCCCGCCCGGCCCTAACTTGCAGCACTCAATGCTACGTCACAATGGGTGCTCCCATAAGAAATACATTGCAGGCACTCAATACTACGTCACTGCACAGTGGAGTACCAAAACTCGTCCTCGGGAATGACTGACCTGTGTGGATTGGTCTTGCCTACCGGCAAAAAAATTCTAAACCTTTGGTATAAAGTTCCTCAAAAACAGTTGGTCTTCTAAAAAAAAAGAAAAAGAAAAGCTAGAGATGTAACACCCCCTTCTCTGGCAGTGGTGTATACCAAGGAATAACAAACTTTTATTATGATGTCTGTGTATTTATGTACACTTCTTGACTAGCAAACAACTTTACATACATTCACACGAAGTGAAAATGAAAAGACACAATTGCCCGAAAAAATCATGTACTTGACAATTTACAATTTTACAACAATTAATTCTGTTGTATACGTGCATTCTTACAGATTTCAGATTATTTTTCCAATTGTTTGTGATCAGTTTGATTCCTACATTTGTGAGAGATGTAAGTTATGTGTGAATTAGTAGGATTTGAGCAATTTGATAAAATGTGGTTGAGTCAGGGAAAAAGGAAACCAGGGTTGAAAATTTAGAAAAATGAGATGACTATCCTTCTACTTGGAGAGGTTGATTCTGCTGCAAATTATATCTAAACATGTAATGTGTGAGAGAAAGTCAGAAGTAAGTAAACGAGGAGCAGCTTTTCTGTGTTAAGTTTTTTAGTTGAAAATTGTGAGCTTTCACCTCTAGACCTCTTCGCTCTGATTCCATCATGCATTAGGTTTCTGATGATTCTCGACTAGTAATACAATTTATTCATTTCCCGGGTACACAGAAACGTTTGGTCGAGAGAAAATTTGAGACAAAAATGAAAACCTTTTTATTGAATACTGTATAAGTTGAATGTCAATATGCACTTCATTCATGAGAGAGGAGCTAAAAAATTTTGCACAAGTTGTGAATGATTGGTTCAGCAGTAACCTATTCAGCATTGATTCTCTGTTTTTAGTGAAATTTTTAGACCTCATGATCATAGCTTGTATAAATTTCAAAATATTAAGAATATTTTCCCTGCAATGTAAGAAGCAAATTCTTCAGTTGGTTTGTTCTGTTGTGCGAGAGGAGGAACTTCTTAATAAAAAAAAGATTAAATATCCTTCCAGGAAGTGTTGGCTACAGGTATCAAAAAAAAATCTAAGGAGTTAGACTAACAAATACTCATTGAAAAGGAACAAACCAAAAGGTTTTTTGTGCTGAGTATTGTTGTCCCTTTAAATGCTTAGAATAAAGAGATATCTAATGGAAAACTTGATGAGACTAGAGTTATACATTACAGAACTTCTCTTAAAGAAAAACAAAACGGAAGAAATGTTATTTTTTTCGAATTTTCAAAGATAAAAGACACAGAAGAGGTGAACTTGATGAAGGAGAGAGCACATGCTTACACATAATATTAAAACATGGTAAATGAAACAGAAAACAGTTTTTTAAAATGAGCTCCTGATAAATTTTAAAATTAAATTTACCATCAATGGTATACATAAGCTCACTATGAATGAAGCAAAAGACTAGGGATGTTCATACTTAAGAAAGTATTGACATTTGATGTTGATACTAAGCTTCACTGATACTGGTATCAATACTAACACTGAGGTAAGGATACTTTCAAAGTATCTATACTTCTTGATATGTGTGCAAACAAGCCCAAGTGCGCTTCAAATCAAACATACCACTATCTTCTAAGGTCAGTAATACTAGCCAACTAAATAATGTATCTTTTTCACACCATTCATTGTTTTTCAGGCCCAGTAGCGCCAGGTATTGCCATACACCAATGCAAAAACATGTCCCTCGGGTAATATCAATAATATCTATACCATCAAGTATCAATGTAAAGTATGAATTAGTTTTTTCGAGTCAAAAGTCTCAATACTTTCAAAGTATCCATTAAGTATCAACATACCTAGAAAATACCCAACTAAACACATAGGTACACAAGGATTGAGGGAATGATTAATTTGTTAAATACAACCGGAAAAACACTTAGTTAATTAAAACATTAAAACCAGAGCTTCTGATGTCTCAACACAGGTAGATTGCAGTTAGTTGCGGAAAAATAGAGACACATCACCTGATGGTTAAATTTTTGAGCAGTTTTTACAGCTTGGGTTATGAGTCTCCACTTCGGGTATTTATGTTGATGGACGAGCCTAAATTTTCCAAAAAAGGTAAGATAGATTGTCCCCAAGGCCTGCAAAACAGAAAAATTAGACAATGAAGGAGCAATAGCACTGATAAGTCAATAAAAAATGTTTTGAAGCTTCTGGAGAAATGAGAAAGAACAAACAGAGTTCAGTCTGATAGCTCAAGAAAAAGTGATCTAAAATTTTCCTTTAAAAAAGGGCAAAAGAGAAAATAGTGTATCTTTCCTTCTAAAAATACACAAAAAAATGTTAACAAAAATGCACAAACACACTTTCGTACCAATACATGAATGCACAAACACATGTGCAATTTTCCATGAAAGCTCTCTTTGCTGAGGTTCAAACCAATGAAATCTGTTGGATCAAGCTGAGAGATCCCAGTTCCACGGACATCATTCAAAATTGAAAGCAACAAGAGAGAAAAAAAGAAGATAACTTAACCAGTTGCCAGGTAAAAGTAAGAGGTTCCTTGAGCTGCAATGCTCCTTCCACCAGCAAGGCAACTGATTTCATGGTGAAAGAACCGTTCAAGGGTGTCAAGAGCACAGCAAAAAATTCTAAAAGAGCAAGTATACATAGGGTGTAGCAAAAGTTCCTGGGCTGATACTGTAACTCTTTAACTAATGTAACTATCACGTTGATCTTGGTCTTATTTTAAAAATTACATAATCCCAAGGCGATTGAAGCCAAAATCATCTCATTTGCTGAGACAATAAGGAAGTTATGAGGGTTTGAATGAAGAAAGTATAGCTGCTGCACAGGCTCTCATAGATTTTTTTTTAAGTGTGAAAAGTTATTAAAGTGTTTCCAATGAAACTTCTATAATGAAAATACTTTGCAAGAAAAAATCAACAAGGCAATAATATCTGGTCCTTGTTCAATTGGCGTAGTGACCATAATGACGATGGGAAAGAGAACAGATGTTGTGGCTCATGGCAGAGACAAAATTTGGTGAAATTTTCTGCAAATCTTATATTAGTTTTATTGTTATTATTTGATTTGAGTTGGCATGAAAACTTACAGGAGATCAAAAATTAAATCCTCAGAGTTTTCAAGATAGAATTATACCTATGTCTATTTCGCATCTACATTGGATTATCTTCTCTCTATGAGCATTTGAAGTTGCAAATTTTCAACCATAGCACTTGAAAAAAGAGATAACTTACGTTCCTAAGACTTCAGATGGTAGATCCAGAATGTACTTTGGAATACTCCTGCCCGTAAGAAAGTTACTTAGCTCATCACTGAAATTGTTACAATTGTGACTGAGAAGTTTGTACGTTCCTGGCCTGCAATATGACGAGAATAACAGCAAATTATTTCTGTGACAAGTTTTTTTTTTTTTTTTTTTTTTTTTTTTTTTTTTTTTTTTTAATCATCCTACTAAGACAATATGTATTTTATGGAGCAAAAGGGTCTTGAGTACCCTTTTTTCCGTTTTGAATTATTTTTCACAAGAAAACTGACCATTATGACACAGAGGACTGCCCCATTGCTTTCAATATAAATTGCAGCTTTTGAAACTTTTCTTGCCTTAAATATCATTTTTCACATGAATAGAGTCCCCTCTAAGCATGTTAAGAAAACAAGGAGCTCAATTTTACTAAAAATATTGATTTGAGCCTTTTGTTGAACTTGAATTTGTGAACTTGATCTGACAATTTTGCGCAGAATTGATTTGTTCTGACTGAAACTTTGAAAGCTTTCGTCTTTTTCACAAGGTATATTCAGACAACAGTAACATTATATTACTTACGCAAACTCTTGTTGACCTAGAGAATGGAGGTAGTCTTCAAAAACTTCTTGAGGTACCTCGGTTGTACCAAGATCTTCTATTTTTAAAGGTTGACGTAGCTGAGTTTCCCCCTGAACAAAAAAACACAAGCAAATGAGTAAAGGACAAGCAAAGAATATGGTAACAGTGACAAACAAAGCTCGTGCAAAAGTCGAGATTTTCCGATATTATCATCCCTACCTGCATCAAAATTGCATGGAAAACAGTATGAAGCCACGATATTTGAACGTATGAGATGAACCAAAAGATGGCAATGATATTCCTACATAAGCGCTTTGCAAACACCCTTGTGCATTTCTGAATAGGAGCGAAAAGCGGGAGTGCCTTCAATTTTTGAACATGCAGCACGCACAACCGTGGAACACGAATAGTTGCATCAAGGCGCGACAACCCAACTCAAAGTAGTCGTAGGTCGAGATATTAACTAAATTAATGACCTTAGAAACTTTGGCTCCTCGTGGCACTAACTGGTAATACTATTCCTGTATACAGGGAACAAAAGGGACAGGATACATATAGGTATCGGAACAAAAATCAGATACGTAATATACCTCACACTTTCATGCTCCTTTGATGCAGGCAGAAATTTTGAAAGTAAGCGAGATGAAAGGATCTAGGAGAATTGAAATTGAAATAAATAACATTCGGTTGGGAGGCATTGTCAAATCTCATCGCCTCGCGTCGCGTAAAATCGTGTAGGTTATCATGAAGCGATGACACTTCCGTGACTTTCTTGCGATTTTAGGCTGTAGGGCTATCGACCTGCGACAATACCTCTTGTACGGCATTCCTATCACTGTGAGGCTTGAAGATACCCTGAACCACAGGTGAAATTTATATTTGGACTGAGTTAAGCAGAAAGGAACCAACCCACATTTTGGAAAAAATTGAGTTATGAGTGGTTTCAAACTCAACCACTGCTCTACTATCTATCGCCAAAAATTCAAAGTTTTTGTTGGAGCAACTTTTGCAGAAATTGAACTTGANGGAGTTCCGCGACCGGCCAGTGCACTGGACCCGCGGCTAAATTTAGCGCGGGTGACTCGCCTGATCTGAAAGAGATAACATGCGATGCGCACACTAACACACGCACGGAAACAAAGGAAAACTTGCGGAAAAGCACGGGGACACACCTGACGAGCAGGGACACTCGAGGGATCGGCGACTGAGAATGCGAGGAATGCTGGAAAAGCGGCTCGGACTGTACCCGCGGGAGAGACGCGATGTCCGCGCCGAAGTGTAAGCGTTGGAGCGAGAACGAGCGACAAAGCCGAGGCCCGGGGGTGCGCGGAGTGCCCGCTTTGGAGCCGACATTATTTTTAAACTGGCCAAAACTTACCCAAGAGAAGCACCGCCTATTTTAGAGGTTCGACACGACTTTGCCGCGTCGCATGCCCGTGGCCGCCCTCCGAGCGCATTCTGTGTCGCTCCTCTGTTGTGGCTGTCGGCTCGAGGGCCGCGTCAGCCGACAGCGTCCACGACTCGACGCGACCATCCACGTTCTCAACCCTGCGGGCCGATTATTGAAATTTAGTGTTCGTCGGGCGGACATACATGACATGAGTTAAATGGCGAGGCGCATGATTGGTCGGCTATGTCTTATCGCTGCTTTGTCGTGCCTTTGTCAGGTGGAATGGACGACATACTGTCGGAAACTTAAAAGGTACCGATAGCTTGTCGTAAGTTCAACCCGACTTAGGCACGACAAAGCAGCGATAAGACATAGCCGACCGATCACGCTCCGCCTTTTAACCTATGTCATCTATGTCCGCCTGACAAACACAAAATTTCAATAATCGGCCCGCTGGGCGGAAATAGGGGGACCTTCCATCCCCCAACCCCTCCGATCTACTCGCCCTTCTTAAAAAATGTGAATGATTCTGCTAACGAGGGGAACTTACCAAGCTGCCGCTTCCGATCGAGCACGGCCAGATTTGGACTGCATTCTGCAATTTGGAACTATAAATTGGACGTATTTCTGTCAAACGGAACTAAGCGCCAATTTGAGTTCCTTTTGAGGAATTTAGAATCCCGGATAGCGCGTTCTGTCAAACGGAACTAAGCGCCATGGAAAAGCATTGCGAGTATTGGACGGAGCGAGCAGGACGCCCGTTTCCGCCGCCAATCCAAGCTCCCCTCTACCTTCCTCCCCCTATGGCGCTTAGTTCCGTTTGATAGAAATACGTCCAATTCGGGCTCTTCAGGAAAAACACTTATGTGCATAGGGAAACTAATGGCACATACGTTGTTTTTAAACCGGGCTGGAATGTATAGTTCCAAATTGCAAAATGTAGTCATTTTATACATAGGCCGTCGTGGCCAGGGGAGGCAAATTTTAGGGTGGAAGAATGTAGGAGGAAAATAACGAAGATAGGTGTCGCTGCCGCTGACACCGTGCGGCCGCCAAGCGGAGTGGCAAAGTCTTGGCGATTCAATCCAGAGGAATCAGGAGCAAAATGATGACTAATAAAGACTGCAAAATGACAGATAGATAAGTCTGAAAATCCTTTCTATTCTAATAAAAGCATGTATTTAAGACGCTCGCTGGACGGGGTGAGGAGAAGGAGTAAAACGGCCGATGGGCAGGAGTGAGGAAGGGGAGTTAAAAGGTCAGAGTTTTAACGGAGTGGGTCCTTACTTTCAGAGGCCTTTGTTTATAGGTTGTGGCCTGCATGTCCATCAGGTTGACTTCCAAAAAAGGAATCAAAATTCACAGTAAGGAGAAAGTCATTGAGATTGGCGGGAAATTTTTCTTTGAAACATCGTTTTGTTATTCGATTAAAATTATTTTCTCATTAACCGCCAACGGGCGATTTCGACCATTTCGCTGGCCGCGAAGCGGCCTGTGGGGGCGCGCTGTGCCCCGGGGGTTGGGCCGCTAGCACACAACAATATGTTGGGTACGTAATTTACGAGCTGCAGAAGCGCCCCCCCCCCCCCCCCCCCCCCGTGACAATTCGTGGGGCGGCAAAATCTTGACGGACTAGGGGCGAAAATAATGTCAATCCAGCCAAGCTTCGTAGTTCGAGTAGTAGTGCGCTTAGTTCTTGCATTTAATAATGCCTTCATCCGCACAAGTCGGTAATTGGAGACAGTCGAAAAGCTAATATTTCCTTTCATATTCGCGTGGTACCACATCACATACCTACTCTGAAGTTTGAATCGTTGCACGTTTGATTTCCGCATTCAACGATGCGAGCATAATGCCTACTCTCAAAAACGTCAATAATTTCAGACAGTTAAAAAGTTAAGATTTTCCTTCATTTCTGCGTGATACCACATCACGCACTTACTCCAGAGTTCGAATAGTTACGCGGTTAATTCCTGCATTGAACGATGAATGCATAACCTACATTCATTAACGTCAGTGATATGAGACAGGTGAAAAGCTAAGATTTTCCTTCGCTTTTGCTTGATACCACATCACTGCTCGCGGGTTTTATGGGGCTGGTACATAAGAGCTTTAAATATAGGTCTACAAACATATCGAAAAAAAAATCAGACATCAAATTGAAAAAAAAGAAGAAAATAATCTAGTGTTTACAAGGCCGGAGATAGGAGAGACGGAATCAGACTTCGTTTTTTATTGTCTTTTCCCCCGAATCTGAAACACACCTCATTGACAGCACAGAGCGGAGCATTGCGAGTTCACGCCTCGCGCCATCGCGCCTTCTATTTTGCAGATGCGACACGGATGTCAATTAAGCATAAAAAGCTGCATCTCTACGCCGTCATTGACGCGGGTCCTTTCCTTTGCTCTATTTCCAAGTTGTGTTGGTTCCACTTGTTTCATTTGCGGTGGTGCTTCAAGGGCTACGTGAGCAACACAGCCGAGGATTGGATAGACGTCATCGGGCCTCGTTTTTTAGCTTTTCTCCCGAATCTGAACGGCACCTCACGAGCATCGTAGATCGGAGCATTGCGAGTTCACGCCTCGCGCCATTGCCCCTTCACTTTTACAGATGCAACATGGATATCCATTAGGCACGAATAGTCGTAACTCCGTGCTATCATCAACGCAGGTTAGATCCTTTGTCGAGGGTATTGTCATACCCGAACAGCGATATTGCCCCCCCCCCTCCCCACCATACACCAATGATTAGAGAGAAGAAGAAGAAGAGGTAGGAAAAAGAGAGAAAGAGGAAATAGAAGGAGATCAGGAAGAGGAGAGAGGAAGAGCAGAAAAAGAGGAGGAGGAAAAAAAGGAAGGCGAAGAGGAAGAAGGAGGAAAAGAAGAAAAGACTAGAAAGAAGATGAAGAGGATAAAGACGAGAAAGAAACATGGGAACCTTGGAGAGATGAAATAAATTACAGAAGTGCGGAAAAGGAATAAACTAGGTTTTGGCGCCCCCTGGGCTGGCGCCCTACGCGAGTGCGTGTTTTTTGTGCCTCTCGCGACGGGTCTGTGTGGGGGCATGGAATATTAACTTCGAAGACACAAAGTTTTCTTCTGCCAACTTTTGAATTGCACTGTCGTTACGATTTGACACGATGAACGTCTCTGTCACTTCAACTGCCTGGCAGTCCATTAATTCTGGGAATAATCTCTTACATCAAAATTTAATCTCAGTAGATACTGCAAAACATCGTGACTCCGATTTCCTTAGCCATGCCTCTCTAATTGAAGCGCGGGGTGCAGAAAAGGCACTTCCCAGTTGTCGTGTCTCGGAACCTCTACTATTATCATTCATTATGGACAAAGAAAATGAAGGTTATTCGTTAAAACTTTTCCTAAATATTCTGTGCAATTGTTTTTTAGGGGAGGGGGGGCAGGGGTCCTAAACTAATTTGGGGCGAATAGGTCATAACGATGGCAAAATGCAAAACCACTTGCCTCCACTGCGGTGTTTCGAAATTTGGAAAACTGTCCGGAGTATGAGGATCTTATATTTCACCGTAAAATCTGAAGCTAGGGTGAAAACAAACCCTTCCCATTTGAAAATTGCAAGAAAGTGGGGAAGAAAGTAACCCATTAAAAAGCCGAGGGGCGAATTTTGGAGGGCTAAAACTATTTTCACGGCATTACTTGGGGTTGATTTACAAATTGAAAGCTGTGACCTCAATTTTGGGCCCTTCTCAAAATACTGAAAATGAATGGGTGGTCTGAATCACCCTGTATATCTTTGGATATGAAATCAAATGGAGATCTGTCTAGACACTTTTTTTTTTGTTTTTAAATGGAAACTTGCAGAACATAACTCAAGTCATACTTGCAGGTTTGCAAAAGTTCATGAATTAAAGAAATTAGAAAAAGGCAGAGCAAAAAAATTATGGAGCTTCTAAGAACTGAACATTAAAAAAAAGCTGACTGAAACTCATTGCATCAATTTTGGAGTGAGCTACGCCATTTCAAAGGTTTCAACTTGGCAACAGTGCCATGCAAAGGAATAACTTCTTGGGGATGAGAACTGCAGAGAAAGGCATGTTATAGAATAACATATGACAAATTGAAAAGGATGTAAGGATAGGTTTTAGGGTTGCTGTTTCTTAACAACCCTCTTTCTAATAAGGCATCCAAATCACCAGATCCATGTCCAACTCTGATTGAATTATTTTTGCTTACCATCAAAACATAATATTCTATATTGTCATTCATCTCATATTATCTTGGCTGTTTTTAAAACAATGAACGCTCAATTTGTTAAGGGATCCCCCATGAGGTGCCCTCAATGTGCTCACCCAATAAGATGAGATCAAGAAAACCCTGTTTCAGACGAAAAATGTCACTTACAAAAGTTCCTTCATGTAATGATGATGAGAAATTCTTTGAGTAAACTCTCTGAAGTGAGAAGAATTATGAACGCATTACCAGACCCATGCGAAGTAACAGAGTATGCTAATTATAAAAGGGAGCTTGGGTGCCTCTCACACTATCGAGCAGCACACCCTGAACTTTGACTCTTGCAAGGCATTGTTATGGCATGGCAGTTTTACTGAATTGATTATGCTTTTCCAAGCTTCTTGCTCAAAACTTGAGCTTTCATATGACACAGACAGTATTCCAGTGTTGTAATGTTTAATTCCTGGGAAAATTGCAAAGAGAAAACTTCCACAAGTTTTTTCCTTGAAAATTCTTTGCCTTGTATTCCTGAAGTTTTAAAGGACAGGCTCTTCAGATTTTATCATGAGGGATTTTGCCACGGAAGCTACAAAAGCCCATTTTTATTTTACATTCAGAGAGACAAGTCAACTTACTGAGAAAAGGGCTTAATCAATATTTCACAAGTATGGTTACAGAACTTACAACTACGGGAAATTAAATATATTGCCTAAAATTTAAGTATGGAATACATGAGTAACACCAAATGTATGTTTCTTCATAAATATTCTTAAGAAAAAATAAAGAAGAAGATTTTTTTTTTAGAAAAAGAAGGGGGGTCTCATTTTTCAATTATTGGGCTTTTCAAGCGGCTAAAAAAGTTACTAATCCATCCAGGAAGTTGCTGGGTGAGTAAATATTACCAAATCAACCACTTCCTAGTGTTCTTCCGCAATTGATTGAGTTGAGATTAAGGAAAATCTACAACCAATATCAAGTTTAGATTCTGAGGAAATACAGGGTTTCCATGAATACTTCATTACCAAATTCCCTGACTCCAAAGTTTTCAAATTATCCTGACTTTCACTCGGATTTCTTGCCTTTCAATAAAGGTGACTTCTGCTAACCATTGCTTGCAAAATTTCCCAACTTTTCCTATAAACTCTCTGTGAATTTCCCTGACTTTTCCGAGTCGCCATGAATTCCCAAAATTTCCAGGTTTTCCAGATTGCCAAAAACACGAAATGACTTGTTTCACTTCTTTGTATGGTCCCCTCCTTTGTCCAAATATTTTTCACACTCAGGGTGTCTACTGGCATTCAATCAAGTAAAACCTCTTCTTCCTCATTGTTTCCTTAATCTATCCTTTTACCCCCAAAAATCTCCTATTTTTGGGATTTCCTAAAAATTCATGTCCACAACCATAAAAACTTTGAAGTATACTTGAAATGAAACTTACCGGTATACATCGACTGATTCCTGTGCCTCCAAAGAAAAACTCTTCACCATAAACCACAATACTTGTATGCCAAATTCCTTCAACCCTTTTTTCTGCAAAAAAAAAAAAATAAAATAAAATAAAATAAAATAGATAAATAAATACAAACTAAAAACTAGCATACATCAGGATGGATCAGTTCTTCAAGAAACCTTGCCATTGTACTGCTCTCTTCAGATGAAAAAAAGGTTATAACTCCCAATATTCAAATATGATTCCTTCCATAAGCAAATGAAATCTAAACAGCACAAATTTTGAATACTCGTCTCAAGGCATGCTGTGACTCTTCATCGCTGCACTACTTTCATTTAATCAAGGGAGTATCTAAACTTCAACCGTGGACTGTGTGAAAACAGTGCCTCCTGGAATGTTGGCGCAATGATGACTTCCGATCAGTATCCACGGACGAGTTTAGCGCAATAGTGTATTTCCTTCGGAAAATACACTAAAAATTGGAAATCGAGCAGGGAACACATTTTCATAAGGAGTGTGCGGGGTCCTTTGCCATTGAAGTCCCTCTTGTGCCTTCCGCCAATAATGAGAGTTCGATGTGACAATATGTTTCCCTTCTTCTACTTCATGAAACTTCTAACAATAATAAGCTTGGCAAGAAAAATTCAGCCCATATGTAAAAAAAAATCCTTCACCATGAGGCATACTGAAATTAGTTTCAGTGGAGCTTGTTTTGACTGCAATAACTAGGCTTTGGATTCTTATGAGCAGGAGGTTTGTATTGACTAGCACAAAAAAAGCTATTTTTTCAATTATGAGTTGAATTTGAAAATTTGTTACATAAACGATATTTTGATAGGGAAACATGCACTGTGATGCTCGATGTAGAACTGGGGAAAGAAAAGATTAGACAGAAGTTACATCAACCTGTATGCATCAATCATGAGTCAGCCTATCAGTTAGTACATTAATTTCTGTTGAATGGTCCTGTCAACACTTTTCAATTTTTCATTTCATAGATGTCTATTTCTCGATTTCAAATCTTATTTTCTTCACTTCATTCAGTCCATCTACATTAATTTTAATTGCTAGACTTGCAACTGATAGCTACATAGATGATAGCCAACCAATCACGCGTAGACTTGTTGTCTCACCACCCGTGATGTCAGCAAATCTATATAAGCGTGCGCTGCGCCCGAAATCGAGGTCTTTTTCCATCCTGTAGACCAGAGACATGTTAGTCCTCTCTTAACATCTTCAGACCAAAGGTTTTCTCATACCTTTTTAGACTCAAGTGGCCTATTCAAATCCCTTTCATCAAGTTTCTCAACGTGAAAGTGCATCATTGCGTGAAATCTCGACTTTGTGTGGAATCTTGATTAACTTTTCATCCGTTTTTCTTCTCCATATTTGGTGCAACTTTTACCTGTTATCTCAGATTCATACAGTGAAAAACTTTATCTCGAACTTTGCCTCTTTTGTTTTGATCCTGTCATTCGTAGTTCGTTGGTTCTACGTTGATGAGAACCACCTGGTGCCGAAATCGGATATTATTTTGAACTTTATTTTTATCTCACCACTATCAAACTTTAACGTGGTATCGAAAACCAGTTCTTAAATTGTAACAGGTCCCATTTTCTTGCAAGATATTTGTCCAATCTTTTCTGTCTTCAGCTCTAGTGCCCTATCAGGCTGCCCTTAGGAGCAGCCCTCTTTACTTTAATAAAATACCAAATGATTAAGTAAGGAGCTGTGGAATAATATTAAAATTGGTTCAAATAAAGAGGCTCAACAGATACATACGTAGCAAATTTGGAGAGAGAAGCGCAGCTAGTCCATTTGACAAATCATAGATATAAAGCTTCACAGGGTGTGGTTCACTCATTGCTGCTTGAAGTATCTCACCTTCTGTAAATAGAATGGCATAAAATGGTTCAGTACAGACCTGCATTCTCACAGGACTCTAAAATGTAAAATAATTTATGATAAAAAGAATTAGAACCTTATGTGAATGAAAATTGTCCTTAAAAGAGTAGGATAACATGATCCAATACTGTACCACAGGTGTCTATTTCAAAAGCAACGGTTTTTCCCAAGAAAAATCTTGCGCTCATTTCTTGTAATTTTGCAATTTAAAAGGTTGAGAATGATTCTTAGCAGTCATCGCAGGGTTCAATTTCATTATTCAGTATAAAAGTTATAATCTGCGGATATTATTCACTTAGTTGATGCATTATATTGCATGCCAATTAACCACTATGCTGAGAGCCTAATAGGCGAATCACCTGAGATTTGATATATGTCCAAAGAGTCCTCGCCAAAAGGGTTCACGCACTTTTGAACTGCAACAGAAGATCGCTTGATGTCATTTATGGTAAGAAAATAAATGCAAGAAGCAAGATGGTAGATCTTTTGGCGCAGTCTAAAAGTGCGTAAACATAGTTGGCGTAGACTCTAGCAGGATATGACAATCGACTTCCAGTTGTTAAATTTAAGCTGCTACTTATACAGAAAATCATCAAATCACGTCAAAACATTCCTTGAGTTTCAAGACTGGTCTGAGATGATACCGGATCCAATTCCAGATAAATTGACATAACTTCTCGCACCTGAACACTGACACTTCAATAAATTAGAATTCTTCTGTGGTTCTTAATTCCACCCAAGATGCTTATATCTCAAATATAAGTGGATACGAACGAAGCTACTGAAACAATGTGAACGCAAGAATGGATTGTTCTATAAAACTGATACCCTAACAAAAATGATTCCGGAACAGTCAGATGTTGAAAATTGGGGCTCTAACTGTCTAAAGCAAATTGCAGGGGTTGTACTCACAGGTTAGTAATACTAGTTGACCGGCAACTGGATTTAAATGAAATATTGGGACTTTATAATAGACATAAATTGATTAAATTCCACTTCAGCCACAAAGGGACAAGAACAAAACAACAAGCACAGAGCACAATGCAAGTAAGGTTAGAGGTTATGGTTGCTCGCAAACCGTGCTGTTCAAACGTTGCCAGTTTTATCGACGCAGATTTTCTGGGGTGTAAGCATGCTTTTCCAGTCTAACCTTCCATAAGATTTTATGACTAATTTTATTCAACACAGCAGAAAATTCCAAGCCTAAATGTTTGTAAATTTTCTCATAATTAAATATTACATGAGGGGGGGGGGGGGGAGCAATTTGGCGCATGTTATATACCTACGACGTTTTTCCCCAGCACGCGAATAAGGGATGCAAAGCGATGACTAGCAACCCTGGCAACGAGTTCATTACTTATGAGTTCAACAACCCAATAACTAACTTTTTGAAAATTTCAAAACGGTGTTTCTTCGATTATTAAAGAACAAGAACAGAAGCAAGTGAGATTGCACAGAGGAATTTGATTCGTTTTCTTCACGCATTGCGTAAAAAACAGTGCGGTCAGCAGCGCAGCGGTCGACGCGAAACGTATGGCGCCTACAAGACTGTAGGGATACTTCGCGCATTGCGCCGAACACTGTGCGGTTGGCGCGGTGGCGGAAATTAAAATCATTAAACCACATTTATGTTTATTCTTTCATAATTTGTTCGTTCTTTTCTCATAAATGAAAGGCTTCGTCCACACAGAGATAGGTTCACGGAACTTAATTTTCGCGCAAAGTTCGGTGAACTTTCGCTAGTGTTGACAGCCTAGGGCTTTCACAAAAAATGTGCCCAACACTAGTAAACGCGTCTTATGCACCCCTCCTCCTCAGCCACGTTCACTTGATGGTTTGTATCGATGTTTCAAAACGAATGATCGGGGCGGCAAGTGGGTAAATCCGACTTTTAGGTAGGTATAGCTCGATTTCTCTTGAAAAAAAAAATAAAATTGATCAGATTGCGATTGCGCTGAAAATCATCTAAAAGTACGCTTGTCCCGTAAATCAGGACATAGCAAGAGGAGTTTGTCCAAGACCCGCCCCCCCCCCATCCCCTAACCCCAAGGGGGAGTCCCATCAATTGAGAGGCTTGGAGGACAAGGCGCATAAGTGCAGTTTTTGCTACCTATTTCGAAAAATACGCTCGCTTAAGGTTTCGAGCTGACATGAATCTTTATGGCGAAAAGGAAATTCAAACTGACTTTTTGATGCTTAAGAAGTGGAATTTTGGAGCGAATTTCTCATAGAATATGGATTAGAACTAATTTACTTGAAATCATTAGTAAAGTACCTCAATTTTTTCAAGAACCGCATTTGTACGACTTTAATTGTCCTCCATCCCCTCAATTAAGTGACCTTGCCTTCACGAATTCGCACTACCACAGCGGCAAAAATACGGGCCCGAGCCCGTATTTCGCGAGTGGGAATGTGCGCCAGGTGTCCCCTTGACGGACCGAGGAAAGCAGCATTTTTGGTCGATGAGTGCGAGAGAGATAGCGACACAAAAACAGCGTATAGGACCATATTGGCTCAAAATAAGAAATGAAAACTATGCAGAGATATGTGAATTCTCTGGAACGGATCTGTGGAAAATTAAAAAGGGCTAATTTTGCTTCGGTGAGCAATTTAAATTCCAGAATTTCCCAGCGAGGACCTCTTGGCTCCTCGCTTCTGGCGAAAGTCCTCCTCTCATCAGTCACGTTTCACACTAATTCTGCCGTTCTAAGGAAAAACGCCGTATGAACATTCGAAAGTTGCCAAATTTCAGCTAAAACATGCGTTTTTTACGAAAGTTTTGAGTAAGTATTTTCCTTTGAAATTTTTATACCTTTTAACTTAAATTGCAAACAAAATTGCCTGAAAAATTTGAAGAAATACATTCACAATTTATACAGTAAATTAATTACTAATTGAAATAAATATGGCAACGTCTGGAGACTCATATGGCGTTCTTCCTTAACATGGCAGAGTTGTGAACGGCGGCAATTTTTCCACCACCAGCCACCAGCAGCAAAAACGTGAATCTAGGCCTGCAGTTCAGAGAAGGTTTAAATGTTGTTGTTTGTCTAGATGTTAGAAGATAGATCTGCTCCTAATAGAATGCAGTGGACCACATTTTGCAAAAAGGCACCACTATTATTGACTCATTTTAGAAAGAATATAAATGCCTTTGGTCTACCTATGCAGAAAGGTGCTTTTATGGAAGGGCCAGAGATAGTGGGTCCTTACTGCAAAATGCAATCGAAGTAAGAGTAAAGCAGAACTTCAAGAGTTGAGGTACCTACTTGGTTACAAATTCCTAAAAAAATCTATAACTAGGTTATCAGTACCTACCATATTCATTATGATAAAGGAGAAATAGTGAAAATATAGCAATTCGATTTGGAAAAATAAATTTATGAATGTAAATTTGTGAGATCGAATTAGTGATGATGTGAAAATATAAAAGAGGTACAGAATGGTACAAAATTTACATCTTAAGGCAAAACACTCAGCATAGGTTTTCGTGGTACCTTCCTGGGTCAAGACATAGGCACAATGCTGGCATAGGCAGAAAACTCCAGGGGTTATTTATTACAAAACTTAACAAAAGAAAGAATTAAAGAAACATACATTGATATGAAAGTCAAAAAAATATTCCAGAAACCGAAGTACCGATCAAGACATTCCCTTTAAAGTCAGCAAGATTTCTTAAAAGGCAATTTAACAACTTAAATATAAGGTACTTACATCAGTAAGATAAATAAACCACAACCTGCAAGTTACTTATGTACGTAAGTACTGACTTTAATGATGTGCAAGAGCCTGTGGGCCACTGACTGTCGGTTTTTTTTTTTTTTTTTTTTTTTAAAAAAAAATCATTTGGTTCATGAACGTTTCATACAAAAAGCTGTGAAACCATCTAAACACCCTCTCATATGATGGAACAGTTCTTTCTAGAAGAAAATGTGCTATGAAAGGGAATCTCCCATTGGGTGACAAATTAATGGGCACAAAATAATTATTTGAAAGAAAATCATAAATGTACATAAAAAACTAAAGTAAAAAAAAAAAAAAAAAAAAAAAAAAAAAAAAAAATTGGGCACACATTTTATTTTATTACTAATTCGTCTAATTGCCACAATTAGGTAATAATGTGATGAAGCTATTAGACTTGGAAAAAGTGATCTTTGAGAGCTAAATATTACATAGAAAGTTTCCCTGCAAACTCACTAAGTGCTATTTCAATATTAGATAACATGCATGAAGCCTTGGGTTGATCCATGGTATTATGATTACAGGTTTTCTAGTTTAAAAACAAACAAAAAGGCAAGGGTTCACCGATACTTATAATATACAACAATATTAAAAAATAAATGACAATATTACATGATCACAGCCAAAACCAAACATTTTGGTAAAACTTTTGATATCATATCACTAAAACCTATAACACGGAAGAGTTAAGAAATAGAAGAACATTAGGAGTATGTCTCCTGCAACTGTTAGATACATATTTGACAGTGAAGCGGCTAGAACTTAAATCCCTTAGGAAAGGTATCCCAAAAAAGATTTGAACGGATTCAGCTGATCTACTTTGATGTAGGCTGGAATTAACTGTATGAAGTTTTCACTCATTTATTCAACTCATAAATGCTTTAAGGTAAGACTTAGATTATGTTAATTCTGTTTCTTCCAACCCTGCATTACAGGTCTTCAGGTCCTTACAGATATACTCAGAAATGAGAAAGCTATTGGTTGGTTTACTTCTTTCTCCAAATGTGACCGTCTACAAAGAAAGGAACATGAATGCCAAAAAGCTCAAAATCAACTTAGAATTATAGTTAGAACTGCTGAACAGAGGGGTTTTGCAGACAGAATTGAATGGCCGCTTCCAAGTTCCTTTAGATTTTAATGGGTATCCGACCAACACAAAAAACAATAATCTTGGCAAGAACAGTTTCTCCATCTTTAATCTCATTGTCCTTCTATCCAACAATTATGAGGGGACAGTAAATATTGATGGCTTAAGTGCGAAGCCACATATCTTCATTGCAGTGTTTCAAAATGTCTGCTCCTATTTTATTTTTTCGAAGAGAAACGAACCGATTTTATAGTTAGATATTTACAGAAATTCACATTTTTTTACAGAATATTCTGCTAACATGGAAGAAAAATCGAGCAAATTTTTAAGAAATCACATTGACTAGTTTTCCAGAAAAAAAAAAAAAAAAAAAAAAAAAAAATTAAATATGACAAGAAGTCTGCAACGTTGCAAACGGAGATACATGGTTTCGCACTTTGGTCATCGATATCTAGACACAATCTTGACACAGTCAGAAAATAGACATCCTGAATAAACCAAGATACCTGCACAAAAATATTCTAATCCACGCTGTTGGTCATATCCCGCTCACAAAGGGTCCAAGTTTCAACACAAACCAGTGTCAATAAATCCATGGGATCAGCCTGTAGGGAACCTTGCTGCAATACAATTCCCAATACTTGCCGTACTTCTTTTTGCACTTCTGCTCATCACGGTAGAGCCTGTGCAGTAACAGAATGATCATGAAACTTGGAAGTAGAAAAGGAATCAGTCCAGAACTAAAACCAGGAGCTGTGATGCTGACGTAAATGATCACTTCAAAAACATAATTTAAATGCCTCGCTAGACCCCAGAATCCTGAGGCCACAAGTCTTGAAGTTCGCTTCTTTCCATTTTGGTCTGTGTACTCGGCATGTATAACTTCAGCTGGCTTTCCGTACATCATGATGGTTGGACTTGTGGAGCTGCGAACAAGATACTTCTCGTAATCGATCCTGTATTCCAGAACAATTGCTCCGATCCCTAGTATGAGGTAAAACAAGGAGAGAAAAGGTGAAGTTATTGGTGGATTTGATACGAAGTTGTAGGCGTGAAGTCCGTAGAAACCAGGCATCCAGACCATGGATCCCCATATCAAGTAGTAGCCAGCTCGGTCAAAAGCTATGTCAATAGAATCAAAGTATCCTGCACTTTCGTAGAGGAAAAATTTCAGCGTGTACACCAACTGAAAACATGAAGAAATGTTCAAAATAAGTCACAGTATATTTCATATTTTGCTGTCCGAAAAATATATGCCCCCCCTCCCCTCACTGCAGGATGGTCCCCATTGAGATAGAAACATCCCCCAAGTTTCGTTTTTTTTTTCTATCTCAAACGGTTCGAAAGTTGGTAGGGGGGGGACTTTTAGAACACCCTATGTGTATGTGCTTCAAAAGATAAAAAAATCAACTTTTTTCTCACATGCACTCGTATTTGGGGTTGCCATAATTTCTTCATCTTCCAATTCCCTGACTTCTCCTGACCTTCAAATAAAATGCCCACTTTTTTTTCTTTTTAAACGCTGACTTTCGATAGTTTATGAACTTCGGACGAAATGTTTAGAGATCAAATCATAAAGGAAACCATTCAGTAGAGTCTACGCCAAAAATAAGTTTACGCACTTTTAGACTGCAACAGAGGATTCGTCATCTTCCTTCTTGCATTTAGGTACTTCACATGTAGAGGTGATGTTGGACGATCTGCTGTCACAGTTTAGAAGTGCGTAAACTTAGTTGGCGTGGACTCCAGCTGGTTAGACAAAGAGCCTTAAAAATGACCAGAAAGGGTAACCAGTTGAAAAGTCAGTGATATGTTTTAGTGATTAGTAGATGTGTCAGAAATTCTCTGACTTTTCCCACGAGTTCCCTGACTTGCTCTGTCTTTTTCCGGTCACTGCTAATCCCCTGACTTTCCCAATCTTTCAGACCGCCGGTAACCCTGGTACGTGTACTATACTCCTGATGGGCAGAAAAGGGAAGAAGCAGAGACATACCTAGAGAGATCCTCTCGCCCTCCATTGGTACCTTGGCAATAGTGGAAGCTTTAACTTTCGGGACTCCAACATTCAACTTTTGACTTACCTACTAGCTGGATGTTCAACGTGTTGAGTATTTTGTTTCGCAAACATACCGAGGTTTCGCAAATTTTTTTGGCTGATTTCGTCACCTGGAACTCATCATCTACCTAGTAGGTAGGTCAACAACCGAAAAAAGGGCGATGCTCCTCTCAGGGTTGCCATAATATTAATAGACGTGTCAGAAATTCCCTGGTCGTCCTGGTCGTCTCAGTCGTCCTGGTTTCCCGATCGTCGCCAATAATCCTGACTTTCCCCGATTTTCTGAACCGCCGGCAGCCCCGCCCCTTAAAAGTGTCCAAACAAAACTGTTAGATCCCCGAAAGTAGATGTTTCCACCTGTCGCGCGGAGGCCAAGGGAGGTTCTCTCTTTGTCTCGGGTAGTGAGAGATGAGAGAAGAAGGTTACCTGAACAAGGGCGGAGACGAAGAAGGGGTAGCTGAAACCGCGAAGCTGGATGGCGGCAACGAAGTAGACGAGCGAGAGGAGCATCCAGCCCATGACCCCGAAGCGGCAGATGACAAGCTGCTTGACGCTGACCCCGAGGAAGGTCGGGTGGAGCTCGACGCCGCGGTAGAAGTCGAAGAGGAGGCTCCCGGCGGTGTCGGCCCCGTCCTCAGCCGCCTCCTCCGGGAAGAGCTTCCCCTTGACGAGGAGCCAGAGGCAGAGCAGGAACGCCGTGATGTTGATCGCCCCGAACAGCTCCGGGATCAGACCGTGGATGGCCAGCGCCCAGTCCGGCCGCGACAGGAACACCCCGCCGAACAGGGCCAGCGTCGACCAGAAGAACAGGATCCCGTTCGCCTGTCCAAACAAAAGACGAAACATCAAAAATTGATCCGATTCGAAACGTAGAAATAGTGGTGAGCCTGGGGGAGCCTGGCCAACTCAACTCAGCATGATATCTTAAAGCAATGTTGTTATTTGCTGACATATGTTGATGTAATGTTACTAATATGGGTGGAATGTTAAATCAGTATTGTCAGGATAAGACTGACAATATCAACATTGATGTAAGCTTGATAGACCGGCAATCAAGGAGATGTCAAGAAGTGCCAACCTGATAACAATGTTGACGGGGGCATATCAATATTATGTAAGGTTATTGTAATGTTACTTCAACCTTACTATCAATGTTGTTGCAATGTTCAGACAAGTCCCTGGCAGTAGCACATCAACATTGATGCAATCTTACCTCATTCTTACTAAGATGGATATAATATGGCTGCAATGTTGATGTATAAGATGTGCAATATTATACTGCAATATTAAGATTGTATTAAGGTTCTATGCTGAGTGGGTGGCCCCTTCCAAGAAATCTGAGGGATTTTGATAAGTGAGTAGATGACCGAACACTGCGAAACCACGTATCTCCATTGCGATGTTTCAAAATCTCGGCTCCTACTTCATTCTTTGAGGAGAGACAAGTAGTCATCTTTATAGCTTGAAATTTATACAGAATATTCTGCTGACAGCAGGCATTTGAGGCGCCTCATGAGGTTATGCTGTACAGCATCAACTCGTAGCTTCAGCATCAATGCCGTATGCCCAGGTAGCGGCCGTTCGGGCATACGGCTCCGAGCCTGATGCGCTCAACCTGCCGGCCGCCGGCTTCGGGCATTGAAGCCCGATGCTGGAGAGCCGACCGAGCCAGCCTCAAGCGCTGATGCTGAGGTTTGATGCTGGCTCATGGGCCTCAGCGGGCCTCAGCCTCTGCGGCCGGACCGTCGGCTTGCGGCCCGATACGGCCTTAATTTTCGGACCCGCCACCCAGCTTAATTACCGACGGGGCTGTCCCAGAAGACCGCGACCCTCGGACTCGGCGATGAATTCGCGGAACACCCCTTTGTTTACGTTTCCCATCGGCGCGGTGGCCCACGCCGGGGCGCTGGCGTCCGACGCGTCTGCTAATTGAGGCCGCTAATTTTGATGCTGGACTAAGCATCAAAACTGATGCAGCATCAGAAAAGGAGCCGGGAGTCGGCTTCACCAGGTGAAGCCGCCTCAACGGCATATGCGCTCCCCCGGCGCACTGATCGAAGCGGCATGAAAGTCGGCGCCGGGCCTCCGCCTCGCGCGCCGATGCGGCTCCGTTTATGATGCTCCCTCAAACCTCAGCTCTAAATCCCTGGCTGACAGAGAAGAAAAATCAATCTTCATAGGATCTTCAAAGATTCTAGGGGCATAATCATTATTAGATCGTTGATTGCTGTGGGGGGGGGAGGGGCATGGGGGTATTCTATACCCCCAGGCTAGGTGTCGTTCGTAGACGCAAGCAAACCCCCCTCATTTGAAAGTTTTCTTCTGCTCCCAAAACCAATGCAGTCAATGGTTACTGACGCTTATGAGTGTGCGATTGACGCTCGGATCGTTAATTTCGGAAATCAGGCGTGCACCTATTCGAACTCCGGCGTGGGTATGTGATGTGGTATCACGCGAAAATGAAGGAAATGATCAGCTTTTCGCCAGTCTCAAATTATTGACGCTTATGAATGTTGATTTCATGATCGCATGTTTGAATGCGGAAATCAAGCGCGCATCTATTCGAACTCAAGTGCTTTTCCGGATTCACGTAATTTCCGTCCCTAGTTCGACAAAATTTTGCCGCATCCACGACTTGTTGCCCTGCAGGGGGGGGGGGGGGGGGTTATCATGCCGTTCGAGAATTACGTACCCAACACATTATGTTATGCAGATTTTCAGACCTATCTATAAGTTATTTTGGAGTCTTTAATGGTCATCATATTACACCTGGTTCTTCTGGACTGAGTCGTCACGTCGACACGATGTTAGCTGCAGCGCTGTATTTTCGTTTTTCTCTTCCTTTACTTCTTGCAAACTTGCTACTCCAGGCCGCAGCCTGGACTGCTTATGTATAAATCGGATTTGTATCCATGACAGAATGTAATAAATCCGACCATGGATACACAGCTAATGTGACCGAGTTTGCCCTTCTATGACCTTTGAAGGCACTTTGCCTGGCGACGCTCGGGACTCATTTCCAAGTGCAGATCGACATCAGTCACATCGATATTTGAGGGATGAGGATGAGGCTATTTCAACCAATAGGATCGCTTCATTTCCTCTTCGTCTATCAATGTCTAAAATCGCAGACCCCAGCCCTCTTGATGTAAGTACCAGCACGCCGCCACTGTTATAGTTTATCTTCCTTTGCAACATGGAGATAATAAACAGTATCCCGTGCGGTTCCCAGTAAAGGAATTCACTTACATGTGCCTTTTGAAGAAAATACTAGATGAGTGGATTCTCAACGAAATGAGATTGACACACTGTCATGTAGGTAAATAATATTATCTTGAGTTCTTAGAGAAAAAACTCCGTATTGGACGGACTAGTTTAACTCGCTCGAACAGGTCTCAAGGAGCCACTTCACTAAATATGAATCGAAGCACCACGACGTATATTTCCTCATCATTTGATGTAAAATCTATTCTCGAAACAGGTTTGGAAATCAGATCCTGGGTGTAATCTTAAGAACGAAACTATATTTTAAGGAAAAATTGAGTGGACTTCGCATAAACTTTTATACATTAAATTTGTATTCAAAGGGGTCCTCTACATTTTCTGAACATTTCATATATTCGCAGATAATAATTAAATAAAAGGTGTTAGAAAAGCCCCCCCTCCCCTCTAACTTTTTACCTAATTGAGTAAAAGATTTGAAACTTGGAGGACGTTCCTAGGTCGAAGGAAGCTACTTTTTGACCCCCTCCCCCTAAGAATTTCAAGGGGTCCCCCTTGGACGATAACGGACCCAAACTTTTTATTTTCAAATGGGAGGACCGGAGGACCCTTCTTGTGGTGCCTCGTTCGATAGAACATAAAAGAAGACAATTATTCTAGCAAACCCGAAGTCTATATCCCAAACCGTTTCAAAATGACGGCCGATGAAAGTTCAAGATGGTCGAAAATTGACACCGGTTGTTTACTTGTTTATCAATGGATTTGCGCGAAGATTGGTATCAATGGGTATTTTGACAAGAGAAAAACGAATTTGGCATTAGATATTTTTTTTTAAACTAGAGGGCTCCGCCCCCTGGCCGCTCCGCGGCCCAACCCCCTCGTAGATTCTGTCAATTCATGATGAAAATATCACATAATTTTTTTTAATTCCCATTATTCTTGTAATTTTTATTGATACTGCTGAAGTTCTGTTAGATACTTATTCATTCAAAACATCATCATCAATTTAGCTACAAACTTACTTCAATTAAGTTTGGAATTTTAAGANAGATAAGATAAGAAAAAATAACAAAAACGATATTTTCAAAATGGCAGCCGCTTAAAGTTCAACACGGCCGAAAATTGACAACTCGGTTATTTGCTTATGGATTCGCCTGAAACTTGGAAATTGGGGGTATTTTGGCATGAGATTAACAAATTTGAAATTAAATTTTTCTTAAAAAAAAAATCGGCCATTTTGAACTTTAACCGGCCGCCATTTTGAAACGATTTGAGATGTTGACGTCGGGTTTGTGTGAAAAGTTTTCTTTCTTAATGATTTTTCGAACGAAATATGTCAAGAGGGGTCTCCCCATTTGAAAATGAAAATTTGAGGTCCATTCTCCCCCCAAGGGAATTCCTTGAAAATTTTAGGGGGGGGGGGTCAAAATGTAGCTTCCTTTGACCTAGGAACGTCTGCCAAGCTTCAAATCTCTACCTTAATTAGGTAAAAAGTTAGAGGGGGAGGGGGAGGAGGAGACTTTTCTGACAAGCGATAAAGACAATAAAAACCCCATTTGAAGGAAAAGACAAAAATTGTATAGTGCGAGTATAATTAAGCTCGCAGTAGCTGATAATCAGCAATGATAAAGCGAGAAATTGCGCCATAATCCGTCAGGATTACTTCCGAGTGATACAACTATTTGAACTCAGGAGCAACGCGGTTTTGCCTGCGAGAAAATTTGAAGGCACTGTCCTTGTTTTAGAGCCGCTACAGTTCAAGCATATGTACATTTTCTATACATGTTATTTTGTTGTTTTCTTTCTTGTGAAAATCTACTTAGAGATATAAGGAGATTACTCACCTTGAATTGAGGTTCAAAGCCCGAAGGCAAGGCTGGCCCGGTGACCGTACTGGAAGGTATCTTCAAAGACAACAGAACCCAGAGGACGTACATGAATAAAATGGTCCATGCTTGCGCGTTGCCAAGGCTGTGTTTCGCGACCGAAGCGAGGGTCAGAGGTTCGCCCCTCCCGGTAAGGGTGAGGAGCTGACTGGCCAAGGTAAAAACGACCAGGAACAAGGGAGGAACGATTTTCGTGTGAACGAACTCATACAAACTCATCTTGAGCCCCCGAAGATTTATCTGCGCATTCCTTTGAGTCAGTTATCTGCAACGATAGAAAATGGAGAACCTTAAGTTAGTCGTAAGGAAATCGAGGACATGCCCGGATTTACCGGATAGGTATTCAAGGCAGTTGCCTACACAGAAAAAACAAAAAAAATAACCAACATTATAACGACACCTCATTGGCAGCATAGTGTGGAGCATTGCGAGTTTACGCCTCGCGCCATCGCGCCTTCAATTTTGCAGATGCAACATGGGCATCCATCAAGCACGAATAGTTGTATCTCGGGGACATCATCAACGCGCAATGAGATATGTCTGCTCTTTTTTAAAAATTGAGAAAAGTTAATATTGCTCATGAATAATGATAGGTCCAAATCGATGGTGATATTGAGAGGGGAGAAAACATGGAAATAACGTAACCAGAAAATACTTCACAAACTATCGAAATCAACGTAAGCGGATCAACATGACCCGACTTGGGACTTTACATATAAAAGAATTCTTGGGCATCTAACGATTAGAACCTGACTCATCAGGATCAGATTTGACTGTCAGATAATTTTTTTCTAACTGTTATTCAAAAATTATTAAATAATCAACCGAGGCTCGAATGGTTTTTAAGTGCCGTGAATCCCTTCTAAATTGGTAAAACTTACCGAGAACTCTTGAACGCAAAATAATCGTGAATGGGCAGGGGAGTCACTGTGTTTCCTGAGATACGTACGTTTTACAAAATTGACATCGACTAACTTCTTAATACTTTATTTAAACGTCAAAAGCGTTATTATCACACTAATCTTACAGCAAAATTATCATAATTAACTAGTATTATAAGCCGTTATTTACTCCTAAATTCAGTCCGTTTGAGAGATTACTTTTGCGTTAGGTATTGCGTGATGATAGCGCTAAAAATAATTTTGGAAAAGAGTTACACACACAAGAGGACTACAAAACCACGGCACTCGTTTCAGATGTTTCCTAATTTTCTTTTGAATATGATTTTTAATTTTTCCTTAGAGAATAATCTACAATATTGTGCACAAAATTTTCAGAGCTTACATTGGGAAGGACAAAGAGAAATGTTACAGGATTTTGCGCGATACCAATGACCAGTCACCCTTAAAAAAAGTAAACTGTTACGAAAACCCTGCAACGCTGCAAAACGCGTTTAGTAGTTTCATCGTGTAAATACGTGGTGTATCGACGGAGGCACTGCAAAAATTCTTGACGCGATCTACAAAGTCATAGGGTCGAATTAGGTACCATCACGAGAGGGAAAAGATTCTGATTATTTTTTTGAGTGGAATGACTACTTGAAGTCTCGTTATTCCGACTTCCGTGATTTTTTTCTTTTTGAGAAGAATATTTTGAGAAAATTCGGGACCACATTGTTGATGAACCAAAAACAAGCAAAAATTAAATTAAATTGAATTAAATTAAAGAAAATATTGAAATAGATAAGAAGAATTAAAAACAACACGAACTGGATGCGCGTTTTTACAGATTTTCCGTCGATATGTAAATCGTAAGTGTAATATAGGGAACTTTAAAGATGATCAGATTGGACGGGGCAAGGAATAATTTACAAGTTAAACAGCTCTGCTAGAATGCAAAGGACCTTCCTGATAGTGTCTGCACGCTGAGCGCCGTGTCGACTCAGCTTTTCGTTACTTATTTTTTAAATAATTTATTCTGAGATTTCCACGTTTGTTCACAGCTCACGCTAGCTCATGTTTTAGCAACATTTTCTTACAAACTTGAAGCGACTTACAATGTACGTACACTGGCTGGAAGGAATCCTCACTACCTATTTTGTTGATTTTAGCGCCAACATTGTGGCCATATAGAGCTGATCAGCACATCAATTCATACCCACGGGTGCAGAATGGTCACGAACCAAGGACCAATCGGTCGTTCGCGAACTAAGCGTAGGCGGTGGGAAAACTGCGTGGGCTACGACCGTAAATAATAGATGATATAAAATTTATTACGTTTTAATAAAAATGCGCACCATGCACCTGTCGAAGCTGTGTACGCGCGCTACCCTTAAGCATTTCGGCACTTGTTGTTAGCGCGATCCGAGAGAAGAGACGTTGACGGCGATGCTTGAAGTATCCCTACAGTTTTGCAGGCGCTTCCCGCGATCATTTTTCGCGCGAAGTTCTTAAGTTCGGAAATTTTCCTCCGGAAGATGAGATCCCTCTCCAAAAATCCGGCCACAAATTATGAAGCAACAAAAATGTCACACATTGCAACGATGAAGAGGAGCTTGGCCTCTTTTCCGGTGACTCGGAGACTTCAACGCACAGAAAAAACGCCGGTTGGGCGAAACGCGTGGTACAACTATTTCGACTTCCAAATAAGTAAAATTGAACACCCACGAAATGAAGAAGAGTACATGAAGTCGTGAACTCTTTTAGGCTGACTCAGAGGCTCTAATGCCAAAGAAGAGAAGTTCGATGGAACGAAACGCGTGATACGACTATGTCGACTTTTAAACAGGTAAATTGCACATCCACGAAATGAAGGAGAACGTGAACTCTTTTCGGCTGCCTCTGTGACTTAGACGCATGGGTAGAAAAGTTACATAGAGCGAAACGCGTGATACCTACAACTATTTCGACTTCCAAGAAGTTAAGATTGCATAACCACAAAATTAAGGAGAACAGGAACTTTTTCCAGCTGACTCATAGACTTTAACTCTGGGTAGAAAAGTTGGATGGGGTGAAGCATGCAATATAAATATAATAATAAATCTCAAGAAGGTAAAACCGCACATCCATTAAGGTGGGAAAAAATCTCGGAACTCTTGAAATGTTCGGTCGAAAGGATCTTTTCACACCCCTGCATTCACCACTGTTTCGAGATCCATAAAATTTCTGGGACAGTTCTTGTGGGTTTCATCCCACCCACGCAAGCCCAAATGAAAAGCCGATAACGAAATTGCAATAAGTGTTTTGTTCGTTGCTAAATCGTGGATAGAGGGAATAGGGCAGGAAATGAGGAGATGTATCTGCCGAAGGAGCTCTGGCAGGATTGCGGTTGGATGTCACAGAGCGCACAAAGGTGCTATAAGAGTGACTTAGTGGTAGTTTTATTCGTAATATTTTGTATCGTGTTCAAGATATGCTGAAATAACATTCTTGAGAGGCTGAAATTTCAAAATTTTCCAGAGGAGTCAATAGTCCCCAAACCCCCCTACTGGCAGGGATTTTCTCCTAGATCTTCCACTTGTGCAAATGTGCATCACCACATATAAGTATGGGCGACGGCAAACTGCCACCCGGGTGGCAGTTTTCAAGAAATTTGTATGAAAACTGCCACCCGTATTAATTTGAAAACTGCCACCGGTAGTGAAAACTGCCACCCGTGTAAATTTGACAACTGCCACCCACATGAATTTCGGCGCACAGAGGGTCGAAGCGGACATTTAGAGATTTTCGGAGATCCCAGGTAAAGAAAAAAAGTAAGTGGGTGGATGCTGTCATCAAGCGATTTGATGAAAAAATCCCCAACAAAGAAGGCGAAGTGATGTCCCTTTATGACTTCATGAAAAGAATTTCCACTAAATTCGCCAAAAATCCCACCAACCTCACGAAAAAGAAAGAAGGTAAAAGTCAGAAGAAAGTTCAAGAGGTAAAAAAGAAAAAAAAGAATAACAAAAGTAATGCCAAATGATGAAAAAAGCTCCTAGTAGTGATGTACTCTTTGACTGCAATTTTACTAAAATTTTACTACTTTTAACTATTTTTTACTATAAAAATACTGTAAATTACTGTAAAAATACTTTTTACAATTTTTCACTACTTTCAACTAAGAGCCCATTGACCTCTTTTCACCATATTAAAAAATTTAAAAAAGATTGTATTAAAAAATAACTTTTAAACACGCCTATTAAAAATCATCACAGACACTGCTCAATTTCTTATCATGTGTTGATTTTCAGTAGACAGTCCTCAGCCTGTCCAAGTGTGAAGGAAAGTTTGGTAAACTGTGCAACCCCGCTCAGTCGCGCTCCTTGGTCAAATTTCAACGGGTGGCAGTTGTCACTACCGGTGGCAGTTGTCAAATTTACACGGGGGGCAGTTGTCAAGTCGGGTGGCAGTTTTAAAATTGATACGGGGGGCAGTTGTCCATGTTTCCAGGAAATGGGTAGCAGTTTACAGCCTCCCTATAAGTATACATACTCAAAACCTTCCAAGAGCTCACAAAGAACTGGGACTGCCTATGCATCTACCCATACCAACAAAAGAATCAAGTCAAAGATGCGGAACTTTGAAAACAATCTATGAACAAAACTTGTAAGGCCAGCACAAAAACCTTCATAAGTGCCATATGATTTTGAGGTCTTCAACTTTCCAAAATGCTCAAGATTGATTAAATATGATGATTTTCCAAGCCTATGCAGAGAAATTCTGGGTATCTAGGCAAAGGAAGTGTGCAGTGTAGCTGCAATTATGAATTTTAGGTGATAGCGCTCTTCAATTCTAGGACGTAAAAAATGGGTGTACAATATGGAAAATCAATGGTGATCCTTGAATGGATAAAGATTTGAATCAAGGTTATTTTTTTCCAACGATCAGGGACCAGCGAATTATGATATGGAGAATGAAAAGCCGATTCAGAGGATGGGAATTTTTGAGCATGGATTTATATCAACCTGATAGTCCGATGTCTCACTTTTTTCAACGTATAGCCAAAGACATAAAGACGGAGGGCTAAAAGCAAAAAATGAAGCTTCTTTTCAACCACCTCTACGATTGGCTAGAGGATTGGCGGCGAAATCGGGACAAGTTTGAAATTCAAATGTAGGGCGGGAACTAAATAAAATTGCGGAAACAAAGTATTTTAGGTTGATTTTTGCCCAAATTCAGGTACAAACTCATATTTTTTTAACTCTAGGTTAGTTTCCGTTCGTCGTCGACCGATTAATTTCATTTGGGAGTAACGTTGATCTAGAACTGTAACGGCCTGTTTGAACCTGCAGAACCACCATGAGCAGAAGAAAAACTAACTTTATCTGAGATTACTGCCTGTTACCGAGCAAAAGTAGGTGTATTATGTTAGGACGCAGACCGAACTTTCTTAGTATATTCATTTTAGGAATTTAAAATACGTTTCGAAGAAGAAATGTGCAAAAATCAAGAGGACAAGTTCAAATCAAATTTCCGTTTGCCGCCATGGATTCCCGCGCTCATTTACACACTCACACAAGCGCGCAGCGCCGAACCTAGCTTCACTTTTTCCCCGTGCTTTTAGATACGAGCGCTCCGTCTTCATGTCTTTGCGTATAGCACATGAATGAATAATGCGTAGAATATTTGAGGAACAAAAGTACTTACGGTTCAGTTTTGCATACACAAGGACGCCATTAGAGGGGGGGGGGCATGCCTGGCATTTGCCTCGTCCTGCGCTTTTAGGTCAAGCCAGGGAAAACCGCTTACCCGCTGTTTCTAAGATGAGAAGCTGAGCAAAAAAAACCCTCGTCACTTTCTTGACCGGAACCTACCCTGAAATGGCGCCCCTGTGCGTACAGACTGAAGTGGACTGCAGCTTTACAACATCTTTTAAAAAAAAATTGTATCTATAAAAATTACTATTTTTTCTATTTCTACTTAATTTTTCAAGTCACACTTTCAACATGACTTACCTAACCTCCAAAAGGTCTGAGGAAGTGATGGAGTGCTTTTTAGAGGGAATGAAATAAACAGATAAGAATATGGTAACTGTAGAAGTACGGTCTAGTAAATTGAGTAATGTGCGCAAGGCCGTAAATTGGGATATTCCTCACCTCAATTAGAATATAGCACAACAAAAACACTAGTACACACTGCAATGCCGTCGAACTTTCGATAAGAACTTTCAAGTCTAACTTTCGGCTTTGGCCCTACTATGTAACAAAGCCATACAAAGCACTAACGGTCAAAGCGATATAACAAAAATATCCTGTTAGTGACGTAACTCTGTCTACTACATTGACGTATAATACAATCTAGACCGCGCATTGGGCCCGACTTTAGGCGGGGAAGGTAAGACAGCTAAGGGGGTAAAGACGCGCCTTCAGCCTAGTTGATACCGCCGGATATACGAGCTAAGTGTACCCGTATCAGGCAACGNCAATTACTCATTACTCACGTTTTACTCACCGGTGCTCAAATTACTCACGATGTGAGTAATTACTCACGAATCGGCAGCCCTGCTTTCAAGTCTAACTTTCGGCTTTGGCCCTACTAGTACTATGTAACAAAACAAAGCACTAACGGTCAAAGCGATATAACAAAAATATCCTGTTAGTGACGTAACTCTGTCTACTACGACGTTACCAAGATGGCGCCATGCCTTCTCCCTCTTCTTTCTCAACCTTGAGATTCTTGTTTCGTTTATTTACGTTTTACATTTCCTTATCCCAGTTTCTCCGAGAATTTTCTAATTTCTGAGCCTCATCCGAGCTGGCTCAGATTAAGTGTTTATCGTGCTTCAAACCGTTTTAAATTTGCTTCTGCCTCAATTTCCTTTTCTCGATCACTGTTAGTTTTCCTCAGTTCTCCATGATGAAGAACTCAGAGCATCACCAGAATGAGGGTAAGCCGCCGATATTTTCAAATCGTAGCTTTCGTAGGCCTTATCTTTATTTAAATGTCAAGCTCTCCAGCCACCATAAAAACCATGCATTTCTATAATATCGTCATTCCCTTGAAATAGTGGCCGGGCTATGTATCTAGCTCTTGCAACGATTTCTCAGCCCTTTGCTGGGGGAGCTTTATGGAATGTTGTCGAGTTCTCATCATGTGAACCGCCTTTGCTCATCAATTTGGTCGGTGACATAGCTAGCTAGGACGTTTTTGTAGCTCTTAAGGCTGATGAGGAATAAATAAGACTTGCCACTCATGTTTTACTTTCACCTACATTACGGCGCCTAGCACTAACCTACAAAATTTGCAAGAGCTAAACCTAGCTGGTTACTACAGGGCTTTTTCTCATGTGGAACGCGGTGGATCGCGATGAACATCGGTATTTTTTTATTCCGTTCCTCACCCGTGATCCAAGCGCTCCAAGTGGATCAGGGTGGAGCGCTGGATCGCTCCTCCGAGGTGGGGCGAGCTCGCGATCCAATGTGATCTTAACCTAATGCAGGGAACTTGCCGTCCCCAACAAATCAAACCATATTCCAAGTTTGAATTTTTTTATTACTTGGAGCACTTTGGTTCGGCCCGTATCGCTGAAGATTCCGATCCAGTGCGTTCCACTACAATCCACCCTGTTCCGCATTAACAAAAAAAAGCCATAGTGGCAGCGAAGGAAGTAACATGTCTGAGCTGAATTCTCACCTTCAGCCTGATTGTTAAAATTTCGTGTTTATCGGGTGAAGAATGTAACTAGCTGCAGAATGAAGCATTTCAGGCGAAAGTTTTAAGAGTGAACGGAATGACATTCCGCAGTCCAATTTATTGTATACCTACATCTGAAAGCCTCTGCTTCAATCATTTATCAATATTTTGTTTGTTCCGACCATCAAGTATCCTATAGCATTGGTAGAGCTCGCTCGCTGTGTGTCGAGACGAACGTCAAAATATTGTTTATATCACCATTCATCAGTGGTGCCATCTTACTACACGCATTAGCCTGTTGAGTGGTGCTAATTTAGAGTTAATCAGAGATTGACGTTTGTCTCAATATATGATACGCAAGCTCTGCGTATTTAAAGTTGTCTTCACTTCAGTAGTTATTCTGTACTTTATCTCTTGTTTTTTTTTCTATACATGTTAAAATTTTTTCAAAAACCGATTTTGCTTGGTTTTTGCATTAGCATATGCAAAGCATTATCGGTTTTTGACAAAATTTTAATTTGTTGTTGTTTATTTTTCCACCTCTCATTATTCATTCTCATTTATATCATCCATGTTTTGTCAGCAGGTGGGCATGATGAAGATGAAGAAGAAAACCATGGATGCTCTGCCGGCTACAAGAAAAATAATGTCCTGCCTCTTTGGGGCAATGAACGAACAATGAATTTAAATCCATTGATCTTGACTAATATTCAGTCATCTCATTATTTCAAAGGTGCGTTATACATTTATTATTTTCCAAACTACTTAACAATCAGTAAGCTGGCTGAAAAGACAAGTATCTGGCAAGCAAATTTTTTTTTTTTGTTTGTCTTCCCATTTTACTTTAAACAAATAGGGAAATTTTAAGTGGCTTTGGTATTAATCATGAAACAGCAAAGCGTATCAGCTTGCTCTAATGGAAACTCAATCAAGTCAGCATGGTGCTAACTGAATGATGAGTGATCATTGACCTCTGTTTTGTAGATGGTTAAGTTGTCAAATCACGATTAAGTTAAGGGGACTTATTACAAATGGGGACTTGGCAATTGCCTATTCCATGGGAAAATTTGTTACGCCTGCTTGTCATTAGTCGGCATCCTCCGAGAATTAATATGGTGCAAACTTGTTAAATACTCTTTGTGAAAGGAGATAAAGTGCCTGATTCAAAAAATGGCCTGCACATTAATGAAATTGCCAAATGCTCAAAACAAACAAAAGATACTGAAAATCAAGATGCTATCACAATTTAAACGAAACAACCTAGTAGCTCCAGCTATTCTTATTGGTTGACGCTAAAACTGTCTCTTTCATTGTTGTCCCATATAATCTGCAATCACTGTTTATGACAGATGGCCTCTTTTGTCTTATCAAGAGAATGGAGTAGTTACACCTTAGTTCATCTTGAAGTAAAATTAAAGTAAAGCAGCCATTGAATAAAGTAAGTCTTAATTTATATGGTTCTTCCTTCCTTTGCGTTTTCCATCATTAAATATTTGGCAAGATTTTATGTGGATCATCAATTTACATGTGCACTAATATGTATATATTTTTTAATTTTTTTCCCCCTAGTTAATTTGTATGAGCTCAAAACCTACCATGAAGTCATTGATGAAATTTATTATAAAGTTGCGCATTTAGAACCCTGGGAAAAGGGGAGTCGCAAAACTGCAGGCCAAACAGGGATGTGCGGAGGAGTATGTATTTTTTTATTTTCCATAATTGATAACATATTTGTGAATTTCACCAGATCTCTGAGTATTTTTGATGAAACTTCAGTAGTTATTAAAATAAGTTAGATGATTTGTGTAAATTTTACTTTGCAAACAGAGCTTTTTATTGAAGTAAAATTTGTGCTCATATGTTTACAAGAAATCATAAAATCATTTTATTCCTCATAGATGCATACTTGTTATGAAAATGTACAAATGTGCATTAACATTTTTCTCAGGTGTTGAAGGTGGTTGCGCTCACTTATTTTTGCCCTTGAAGCTGAAAATGACCTTAATATTGAGCCAACACCTTGATAAAATCAAATTTTCAAAAGAGGGGGTTTTACCAAGCTAAAATAACGCAATTTCTCCCTAAAGCGGTTCAATTAATGACCACCCAAAAATGGTTAATAGAAAAAAGTTTTTAATTATCTCTCTCTCATTTGCAGGTCCGTGGTGTAGGAGCAGGAGGTATTGTTTCAACAGCTTACTGTCTCTTGTACAAACTTTTCACTTTGAAACTTACAAGGAAGCAAGTGAATGGATTAATAACACACCCCGATTCTCCCTACATTCGAGCTTTAGGCTTTATGTACATCAGGTAAGAATGGATTCTTTTTCATTATTCCTTTTTCACTGTACAATGCCATATCTGTTTAAGCAGTGAATATTGAAGAACGGCCACCATTAGAGGAAGAGAAGAAGAGGAGATGTATATTAATCATTAGCAATAGAGGAGGAGAGGTAGAATAATATATATATATTAACCATTAGCAATAGAGGAGGAGATGTAGAATAATGTATACATAAAGTAATATAGTTAGTAATATTCATGTACTGATACATGAACTTGCTTGGAATTTCATTAAATTTTTCTTTTCTCTGTTTTGTTTTAGATACACACAGCCTCCTGCTGATCTTTGGGATTGGTATGACGAGTATTTAGAAGACCCAGAGGTAATCACTCCCTTTATTTACTAAGATTCACATTTTAAATCTACCTTGAACACACTTGACGGACAGGCTCACTAACAAACATTTGTTTAAAGAAAAAAAATAAAGTGCTCTTAGTGAGATGACATGACCTGTTAGCCATGCAGGTGTGCAAGGCAGAATTGCGTTTTGATGGTTTAAGCTTTTGGATTAGCAAAAAATAACAAGATCTGCCCCAACGCCTAATTTCCACTATTAACGGAGCTGTGACCCCTCAAAGAAAACGATGTTTGCCATATTCCAATGCAACAACATGTAACATGGTTTCTTCTACCTTGGACTCATTTGTTAGCGATACACACTTGACCACTGGTTATTTGACTCAAAATATGACTTAACCAAGGTGAAAGAAACCATAGCGTTCATCTCCCTAGTGAATGACTCCACACGCCATGTTTTTGAAGGAGAATATCTCTGTCAATATTTGACATGGAAACTTGGTGTTTGGACAGATTTGATTATTTTTTGCTGATCTGGAAAAATCTCATCGCAATCGCGTGACAAGCGCTAGAGATCATTTTATGTGAGGAGACTTTTTTTCCTTCTAAGGAAAGAATTCACAAATAATCGTATGGAGTTACTAACATTAATAATGTCATTAATTTTTCAGGTGAATGTATGTGATCAGTTTATGTTTTTGCCAGCCTGTAAAGTTTGTCAAATTAAATGTCAGCATCACCATCATTTTTCAGGTAGAAGATATCTCTATGACTACCTCAGTAAGTTCATTCTTTTCTATTTTATGTAATTCCACAGGAAATGGATGTGAAAGCCGGAGGTGGACTCACAATGAATATAGGAAACATTCTTCGCAGCTTTTTGTGTAAATTAGAATGGTTTTCCACTCTATTCCCTCGGATTCCTGTTCCAATTCAGGTAATAGAGTTTATTTTGTTTTTAAAAATCAGCATTTCAAAATCGCATGTTTCCAGCAAAATCAAATGTAAGAAGTTAAAAGCAAAAGGAGTTTAAGTGCGAAAATTTAAGTCATAACTCTGACAAGTGTAAGAAAATGGAATTTTTGTAAAATGAGGAAGCCTAGAATTGTCAGCATTCATGCATTAGAAAAAAATTACAATGAGGCTATTGAAATATGTAATTATTCATAGAGCAACTAATCCTTCCTCTAAAAGAGGCTATAATGGAGAATTTGCACGCAATTTTTTTATTGCTTCATCTGAAAGTGCCTAATGAGCTGAGTTCGCAATATTTTTCATAATTTTTTTCTGACACGGGAAATTGGAGAAAAATTGATTTAAAAGTGAGAAAATGTGCCGCCTTGTGACGTCATCTGGCGGCATTTCCCATTTAAACACATGTATTTTAGCAGAATCGGTTATTTTGTCATATCTCCTCTAATAATTGCTCGATTTATGAATCAAGGGTATCTTCGTGTTCAGTTCACTCAGAGGATTCCACTTAAACAGGAAATTCATCAAATTTCAGACCCTTGCAAATTCTCCATTTCCTATCACTTTTAATTCACCATTTTAATTGCAGCAAAAGATAGAGAGAAAAATGAATGAGAGATTTCCAAATGGAAAACCTGGGATAACAGCTGTGCCTCGACCCATACCTGAAGAACCAGTCAATGCCAGGCACATTCCAGACAAAGAGGCTCACTACGGGGAAGCAGAACGGTATTCTAGAGGCAGAGGGTAGGTCAAACCACCATCAGTCAATACTTTTATCCCACTTACTACAAACTTAATTTAAAACTCAATTTTCATCCTCTCTCTTTAAGAAAACAATCAAAAGTTCATTCAATGCTACGAAAGAATTGCTAAGTACAAAATGAAACTGATCCAAGGTTTTTTTTTTTTTTTTTTTTTTTTTTTTTTTATTTCAAGCAAAGTCCAAGTATTAACCCAAGCATGTTGATCATCTTCAGTTGCTGTTTTTTTTTTTCCTGTGTCTCTCTTATTTCAACCTCTTTACAATTGTAGTCCATTACTTAAATATTATCAACAGTTAACAACTTTTCTGCCAATGTACATGAGTGTAATCGTTTGTGCCAATGCTGCCCAGGGTGCCTTTGGCAGGGAATATTTGGAAAACCAGGACACGACAGGGAATTTTAAAAAGTCAGGGATAACCTGGAAATGTCAGGGTAAATGGCAAAAGCATGAGGGAAAAATTTTTAAGCCACCTTTATTTGCTCTCTAGAACGAATTTGATGATTCAAATAACAATTTTGCTCGAAAACTCTTTCAAATTATGTCTTTTCACCATTTAGCATATCCTCAATTTTCAGGGAATTTTGCCTAAATGTGTCAGGGAATCAGGGAAATTTCAGGGAATTCCATTTTCCAAATTTTGTGGCAACTTTGGCTACTTCTCAGTTGAATCCATATCATGCACAATATGATTGGTTTTATGTGGGACCCGCAGGTAGCATTCGTATCCTATTACTGTGCGATAGAAGCACTCTGCAAATGGATGGGTCGCCATAACTGTTTTAAAATTGTGACAGACACTAAAAAAAACAGCCACAATGATTGACTTGGCAGGAATTGTGACAAAGCTTGATAAGTTGACACTTATTCAGACCACTAGAGCAATAAATACAGACTGGTTGTTTAACAGAACAAACATGCCTGCATACCTGTTTCATAATTAGGAAATCTGTGCAAAAAGATTTTCGGAAAGTTCCTCTTGGGTGTGTAAAAATTTTCAGACTAGAATGATACAGGCTTTATGGAGATAGGCAACAAAGACAGTGTAGGTCCTATCTCTGAACAGTGTTCAGTAAGAACCTTAGCTTCAGAATATTTTTGCTAGAGCTTACCGATTCACTGAAATTTAAAAGACAGTAATTGTAATAACAGTTCCCATTTCATTTCCCATAAACATGAGTTGTACAGAACTGGTAATTTTAAGATTGCTTTCACCCCCACAAATAACTTTTCTCATCCTGTGGAAATAGCCACTGCCAACGATTTCATGTCTGCTGTTGGTTTTATCATACAATGTGGAATTGTATACTTATCATAACTCTTCCTTCCTTTTTAAGTGCCTTCAAGATTGTGAAAGTATGCTCAGCTGTTAAATTTAATATAAACATTGTTTTCTAGTCTAGTAGTCCCTCTTGAAATAAAGTATTCCTCTTCCAAACTAAGAAAATCAAAAAATCTGATCCTCCATGTGTACGATCGTTCTTACTCTTTAAATTCTTACAAACCTCCCCCCTCCCCTCAGCTTAACTTAAGCTCCCTCAGTGATAGGTTTTTTTTTTTTAATAAAACATTTGCAAGTGAAATCTTGTACATTCTCTCTCTCTCTATACATTGTTACTCCGCTATTGAAGCATCGCAAGCATGGGTATGAATGTTAAGTTTTCAAATTTGGCCATGAACTCTCTAAAATATTACAACTGCACTTCATTACTTTTCCTTGTATTTCAAAGAGATCCCTTGGCAACTGGAGGGTCATCAGCCTGATTGTTGAAAACATTGGCATGACAAGAATCAAAATTCGATACATTACACAGCGCAGATAAGGCTATGTCTTGTTTTATCTTGCAGGCAAAGTCAGTTAGTGTTTCAACAATCAGGCTGCATAACTGGAGGTTAAAGAGGGAGAGGTTCAGAGAGTAGGAACTCCAATATTCCAGGTAGATTCTTTTGTAGTTGCGAATCTTCTGCATTTCTCTCTTTAATCATTTTAACGACTTCCCTTCTCATTTTGAATCTTGGTTTTTTTTTCAAAACCGTAATATTAATGATAGGTATATTTCAGCATGTGTGGGTTAATAATGCCCCTCTCTTATATTCCTCTCTTTTCTGTGAAGTACTTTGTGATTTATAAATGCTTGCTTTATTATTCCAGATAAGAAATGTCAAATGTAGACGACATGAAAGCAATTTTCAGAGGCACTTTGATGACTTCCGCCTTGGCGGCAACTCTGAAAGCCTGTAAATAGCAGTTTCTCTGCAGACTTTAGAAGGGGTGTCAACTTCCCAGAGATGAAAGGCGAAAAATGGCAAGTTGCGGCGACAATTACATCAAAGATCCATCTCAGAATCAACTCCATTTATATTATCATTTGTTTTTGAATCAAAGTTATGAATCTTGATTAGCAATTCATTCCGTAGGTTTCAAAATGTCTGTGTCTCTTAAGAAAGGGAGGGGATGATTGAGTTGATGTGATCCCTGAAGATATCTCTGATATGTTTTTTTTTTTTACTGAATCCAAGTAGCAAAAAGAGCAGTTGTGGCAATCAATTTCAAAGGACAACTCCTGAATTTTGTGTTGCTGTCCATTTATTTTTCTTACGCAAACGACAGAAGTTTTGTCTTACATTGCAGTTTCTCTTGCGCAGCTTTTACTATATCTGTCCCATCAATTGCAATGTCGGTTTAATGTGTCATTCTGAGAACCCATACTAATTTATGGCTCTTAGGTGTTTTAAAACTGAAATATATAGACTCATTTCTGATATTAGAGGAAATTATTAATTCTTTATTTGTTCATCTTTTTTTGTAGAGATTCTGCAAGTAAGGAAAAGTATGGGGAGTCAAGTCACCGTGAGCGCAGTTATCACAGTCGTGAACGAGATAGTCGGAGATCGAGCCGTGACAGAGAACACAAACGGTCATCGCACAAAGAACGACGGGATTGGAGCCCCGGGCATGACGATAGACGAAAATACAAAGAAGATGATCTCGATAGACGAAGAAAATACGATGGAGAAAAGAGGAGGCATAGCAGAGATCGAGATGTAGATAGGAAGCGAATCTATAGAGAAGAAAATTATGACAGGCACAGGCGTAGTAGAGAAAAAGATAGCTACAGAAGAGATCGAAGTGATTATAGACGTGATGATAGAGATAGATATGTTAAAAGTGGTCACGATGATAGGTTCTACCGATGAGCTCCTGGCAGGTAAGTTTTTTGTACCATTTATATTCTGATTTTGCTATGTCATTCATGCTGAGGGACATAACGGAGATGCTAGATATTTTTTCTATCAAAATTAGTCGAGAAAAAGCTTCTGAAAGATGGAAAATAAAATGAAATGAACAGAAATTGAAGAAAATTACGAGAAAATAATGTATCAAAGGAAAAAACGCTTAAAAATCTAAAAATAGATCGGAATATTGATTTTATTTTCATCCATCGAGCTTTTAAGGAGTAAAGAAGAATTTCATAATTATTTGCACTCTTTTGTTTCCCCTTTCAAGTTGCAGGTTTGAAATGATATACCATAAATATTACACTTCATTTTCTTAACTTTTTTTTCTTTCCTACTTTTGACTTAATTATCACAGACTTTGAAATTTTCAACCAAGTTTTGAGGTGCATTTTTTCATCGATATGTCTCATTATTCATTGACCTCAAGAAAGAAACCTCATGGAGGAATTAATACTATTTTTAGATAGTGACACTCTCTTTTCATGTTTGCAAATGCAGCCAAAAGGAATCCACAATCGGTTGAGAGATTCAAGAAATATATTTTTCTAATGTTTTGATACATTTTACAGTTTACCCATTCGCATGCTATTATTTTTTTTTTGCCAGCAGCACCTAAAAATAGGAATTTATTTTGCTATAATCAGTAACTTTGGATACTTCTGAATAGCTTTAAGACTTATTATATGATGCTGAAAATTGAGACATTTTGCAAGCATAATGCACTCCATCAGAGAAGAACTCAAACAGCAGTTAAAAGCTCTCATTTAATTTTTTAAAATTGTATAAATTAAAAAAAGTATAAAATCACAAAAGAAAACGCGAGCAGGTAAATTATTCTTTTACATGATAATCTATTGTTTTACAAAACAGCCATGAAAAATGTGTTAGGTTGATAATACTTGGACCTCTAGTACAATTTCCGTGGTGTTATTGATCAGGAAGTCAGGAAAACAAGACCAGAACAATCACCTTTGAACTACGAGTATGAACTCACTAATATGCATTTTTTGCGGAATGCATGGACAATTTAACTCATCCTTGGATGCTAATGGGCTACACAAGATATGTTAGACACTCTCTGGTACATGGACCTTTCATTTAATACAAAGGACCCCGCACACCTCTTATGGGAAGCTGCACCACGACCGATTGCCTTCTGACTTATGTCATTCGATTCTCCTCAAGATGCTGATCAAAAGTTATATTTGCACCAACTTTCTACGATGCACCGTTTTCGCAAAAAGACCTAAGAGAAGATTCAATTATTCGGCGACTATGAATAAAAAAGAACAAAGCATTTGAGGACAGGCCCGATGTAAATAAGGAAAAAACGTAGTGCAAGTCCGTCTTCTTATCTGTACCTGCTGACTCAGGGGCTATCTCCCTCCCGCACTCGCCCGGTATACGTTCAGATTTTCCTATTCTTATGCTCCTCGAGAATCTGATTTGGATGGTCGAGCAAAACGGCGGCGTGCGGAATCCGAGATAAGACTGCCGCTCGGTGCGGGAGTTCGCATGATTTCCTTGTTGACACACAGCCGCTTGTCAACCGGGCACTTAAATGAAGAATCTCTCTGGCTTTTTATCGCCGAATAATTGAATCTTTTTGCGAAAACGGTGCATCGTAGAAAGTTGGCGCAAATATAACTTTTGATCAGCATCTTGAGGAGAATCGAATGACATAAGTCAGAAGGCAATCGGTCGTGGTGCAGCTTCCCATAAGAGGTGTGCGGGGTCCTTTTACCAAGATGTATTTTATGTTACATTTTACTGACATGAGAGTTACCAAAATTCACATTTTAAGTTATTTTTGTCAGTAGACAAAAAAAACTTTTTTTTGAAGCTAATTATATTATTCAAGTGGAAACCTTATATTCTTAGGACCATTGCCACTTCTGGTAATTTCTAATGATAACTTCAGCCTTTTTAATCGCACATTTTGTCCATTCCAGCTATGTCAGGGTCTCTATTTCCTCCTTTTTTTTCCAGGGTTTGACTTGGGCGCCTCCTGACCCTGAAGGTGAGCTTGACATTGCAGATTAATTAATACGGTGAACTCCTGTCATCGATTCAACGTTCAGCATTTGTAAATACTTTAATTTTTCTATGTTTTTCTTTTTTTTCTAAGTTCTCAGGTGTTTAAATGTAAATTTTGTAAGCACTAAACTATTAATGCAGTATTTTGCTCCAAAAAATAAAAAGCACAAAAAAGTTGTCGTCACCTATACATTTTAGCGGAGTGCATACGTGCACCAACTCAACAGTCAGCATTGGGTTGTTGGTGACCAGCCATTCCTGGCATGTATGTTAGTCAAATTAATGCGTGACAACTTGAAAATTCTTGCATTTATTGATCAGTACAGGCATGTAGTATTATCTATAATATGAATTCAATCAAGGTTTTGAATTGATCGAAGATTTGCATAATTGAAGCACTGGATGAAGGAAGGGCACTTGGTTGCACCGTTTAAGAATCTCCTATGCTAATTCGTGATTTAAAAAAGCAACTAATTGGTGATTATCATGGAATTTTTCATCCAAAACAACATAATATTATGAAGTATATTTAGTGAAAGATTCAAGGAATTATGTGCATTTGCTTTCCTTATGATAGAGGAAATGTCAGCAGAGATTCTGAAACATTGCAACTAAGAAGTCTCATCTTGCACTCAGCGCCTCAATTATCAGCTTAACCTTCATGAAATTTTACAGAAAAAAGTCTTTGTTGAACAGTACTACAGTGATACTCATTTTAATCTCAAGTCCCTACTCAAACTTCAATTTTAAATATTGTCTGACCGCTATCAGGTGAATTTTCGGCTTGACCACAGGTGTGATTGTTTTTTGAAAAGCTGATCAAAAACGGTGTTGCAATCATGTTCATCACAGTTCGGAGACTTGTGCGAAAGTTTCATCATCTATGATTTTCAGTAGCACATTACCCAAAATAGATTATTTCTCCATCTGTTCTCGTATATTATTCAGCATACGATTCATTGCATTACAGTTAGAACTATTCTTTAAAGATCCTACATTTTGTTTTGTTGTCTGGTAAATTTGCATTATTTAAAATTGAAGATGTGCAGTATATTCTGGTTGTATTTAATTTAGTGAAGTGAGATATTTCTGTATCTCAAAATATTTCCTAGGATCTATGAATAATTTTGAAACTTTGATTTCAATCGAAAAATGAATTTGCCAACTCTATTTCATTTGTTTTTTTTTCTGCCATTAAAAGATTCGCCTGAATTTCAAGAAATACTTTTTATTTTTCCATTTTGAAAAGTGTTTTGTAGAAATGCACCCAACATCCTGCACCACAGCCCCGCTGTGTTGTCAATTTTATCTCGTGTGATTCGCTAGACGAGTCAGTTGCGCTAGTCACAGAATCGCGTTTTAATGTTTTATGCTCATAGATTAGCAAGAAATGTAAGATCTGATAAAAAGCCTAGTTTCTACGTCCAGTATTATCAAAGATATTGCCTTTCAAAAAACATGGCGTATGGCATCATGTACTGCAGTAGTACATACAATGGTTTCCTTAACCTTGGATTCATAATTTAGTGATCCAAATATTTGCAGTGGCTGCTTGACTTACAACACGGTATGAAATCAAGGTAGGAGAAACCATGATACGCCCTACTGTGGTGGATGATGTTATTCACGGTGTTTTAGAAAGGGCAATTCTCCATTAATATCGGGTCTAAAAACGTGATGTTTGGATGGATCTTATTTATTTTACTCATCTATACATTAATATGAATATTTGCATTCATTTTTCACACTAGGATTTTCAGAATGATCCTTGAAGTTTTCTTTAAAACAGGAGAGGTTATAAAAATAACACAGATTTCAAGTAGCATGAAAATGTTTACGATGGGCTTCTGCTGAAAATAGTTTTTTATCCGCATTTTGAAATCATCCAAAATTTTCTAATATCTATGTGTGAATCGCATCTCCTAACCTTTACTTACAAATTGTTGTATACTTTTATTTTTCTTTTGAAATGATGCTCACATTTCTCAGTGTTGCTGTCTTAACAAAACCCGTATCACGCACTTGTAAAGGTATTCCTTTATAACAAGCAATTTTTTCTTCATTTACTCTCAAATCTTCAGAAACTTTCTCAAAAATTTTGAATTTTTTTTTAATAAATCTATCTGCTGTGCCATTGTATCCTGCAACAGTAACTTTATCTCCAAGCCTGCTTGCATATGGAGGTTCCAAAACTTCAATCCTTTTTTCATCACCAGCACAGAGGAGAATACCTTGTGCTGCGTAGCCCAAAATATCACGTGGTCCGATGTTGCATAAAACTATAACTCTTCTCTTCTCTAGTTCTTGAATCGGGTAATAATTGACCAGTCCACTTATCTGCAAAACAATCAATCGAATTTTAGCAACTTGATCAAGTTGAAATTCAAGTGATTAAAGAAAAGATGAGAAACTTTCTATCCCTCGATTGGTGCTAATTTTTCATTATCTATGAGTATTGTTTTATGGTAACGACTTGACAGGTGTCAAGCACATCATAAGGGGAAGATTTTCAATGTCATGTTCTGCCACAAAAATGCAGAATTGCAGAATTTACTGTGTAAAATCCTCTTGAAAATGAATCATGTTTGAACAAATCCCAAGTCAAAGTTATAAATTGGCAGATAAAAAAAATTATTTTTTCAGTGAAGAGAAACACTTTAAGGTAGAGGAATTATTCGGAAAAACTTGAGTCCTCACCAAATAAGTATATGCTCTTTAAGACTGCGATAGAAGATTGTCTGACGTCAGTTCAGCATGGAAAGTAAATGCAATAATCAATATGGTAGAAATTCTGTTGCAGTTTTAAAGTGCGTGAACTTTCTTGGTGTGGATTTTAGCAAGTGGTCTAAAATTTTTGAAACCTTGATGTAGACCTACCTGACAACACACTAACTTTCTCCTTGAGAGCTATTTAAATTATGGATGAATCCAACGTAGGGTAACTTACCACAGTTCTGGTATAATATTCACCAACATCAATTTCTGCTATGTAAAAATCAAGTGCAAATCGTATTTCTCGAATCGCCCTGATTTTTCCAACTTTAAATTCTAACCGACTGAAATCAATGAGCTTTTGAACCTTTCCTGAGAAAGAAAATCATCCATGAATTGTTCAGTAAAATTTCCTTTAGTGTAACTTCAAGACTGTTAAGTATCATGGATTTCATGCAGTCAAGGTAAATCCGATGATCCTCATAATTTGGCAATTTCTCTTGGGAGATTATTGACAAAGTTATTTTCCTGGGTTTCTCTTTTGATAGTGAATACAGAATTTAATAAATAATCTATATTGAAAAATTTTCATTCCAATGGCCCATCTTAATGTCGGAAGTTTCTCTCTCAGTATGCCAAAGTAAGGAAAGCAGGGAATTTAAGGGCATTTGTCATCTGATATAACTTTTCTCAAACAGAGAAAGTATCGCTTTTTATTGCTTCAAATTAAGAAACCTTCAACTTCCTGTACCCATTTCTACCAATTTTTATCCCTGTAATTATCTCATAATTTGTCTCATCTGCTTAAACCTCGCTGGACATTGATTTTTTTCTTGTAGCAGGTAGAAAGGCAAGAAAAAGGCAAATAAATTGATAGCACTCATTAGAGACTGATCTTAGGACTTTCAACTAACTCTTTTGTTTTGTCATTGGCTGATAGCTTTCGGTCGCAATTGATTCATTTGAGCCTCCTCTTATTGAGTGAAGAAGTTTTACCTCTGCTACATCATAATGACCAGGGGCAAGCATCTGAAAGAAAGGGTTATGACAATTACAAATAGATGAAGAGGAACTGTGATCAAATAAGACAGCAATGGATGATCATATAATCCACAAGGAAAAGTTTTCACAACTTTTTTTCTTTGTCGGGAATCACTAATCGAAAATTGGAAAAAAAAAACCACTCTTTTTGTAATGCATCACATACTTTATTTTAATCTTCCAAGTGTACAGTTCACAATCATGATCAAGAACTAAGTGAATTTAAAGTGATGTGTACTTCACTTTTTAAACAATGCTTACATTCCTCAGTGTTTCCGTTTTGATGAAACCTTTACCAAGCACTTCTAAAGGTGTCCCTTTATAACAGGCAACTCCGTCTTCATTCACTCTCAAATCTGGTGAAACTTTCTCAAATATCTTCTGTTTTGGATTTAAAACTTCGTCAGCAGTGCCTTTATAACCTGCTACAGTAACTCTATCTCCTGGTCTGCTGCCAATCGGAGGTTCCAGGACTTCGACTTTATTATCAGCGTACGCGCACAAGAGCATACCCTCCGAGATGTAGCCCCTCATTTCCCATGGTTTAAGATTGCATAATACCACCACTTTTCTGTTTTCAAGATCTTCCATCGAGATGTGATCAACCAGTCTACTTATCTGTGAAAGAAGCCATTGAATTATATTAACTGGACTACTCTAAATGTGTGAGTAGAATAGAATGAAAACGCTTCCCTTCAATGTTTTATAAAAGATTCTTTTAAGGAACTGAAAGCTTGCACAGGTTTCTTTTAGATTTCAGTGGTGTCAAGGAAATAGGTGTGGACAGTACGTAATTCTCAAATATTGCCCCCACAACTGGTCTAATTCAGAAGTCTGTTGAAAGAGGGTCTTTTCACATCTGGAATCTGCATGTGCGTCTTTCTGAGTTACCACTTACCAACAGTGGCTGAGTAGATTGGTTAGTAGATTCGTGACTGAAAGGTTTTGTAGGTACTCATGTCCGCAAGCATCACAACTTTCAAAATTTTCTTCGGAATGCAGATTGAGGCATTTTTTATCATATTTTCAAGCAAGGTTTTTAAAATTCTGTTTTTGATCAATCTGAGAAAATGTTGGCGAGAGACAGCCGGGACAATGCACTGTCAATCCGCAAAATGTTAAAGTAATGCTGAAGAAAATTTCCAATTTTTCCATCTATTCTGTGTGGAAAGAATACGGCGTTAAGAAACTTACTTTAACAGTATGTTTATGCCCGATGTCTCTGGAAAAACTAAGTGAAGTTTACTTCCTGCTTGCCGTTTTCGCTACCTCCTAAATAAAAGATATTCCTGATCATAAAAAAACTTACCACAGTCTTACTCACAACTTCACCAACATCAATTTCTTCTTCGTACAAATTGTGCGTTATTTTTTGAACATCTATGATTTTTCCTATCCTTACATCAAGGCGACTGAAATCAACTCGCCTTTTTGAAACCATTCCTAAGAATGAAACATGTCAATTTATGTCTGCTCTGGAATTTCTTTGGATGTAACCCCGAAAAAAGTTATTACTGGATAGATTTCAAGGTGCTTAATATTTTAGAGGGGGTTTGGAAGTTTTGCAGTTTTACTCTTTACTAGTTGCCTGTGGTAAACAATCAATGTTGAGAAATGACAAACCATTTGATGATAATTAGATTAATTGGAAAGATCGCCATTTGATTGCGATTTTTCTCGGAAACCCTAATCTACCTTCAAATAGGTCCCAAGATTGCCAACGTGGACTTCGGGTCCTTGCAATGACAGATGTCTGTCTAGATGCAGATGACTGCATCCCTGCAACGAGCAACTCTTCGTGCAAAAATGAGCCCAAAAAAACCACAGATGAGGGGTTTAAGGGACAAGGCGCATAAGTGCTTTCTTTGCTGTTACAAGAAGGACGTGTTAAAAGTTTGAAAATCATATGGAGCCTAAATTGAATTTTAGTAGAGAATTTCTCACAGAATATAATTGAAGACTAGTTTTTGTTGAAATCATTAATATTTCAATTTTTAAAAACTGCACATATGCGCCTTGTCCTTCAAACCTTCAAATTTCTCTCCATTAAAATTAAGTCGTGTAGAGAGAAATTGCGTGCCTAGGGATAAATCACGAAAAAGCTGTTAAGAGTGATTGAAAATACCTCCAATGGTACTTGATACTTAATTCTTGCTGGGACGTGAATCATGTAGGAACTCCATGTTTGTTTAGATTTTTCATAATTTTGTTGAGAATTTTGAAAATTTATCGGAGCAATTACTTTTCTGGCCTTCCTCTCTATCAATGAAACAACAGGGGTTATAATATACCTGAAAATATTTTAACGTACACAAGATCTGCTCTAAAAATTTCTATCTCGGAATTAATGAGCAATCAAAGCAAAGCAAATCCAAGGACGGCTTTTTTTTCTAATTGTTCATCGCTTCCTCTATTCCTTTCCTACAGAGGTTAAGTTTTCCTTTTTATGATAGTAAGAAATTAAAGCCGCAAATTGTTTGAGATTATAATTGTGCAAGTGCTATGTTAAAAACTAACTCGGTTTTGTTGTTGATGACTGAGGGCTTGCGGTTGCGATTGACTCATTTGAATCTCCTCGTATTAAGTGAATAAGTTTCATCACTGCTACTTCATTATGATCTGGAGCAGGCTTCTGAAATATGTGTACCTATGAGTCTATAAATTGGGTCAAGACGAACAGTAATAAAGTAGCGCTGAAATGGATGATTAGAGCAGCGAGTCACAATAATCATTCTCCTCCATCAGAAATTTATTCTCCATGAGTTCAGAGCAATATCAAAAAATAATTTTAACTTTTGAAATATTACAATAAAGGCTGGTGATGAAGTACAAAAAGGGATGTGAGATTGCTGAAGAAAAAAAAGAAAGAAAGAAAAGTAACATCCAAAAGGTTTGAGTCTGAAACCGGTATCACAAATTTACTTTCAATGAAAAAATGAATTTTTGTCCATCCGGCTCGGGCCTCTTCAATAACTCAATGAAACTGACAATGAGTCAAAATTATTGTCTCTGGATCGAAAAGTTGATCTGCATGTAGAATTGTCTCCTTAAGTTTTATACAGGTAATAATGAATTGCGAGTGAAAGTTTCACAATTCTGGAAAGAGAGTATGTCTCTTTTCATTATCACATGAAAAAACCAAGTTCATTCACTAAAATCTGGAAAATGAAATCACAGGATGTCTACATGACCTGCCAAGATATCTCGAAATTTTGAAGAAATTTGCATCCATCGTATGGTGAGGTAATTTTGTAACTTACCCTCTCATCTACGTTCAGACTGTGAAGTCCCAAAATCTGAAAACAGTGTGGCAAAATTTTAATTTACATTCTTCAGCGCAGCTTACTAACAATGTGATACAGCACCCCAAACTCACATCTACACTTTTCATGGCAGGTGATGACCACACTAAGGTAGATAATGTTTCACTCTGTTAAGTAAGAAGGTGTGGCTGTTACCGAATGATTAGCAAAGGGTAGGTCTTAGTCTCAGGTTTAAATTTTTTATCTTGGGTTACAATAGTGTAGCAGAGGTATTGATAAAACAAGCTGACATTGCATAAATTTCTCATTAGAGTCTTGGATAATGAATGTAAATAATCAAAATCTGGCGTTAGAAATCGTAAAAGGAAAGAGGGATTCCTTGAATATGAACACTTTGTTCATGATGGATGGTTACTTTGATTGCGAGCTAATGAGTCGTGCCAATCAAAACTGGGATTGCTTGCAGCAAGAAGCGCATACAGAGTCAGGTGTTCAATTAAAAATGGGAAAATATCAGGAAATTCCAATGAGGAGCCTATAGTCTTTGTCACAAGAAGTGGCTGAGGAGTGGGGTCACAGAACGTCATCATTTTCTAACAACTTACCAACATTGAAAACGAGCAGATAATATTTTGCAGGGTTAACATTTTCTCCCTTAGGTTATAGTTTAAAAGGAGGATTTACTATTTTTTACTTTCACTTTGAAGGCGTAACATGCTCAACTAGAAGTGGCTTTGTTATGACGTTCGATTGATAATTTTTTATCAGATAAAAGCAATAGTTTCCTTGATTTCCTCCCAGTCGATCTTCATAATCAAAATCTGATAACATAAAGAAAGGTATGTATTGTATCATCCTACTTCTTCTATTTTCCTTTAGAGACAGCGAGGGACGATTCCTTTCTGCTGTAGGAAACTCCCCCCTACTTGGTAAGTTTCAAAAGGGATGAAATTAGATTTAACTTGGTGATCACGAAAAAAATCAGCTCTTGATATCACATGGATAAAATTAAGATTACTTTTAGTTATTCTCTAAAATCGGAATACCAGCGTGAGCTGAACACTCCGTTTTGACCTCTCTTGAAAAATAGAATATTCAACTTTAAAACAGCGAAAAAGATGAGCACTAGACCGATCGGGGTTTAATATGATTGACAAGGGGCTTATACCTCTGTCGAGGCTTACCACCACTTAAAGGTTTCACAACTTTGTTATTCAATCATAGCAACAGTGGTTTAGTAGGTTGTGCACACTGAAATCTATTCAAATTGATGTGTCACAGAGAGGTTATTAAAAGAAGAATGCAAATGAACGTTTCAAGAGCAATTATTATAATTGTGTCTCAAAACAGTTTTTTTTTATAATACTAACATAATTCTAAAAAAAAAAAAAAAATACCGTACATTACATAGTCTTACAAATGTTCACAATTAAATAAAAATTCTCATTATGTAATAATCTACAGAAATCTTTTTAAAAAGATAGGTAAAACTAATATGATACATACAACCAGATGAAGTACATACATTAGTTTTAAATAAAACAAAGATTGAGACACGAACTCAGTTGCAACAGAAATTTCAATTTTCTCCTGCAATTGCACCTCACATCAATTGCAATCAACTGCAATTGAATGTGCCAGGTTTTGAAAGGGAAACGTCGAATCCAAAGCCAGCTGTTATCAGGAGTACACCGTATGCAGATAAGAGGGAGGCAGGTTTGGTCGAGGTTCGAGTTTACTGTAGTCAAGATGGAACTCTTTCGGAACTTTCCTCCAATTCTGAGGGTCGAAGAAATAGTAAGTACCTCTTTCATAAGTTGACGTTTTCTCCGTTGCGACCACACCAGGAGCTTGCGTTATCCAAAGCTTTTCTTCCATATGATACCTCCACTCCCTTGCATAGCTGGAACAAATAACCAACCATTGAATGTAAGAAGTTGTTATGATTCGGTCGGACAACACTTATAAAAGGAAAATAAAATCTCATTAAGACACGATCTGTGACATCAGTGGCGTGGCGTGCTTTCCGATGTATCGATTGTTATGCTATTTAAACCTATGGAAAAGGATCGAAAAACAGGGTGTTCGCAGCGAACACCTTAATAATCGATTCTTTACCATAGGTTTAAATAGCATAGCAATCGATACATCGCAATTCACGCCACGCCACTGTGTGACATGGTAAACAGTTGAACATACAATAAGGTTTACTGCCACCTATAATTCAATGCATTTCAAAAATTAGAATATTTCCACTCCAAAGTGAGGTTTTCAAATTGTACACGAAGGCATGGCAAGATCAGCAAGGTGGATGGCATTCATCTGCAGAGGCCTACAGGGTAGCAACATAATTTAGAAAATTAATTTCTCTGACATATTCTGGTAAAATTTCTTGACGATTAAAGATAAGGCAGATGGTTAAAAAGACATAATTTTCAGGCTAAATTTGTTGTTTGAAACGTCAAACCCATTCTAGAAAGCAAATAAAGGCGAATTAACAATTTTTCCCTGACACTCCAAGGTTTTCTCTGATTTTTAAAATTTTTTTGATATTTTCCGGCATTCCCTGACTATGGCAACCATGTTTCCAGTACCAAAAAAAAAAAGAAGACGTTACATTGAAAGTTGCGGCCATCCTGAGAAAAAAAGACCAAGCACCAAATATTGAGCCTTAACGTTCCTCAATTAATGACAATTACCTACCAAGGCTACTGAGTTTTTGAGACTTGAACTCTTTCATAAATAGATGGTTCAATTGAATCGGGAAAAGCAAAAACCGCTAAAGTCCATTTTTCCAGTCTTCAGTTTTTTGAGTTGATAATACTTTTAAAGAGTTGATACAACCATGTAAGTGATAAAAGGACTTGCTTAGGGATTAAGGTAGCCTGGCGACAAGAATTAATGGCACTTATGTGTTTGCATCCAACTCCAAAAAGTATATAAACTCAAAACAACTGAAGACTAGAAAAATGGACATTAGTGGGTTTTCGCACATCCCGATTCAGTTATGCTATTGGTACTACTGCTTTGAAGGGTGTTGTACAAAAATTTTGGTACTATAAACTCGAAATATATCAAACTAAATTTAAGTTATGACAGTTCGAAGACGGCAATTTAAAAAACATGCTTTTAAAAAAAGACAATTCAAAGTTTCATTCAGTCATATTTGTGGTTAAAATTGTCTGATTATAACGCAACTTTACAATCTCTGTTCGTAACCTTCCTGACCTAAAGTCTTCTACACTTCGCGAGGACCCCTTTCACCCATAAAACTCAACGCTTTTCCATGCTCATTTCTAAGGGTAATTACGCCTTTTAGTCAGCCGGGCGACGCATTAACAAAAAAATGGAGTAAACTGCTCACAATTTATCTTTGGAGCTACTTCTGACTAAAAACTTAAAATCCACTTTTTTCCCGCCTTGGCAAAAATTGCTTTAAGAAAAATTTGCCTTCTGTGCACTACTGTCCATTTTCCTGTGGATGGTTACAGTTATTGTTAAGTTTTACTTAGTGACAAAAAACAGTAAAAATACTTACAGTTCCATGGCAGCGTATATCTGCAAAACATCACCTGGGTTTGTGTAGAAAATATAGAACAGAAGATCATCTTTGTACCGCGATAATTTGATTTGGGCCAACTTATCTCTGCAAAATTTTAGACAAAATAGATTAGTATTTTGACTGTGATAACTTTCAATCAATGAACATGCTCAAACTAACTTGGCAGACTATGATAGTGTCTGTGAAAGCACCATTTGCGTTCAACATTGAGATTAAATGTAAAAGTTTCAATTGCTAGTTTCTGTTGCATTTATATGGTTACCCAACAAACTTGGCACGAGCTCTACTGAAAAGAACAAATACTTTAAAACTTGAATTCATTTTTGTCACTAAATCTCAATTTTTTTTTCTTTCAACTTACTTTTTAAATTCTCTATTCAGTTCTCTGAAGGCAGAAAGCGGCAGCATTGATTTATGCTTGAATAAGATTGGAGTCATAAATTAGAAAAAATTTGCCGAATCATTTAGTTAGCCCGGTTAGGTTTTTCGTGTCTGGCAGACATGGTTGCCGACAACTGATAAAAACTACCCTTGGATGCATGAAATTTAAAAAAATGTATGTATTGTAAACAACGCATAAAGCATGCTAAGGAGTGGATTGCAGACTGTTTCGATGTACCCATTGTTATTTTTGTGCTATTTTACCAGCATGCAGTCTGTTTACTTGTCTATATCTCTTGCATGCAACAAGACCCATTACATTTTTGAGTGACAGTTTGTTGATCGTAAAACTACTGACTTGGAAAATATGACCAATTTCTTACTTTGCAGAAATACAAAAAAATTAAAGAAACATGTTTCATACCTGATATTGAAATTGATTAGATATTCCGGAGGAACATGGAAGTCCACATCTTGCGGTCTACAAGGCGTTTCCGCCCAGGGACCACCAAAACTGGGAAACAGGTTTTCAGGAGAATTTAAATTGAGACCAAGGGCTGTTAGATCTTGACCTAATGCTAAAGACACCAAATTTGGATCCGATTCAGCTGCTCTAATGAATGTTAGAAGTCCTACCATACCAAACTGATCTTTGACCATACTTGCAGGGATGTTCGTCACTTTACCTGTAACAGAAGCATTTGAGCATTCAGTAGTTGAAGAGAATCTTTTATAATAAGATTAAATAATTGTTTGAACGGTTGCAAGTTGAAGGTGAAGAACAAGAGAAAGTGAATGCTGTTAAAAATGAATATTTTGAAAAATCCACCAGAAGTGGTACATTCTTTCTATTACTTTAAATTATAGAACAAGAAGTTTGGAGTAAAAGGATTTGGTTTTGTTCACTTTGAGAGGATACCCCTCAACTCAATTCCTTTTGAAGAAAGAAAATTTTACTCAAAATACTACTTTAAACCAAAACTTTGATAAGAAAAATATGAAATGGCTGGTATCAAGTCACTGATGCCCTTTTACCCCTACATTGGCGGGTGAATGAAGATGAACCTATCTTTGTTATTTTCGGCATTACTGACCATTGGTCCAGGTTTTGGAGCTATTAAGTAGTGTATAAAATGGAAAATTTTGGTCAAATGAAATTATGAAACTGAGACTGGCGAGAAAATAATCATGGAATGAACGGAAAGAACAGATTTAAGCAACTCACCATCTGGTGATGTTTGAATGCCTCTACTGTGCGATGATTGTTTGTCATTAATTGAATTTGATGCAGCAACTCGATTATTGTTGACATGCACCTCCGATGGCTGTCCAGACCCATCCTGCGTTGATTTCTCAGGAGTACTATCGTTTGAAGCAGATCCACCTACACTCGTCGAAGTGTTCGTTTGGGTACCAGGTAAAGCAGGGAAATCTTCATTGCTCATGGTAAATTCGCTGGAGTCATTAGCTGGCTGCTTCACCATTCCAACTACCAACACAATTATTAATAATATTAGTTAAATTCGACAAATATTACAAAATGTCTACAGGAGTTCAGGAAAAAACTTCTGCATCTTCTTCCGACTTGATTTGGACTTTTTCCTGATCACTAGACTATTAATGCTGAATCTGTTCATACAATAATACTTGATGTGCTAGACGAACGTTAATAATTCTGAGAGCGTGTTTGCCACTTGCCACACGTGAAATGGTAGGCTACATTTCTTTTCAATTCCAGTAAGTTCCATAATAATATTGATACTTGCTTGACTACTATCTGGAAAATTCAGCGGTCAAATTTCTGAGAGACAAATGACAAAGCTCTCAACAAATTTAATTCAAAAAAGGTTTTGTGTCTGTTTCCCGGTAATGGTTCAGAAGTAGATGACTATCATACATCAACATTCTTAGGTGATTATTATTCTGAATAAATTTTCTTCATCTAATGACAAATTATTCATAAAACCAATTTTGCACTTAAAGGGGCATGTGAGATTTTATTTGGTAAAATTAGAAATAATATCAATAGAAGTACTTCAAAGGTTATCTAAAAAAAAGTTGTCAATTATTTGAAACTTATGCGAGGCTGGAGCTCTGAGTGGCTGAAAAAAGAATATACATAAAAGCAGTGTATCCATGGTGATAAAGAATGTCAAATTTTTAGAAAATTTCACCTTCCCATTAACCACACTGCGCCTACGTGAATTTATTATTTTAAGTAGATAACATTTACAAGAAAATTAATAAATTATGAAAATTACACCATTGATGTGTGATAGAATTTAGAAATTAAATGTATTTAACTTTCAATAAAATATCAAGGAAACCAAAAATAAAAATCTGATCGCTTAACAGTATTTTCTATAATTTGTAACCAGCATCAGGATGAGTCATCTTGTTCTAATTTAGTAAAGTCACTTTTTTTTTCTTTCTTTTTTTTTCAAAATAATGAGTGCACACTAACTTCTACAAAGACAATTTTCAGTGCTAAAGACAGTTTTAAAAAGAGTTCAAATTAAACTTTCAAAGTGGGTGCAACTATTATGTAATGAGTGTACACATGTTACCACCCACAAAAGAAAACGCACCTTGGCACTCTAAGGCAAATGTGTCTTAGAGCAAGATTTCTGTCAAGTTGAATCAAAGAAAATAAACTCGAGTCTTCTTCCTGGATCCCTTGAACCTTTGTATCATCCGTTTTCCTTAACACCAAACAAGTTTTTTAGACCAAAATACTTATTTATAAAAAACTTTCCTCTATACAGCAGTATCAGTATTCCATTTATGAAATAATCAACACTCAGGTAAATTTTCCACATGACAGTCAAATTAAAAAGGGTGGAAAATGCTAGGAGAATGAAAGGTAACAGTTGAGGAATTCAAAAACTAGTTAACACAGATTACTCACCGTACGGTTGTTTGCCAGGCATTGGCGTTGGTTGCGGCATCGTATCTCCTTGACCTCTACTCGTGAGGGACGGAAATTCCGAGAGGTCTAGCAGCGGCGGCGTGCTTGAATCTCCTCCTCCACTACCACCACTTCCGCCAAACACAGAGTGAAAATTGCTGAGTCCGCTTTGACTGCCTCCGTAAGACCTATGCGGAGGCATTGCAAAATTTCCCATAGTGTTTGAGTTCCTGACAAGTCAGATGTTAAAAAATATTAATCCTGCGAATATTTTGATTAATCTACCCAGCGCAGAGAGATTATTGGTTCTGAAGTGTCAATGAAGCAGTCCGGGAGTGCAAAAATGATTGGTCGCAAGGCAGCCAGCCTAGCGGTCGATCATTTTTGCACCCCCGCAGCTGGTCGCAAGGCAGCCAGCCTAGCGGTCGATCATTTTTGCACCCCCGCAGCTCAATCATTTGAAAATGTGTGAGAGCTGCCAAATATGTGTTCGTCTTTTTATCTCTTCATACACTATGCAACCCTGAGTTAGTGGATACTCACAGTTAATCCCGGTGAGAAATTAAGTTCTACGTCTAAAAGTTCCAATCTGAAAAAGAGCTCACTTCTAAATTTTACAGTTAATTTTACAAGAGCAGATTCACAATATCATTCTCTTGCACTTCTGTCATTCCTTAAAAATAAGATGGCACTGAACTCCTTGGAGCCACGAAATTTCTAGATGTTTATGCTGTTTGGAAAAAAATTAAAACTCTTCATTTCATGCCTTGGACATTTCAGATATTTGACTTGAGAATATTACCCCAGCATTGGAGGTAAATTTTGCTATATTTGCCAAAAACTAATTGAATAAACAACTCTAGAGTGGACTCTGTAAGTAGAAGGAAATCATGTACACCTTACCAAAGTTTACATAAAAACAGACTTGATATCCATAATGAAGCTCCTAGTGAGGATTCTGGTTAAAAACTCTCAAAGTCTTAGGCTTTCAAAGGAGTTTTGAGTGGTTTTTGCAAGCTTTTCTTTTCAGCTTTTTGGTTTATTATGCCTTCATTATTCTTCAGATTTTTAAAGCATCCTTTTCCAACATACAATACCATATTTTATAACCCTCAAGGTAGAGAGACTTTCTTTGCTTGAACATATTCAATTATGGAAAATCCGTCAAAATATGCATGCATAGAAGAAAAGTACTCAACCATTCTTGCATTGCTGATGTTAGTCCTGGCATCGGTCGCCTGTCTTGAAATGCTCGCTGACTACTAAAAAGCGTGTTCCTATTGACGATTGGGGGTAAGTTCCGGTTGGGAGAGAGCTGTTGCTGAGGAGTGAAGGAACTAGTTGAACCAGGAAACATGCCGGAGGTAGGCGTGACATGACCTATAAAAAATTCCACGGTTAGTAATTAGAAGCTTAATTGATTTCAAAAATTACATTGGTTTGGTGTTAGTTTTTTTTAGAAAAGAGAGTTACAAATTGAGTTTAGGTCCACCTCAATGAAAGTTTAACTATATTCTTAAAATAAAAAAGAGGTCAAGTTTTCTGGGACTAGAGCTTTTTCATTCTATTCAACTTCATTTTAGCACCAGCACCAAAAAAAACCATTGCAAAAAAAAGGTTGAAAAAACGGACAGAAAAAGCTGTTGGGAAGGGGCATCACACTGACTGTCTGACCGTTTGAACTGCAGCAAAAGATAAGTCTATTTACAGATTGATCTTGTGAATCCTATTCAGGTTTAGTGCCTATTTATTCCAACCCAATTTAGAGTTTAGAAATTCATCAAATCAATGATTGGTGCGGATTCATCTGTGCGGATGATCCAACTTTCTCAAAATTAATTGTTGCAATCAACAAACCCAGATCTCCTCTAGGAGGCCTTTTGGCTTGGTTGCATTCACATTCTTTTCCATTTATTCCTTAAAATTTTGCAATAAAATTTATTCTCACTATTTGTTTCAGCAACATAATATTATACAAAAACATCCCGAGAGGGCAACAACAAGAGCATAGGTCTCCAGTGATGCTGATGCTGCTCCAAAAACCCCTGTCCATTCTGGCAGGACCTGCAATCTAGGATCCCATGATACCTCCTGCATTTTCTACCGTCCAGAATAAGCACATGGTAAACTATACCTGATATGGAATTAGAGGTAAATCCGCTTCTCGACAATCCTTGATTCGCTATACTCCGTGGAGGTTGTTGAAAATTTAAGTTGGCCATAGCCTGTGAAAAATACAAGAAACATTATGATTAAGTACTATTCATGTAAGATCAGACTTTACCTCAGCCATCAATCGGCTGGCACTCAAGACAGTATTGCTGATTAGTTGTTTTCACAGTCAAACGTGGATACACTGTCAGTAGATACTCAATGGTCTAAAGCCATATTTTTTCATTTGCTTTCCCGAAAAATTTTACCTACAAGAACAAGTGGCACCATCCTGCTATCAAAATGTTCCTTGAAACCTTCCCTCTCAGTTTCGCATTTATTCAAGTTTATTCTGTAAAACCTCTGATTATTTTTCTTAGATTTTCCTAGCTTTGATTTCCCTAAGAAGTAGTGTGAACCCAGCACTATTTTCCTATCCTGGTGTTGTTCTTCTCAAGTTCTTGAGTTGATAGTCAAAGGTGATTTCTAAAAAAAGTGGCAGTTGAAAATACTTTCTAGAGCAATTTCATGTGATTACGATGGAAATCGTAATCTTCATTTTCAAAATACAGAAGGAAGAAGCTTGAAATCCCCGTTTACAGTAATACTTTAAGTGAGCTGCTGTAACTTTTGAATCGGAATCCTGCTTTCTTTGGACACGGGGCACATTGTGCAAAATGCACCTAAAACTCAGGTTTTGAAACAAATAATAAAGGGTACTGCGATAAACAAGGCACCAAAAAAATTGGCGAACCCTCATTTTTGTAGCAACCATGCTTCTTAATTTACTTAAAAACCTCATGATACCAACAAATTGGACTCCCTGCTTACAAGGGCTACTAAAATTTTAGAGTGAAATAAGGGAAAAGCTCAGCACATTCCTGTCGATACATAATAGCAAGGGTGTAGACAGTTCTTCGGGGCAAAAAAAAAGCTGCAAACTCAGCTTCAAAATTTCCTCACTTCACAAAAACATTATAGGTACAAGTCAAGTAAAAAAAAATTAAAAAATTGGAAGTTCGATTTTTACTTATTTTTTGCCTGGGGGAGAGGGAAGGAAAAAACCTTTTCGACTGAAAAATTTCCTAACGAGCTCAGGGATTTCCTGATATGAATACACCAAACACGGTTCTTAGTTTAAAAGTTTTCTGCACTCCATGAGAACAGTGCCAAATTCCCATTGAAATGACAAGTACAGGTTGAAAAAAAAAATATGACCAACGATTCTGTCCAGAGAGGAACAAAAAAGTTAAGAAAGGTATAACATCCCCTCCCCCCTATGGAAATTCCTCTCATACAAAGCTCCAAAGCAGGAGTTCCAAAAAAATGCATCACACAAGCAAACAAATTATTGTGTAATAAAAATCGTTAAAAAAGAGGGAAAAAATAGGAGGTCCTTGGAGTTCCTTTCATGACCACACCATGTATCCAGACCTTTCACTCATCACAACACCAAACAAAAAGTAAGAATCCATTCCCTTATAAAATGTATGAATCCGAGCATTCCTTGAAGAGAAATTCTTCTGTCATTTATTGCGAAGTTAGCATAAGCAATTAAAGCATAACTTCTCTGTAATATATAGGAACTTTTCTACAAATCCTTTACTTGACAGGCAAACCCTTGCAAATTTACTGGTGAAAGTTGTAAAATCTAGGTACCCTGAAAAATATGAAAGGCTTTTCCAGAAACTTCAAAATTTCCCCAAAATGTCCTTCCATGAATTGAAGATAAAAATTTGAAAAGCTAAAAACCAGAGAGACACCAAAGTTTTTTATAATAATCTAAATAAGTACTAACCCTCACAACAACGTGTGAAATTTAATGAAACGAAAAATTAGGGTCAGCATCCTCTACATGAGAATGAGGTAATTTTTTAATAGTTTTGAATTTGGCAAAAATCTTCAAGTTTCTCTATTTTAAGTTAATATAACTAGTGATATATTTAGCCATATGTTGACTTAGATTGGAAGATGCTTATCATAGCACTGAGAATCGAACTTTAACAGACTGTCAGGCTACTAAAAATACAGGCACAGACGGATTCACAAAACCTGTAAAAAGTTCAATGGAAGAAAAATGCTGATTTTGCTGCTTGTGGTGTTCAGATCAATTGAGCAAAAAGAATACTAGGTTGAAATCACTTCTTTGCCTTGGTCTTTTTTATAAACTTCCTAGGAGTGCATGCTTCTTATGTTGCTATACGCCAATAGACAAAAAAACTCCTATTTCCAGCTTGGTGTGACAGGATCACTCTAGAGGCTTGAGAGAATTCTTGGGAGAAATGATAGCGACTTAATAATGCCACCAATGAACATTGATACGGCATGTTCGGTCCCATATAAGGGGCGATATTCTTTGAATGACTCCAATAATCTGAACGAACACCATTATGTATTTTGACCCGATCAAATACGTAAGAGATAGCGGATACATGAAATTCATTTTAAATCAACTCATGAAGCCAGCCATCCTTCACCTCTGACAAAAAATATATGGACATTGCTTACACTGGACGAGTGTGGAAATCGAGTTCATCACATCTGACAGGTTACAAATCCTGTACGGTTGGAGTGCTCAGAAAACATAAATCCCATGAGCATAATGAGTCTCTGGGAAGCCTTAGAGAATAGGTAAAATGAAGGGATTGAGATGAAAGACTGCGAAAAACACTGAAACAGATTTTCGCCTAAAGAGTCCTGACTTGAAAACAAGGAAATGGCCATGAAATGGCAGGGGTAAAAGAATCAGATTATGGGTAAACAATGGTATTAGAGCGAGGATTCGTACGCTTACGAGCAAGTAAACAGGACTTACCAGTGGTGTGAAAAAATTGATATTTCTGACTAACGCAGAGACATAGCTTCACGTTGCTAAACAGGAAACGAAATTATCCATTATCGGAAAACACAAAATTAAACTTCAGATTGATCTTCTAATACTTTCGGTTTTTTCCTTTTTTCACAATCGGGCGAATGAATACTCCATCATGACGTAAAGATAGGCAACATCCAACAGAACCGCTCAACTGCGTCATCGATGAACCCGATGTTCATTTCAGGCCCGCTATTTTCAAAAACGAATCGGCTGCATGCTGTAAGTGGCGCAGGGCAGGGTGGCAAAATTTCATGAAAAATAAAATCTTGAAATTTCACGGGAAATATTTCATGAAATTTCAGAAATTTATGAAAGATGTGAAAAATACCTGTTCTTTTTCATGTTTCACAAAATGTAAAAGTTGTGACTTTCTTCTATTGTTGTGTATTTGAGTGCGGGTTGCATACTCTAGCCCCTAAAAAATATAAAATATTTCACAGCCTCATGAAATCTTATGAAATATTTCACCGAAATTTTCAATTTTACATTTCTTTCCTACGTTCCATGCCATCCTGGTGTAGGGGAGAGAGGGCAGAGATGGAAAATTTCATGAAATTGATTCGCGTGTGAAATTTTATAAAATTTCGTAAAATTTTATGAATTTTATTTAAATTTCGTAAAATTTGTTGAAGTTTAATGAAATATCGTGAAATTTTATCAAATCTAATGAAATTTCGTGAAATTTTATGGCATACAATAAAATTTCGTGAAATTTCACAGAATATTTTAAAACTTCAGGGGATGCACTCAGGGGGCCACGAAACGCCCGAGACAAAGTTTTTGGGACAGACTAAATTTTTAAATTTTTCTTTCCAATCCTAAAACAGCCACACGTTGCCATGTTGCAAATGTTTCCGTTTGGTCCAGAGATTAGGGTAGGGTTTCCCTCTCTAAACTCCCTTTAACTCTAACTTTCCCTTTGTTTTCCATGGCTCAATCTTTTGGGCTAGGAAGCAGTGGCGTGGACAAGGGCGGGGGAGGAGGTCCGGGGGCCCGGGTCTTTAGGAGGGTAGACATAAAATATTATCAGGGACGTACCTACACAAAATAATATAAATTTACCGTCACGGACCCCCCCCCCCTTAAAGAATTCCTTGCTACGCCACTGATATTAAGTCACCTTACCGAGCCTTAAGGTGTGAGTACGGTGGTGGCTTAGTGCCTCCTCCATCATCTTACCGTTGCCTTTCTTTCTCTTTTACGCACCTCGCAATATAAAACTTATTTCTTCTCACCCATAACTAAGTAACCCTCTGTCACTTCAACTTGTCTATAGTTGGCTGTAGGCTCAGGGCCGGATTAAGGGGATGACCACATGGGCCGCGGCCCATGGCGGCAAATCTAGAGGGCGGCAAATTTTGCAATTTTTTTAAATGTAGGTATAAAAAAATATCGGATTTAGAAAAAAAATTACAAACGAGAAAAGGCGACAAAATCTCTCATTTTCTGAGAGTATAGTAATTTTTAAATTTGTCTCCTTTCAGTGATACAAGAGACAGCGCCTTTAAGTAGTCCAGTTAAGAGAGAAACCAAACACGTAATTTGGCCTGGAACGGCGCGGCGCAGAGAGCAATGATGGCGAGGACTTGAGATGAAAAGGAGAAGCCCTCGGCGCGGCGATCGGCATGTAACACATATTAGCGCCTACAAGACTGCACGAATACTTCACGTATTGCATCAAACACAGTGCGGTCATTGCGGTCAACGTGAAACGGATAGCGCCTACAAGAATGCATGAATACTTCACGCATTGCACCAAACACAGTGCGGTCAGCGTGAAACGCATGGCGCCTACAAGACTGCGAGAATACTTCACGCATTGCGCCAAACACGGTGCGGTCTGCGTGGCGCGGCGGCGGAAGTTAAACTCATTAAACCACATACATGTTTGTTCTTTCATAATTTTTTTGTTCATTTCTTATGAATGAAAGACTTTGTCCACACAGNTTTTTACTTAAATCAACTCTTTATATAATTTCAAGCAGTTTTTATTGAATGACTTTTTCCCTTAAATTACACCATTTCCAAGAAAATCGACAGGATAAAAACGTCGTTGTACCCAATGACGTCATCAAAGCTATAGATACTCTATGAAAAATTCCAAGATGCCCGAAATGCAAACACCTCCTTTTTTTTCTCTATGGGAAGCAGTGGCGTGGACAAGGGCGGGGGAGGAGGTCCGGGGGCCCGGGTCTTTAGGAGGGTAGACATAAAATATTATCAGGGACGTACCTACACAAAATAATATAAATTTACCGTCACGGACCCCCCCCCCTTAAAGAATTCCTTGCTACGCCACTGATATTAAGTCACCTTACCGAGCCTTAAGGTGTGAGTACGGTGGTGGCTTAGTGCCTCCTCCATCATCTTACCGTTGCCTTTCTTTCTCTTTTACGCACCTCGCAATATAAAACTTATTTCTTCTCACCCATAACTAACCCTCTGTCACTTCAACTTGTCTATAGTTGGCTGTAGGCTCAGGGCCGGATTAAGGGGATGACCACATGAGCCGCGGCCCATGGCGGCGAATCTAGAGGGCGGCAAATTTTGCAATTTTTTTAAATGTAAGTATAAAAAAATATCGGATTTAGAAAAAAAATTACAAACGAGAAAAGGCGACAAAATCTCTCATTTTCTGAGAGTATAGTAATTTTTAATTTTGTCTCCTTTCAGTGATACAAGAGACAGCGCCTTTAAGTAGTCCAGTTAAGAGAGAAACCAAGGCGCAGAGAGCAATGATGACGAGGACTTGAGATGAAAAGGAGAAGCCCTCGGCGCGGCGATCGGCATGTAACACATATTAGCGCCTACAAGACTGCACGAATACTTCACGTATTGCATCAAACACAGTGCGGTCATTGCGGTCAACGTGAAACGGATAGCGCCTACAAGAATGCATGAATACTTCACGCATTGCACCAAACACAGTGCGGTCAGCGTGAAACGCATGGCGCCTACAAGACTGCGAGAATACTTCACGCATTGCGCCAAACACGGTGCGGTCTGCGTGGCGCGGCGGCGGAAGTTAAACTCATTAAACCACATACATGTTTGTTCTTTCATAATTTTTTTGTTCATTTCTTATGAATGAAAGACTTTGTCCACACAGAGATAGGTTTACGAAACATAACTTTTGCTAGTAGTGTTGACAGGGCATTCCCAAAACATGTGTTCAACACGAGTAAACGCGTCTTGTGCACCCCTCCCCCGCTGGCATGTTCACTTGATGGTTTTTATTGATGTTTCAATACGAATGAGAAGGAGGCGGCAAAATACAGGCGGCCCATGGGCGGTAAGTAGGTAAATCCGGCCATGGGATCACAGGGATTAAAGCCAGTAAACTAACAGAAAGGGAAAACAAAAAAAAACCTCCCCTTTGTGCCCCCCCCCCTTTGCGAATAGCGCCTCAGCAGGGTAAGCATAGTACTGCATGCCGCATCAACAGGCAGACCATCTGAAACTCTTCCGGATCTCCAAAGGTTGAATTACATAATAATTCCGAAAAAAATCAATAAATTTCAAATCTTAAGTGAAATTTATTCGAGCCTTTCAAAATTTCATGACATTTCACTTTCCATCTCTGGGAGGGAGGGAAGGTAAGAATGCAAAATATTAACCGCATGAAATGAAATGTCATGCAATTTTTCAACAATTTTGCAATATGCCTCAGCCGTTGAAGAATCGTTGAAATTCCATGAAACATGAAATTTTACTTTCCAGCAAAATGCAATTTCCCTTTAATCTAAGTGATACGAAATTTCATGAAATTTTACAACATGAAATTTCATAAAACATTTTCAAATGATTTTTTTTTTTTTTTTTTCTAGATATTTTTTAAACTTCTGCAATAGACTCATAATTCCATGAAACACACAGAAATAATGAAATCTTAATTTTAAAAAAAAAAAAAAAAAAAAAAAAAAAAATCATTCGGAATAGGAAGATACCACAAATTCATTCAGAGAACTATTGCGGGTTGCATACTTTCTCGGCCCCTGAAAAATCGTTGAAATTTCACTTTTCAAAAAGTTGAAATTCCATGAAATTCTTAATGAAATTTCAATTACATAGCATTTCCGGTTGAGAGGGACAAAATTTTATCGTTTCCGCCAATGGCAAGAAAAGGCGGGAACCGTCAGCCAATCAGAAGCAATGTCCTACCTTTCTTTTGTTTACTATCCGCGATCCTCTTATCACTGTAAACAAAGCATGCTGTCTTATCTTCATGTCCCATGTCCTACCGTTCACACACTCCAGTTCACACCATTCTTTGCTGAGCAAGAATCTCATTACTATATAAATAATAATAAAGTTTTAAGTTTCTCTTTTATTTTGAGTCTGATACTGGCTGTACATTCAACTAACATGAAAGTTGTTTGCCAAAGAATTCCATGTGCTTCAGAAACTTTGCAGCTCAAGCTAACTTTAGGAGGAGGTCAAAGTTTTAGGTAAATATATATATGTACCAGATACTTTCTTAGCTTTTTTTCTACAAGCACTTCTATTGATGCAAACTACAGAATGCGGAGGCCGGGGATAGACGAATATCGAATCCGAATATTCGAAACTTTGCGATTGCGATTATTTGAGAAATAGAATCTTGCGATTTTGAATACTTCAAAGCAAATGTTCGAATCTTTCCGATTATTGCTCCAATTTTTTAGTTTTTGTAATGGTGTTCCGCAAATATAACAGGGTGGTGAAACAAAGCTTGCTTAGGGCTCCATTTGTTGCATTCTTGAAAAGGTATTTCCACATGATGGACCTGTTTGAACCATACTGGTGGTAACTTGGATTCCAGGGCATGTAGGTCTTTACTGAATGGTCTGCGGGTCTAGAGGGGAATTTTTAACACTGTTATTTGAAACCGTAGGGGGAAAGCTGTAGAACCTTGCAGTTTTACCTTTGCGAATATTAATCGAATATTTGAATACTTTGATTGTGATGCGATTATCTAGGTGACGATATTTTGAATATCGAACATTCGATTATTGAAATATTCGACCATCCCTAGCGGAGGCACAATGCATTAAGGAGAGACAGTTCATGCAAACTCTCGATTCTTATCAAAACGTACCCAACATCTATTGAAATCTGATCCAAAAAGTGCATGGATCTTAGTTTGAGGCAAATCTATTACTGTGTAATGAGAGAAAGTGCTTTTCAGAAGAGGTAAGTTTAATTTGATTTGCATTTATTTAAAGGAAAGAAAGGGGGGAAAATATATGTTGGGTTATAATGTCCATTCAACAAGAATATCATAATATCGACGGTGAAACTACCAAACCACGTATCTCGGTTGGACTTCCTGTCATAATTTATTTTTTAAATGAAAAACTACTTAACGTCCAGTCTTGAAAATTTCTGTGATTTTTCCTCTTTGTGCGGAAAGAATTCTGTGAAAATTTTAAGGAATGATATTGATTTGGTCTACTTCCAAAAAATAAAATGCGAGTGTAGATTTTTAAACACCGCAAAGGAGATACGTGGTTTGGTAGTTTCACCGTCGATATGTAATGTCTCTTCATTACGTTTGAATCAAACCCTTGTAGAGTTGAATAAGAATTGCAACAGTGTTCATGATAAAGTTTTCAAGGCTTATTTCTCAATTTGGGTTGTGAAACATGTAATCAATTCGTATTGAAATGCTGGCATGGATGGAGCTACGTTTTCTACCCTTTTAGTCCAGTTTTGGGATATGCTTTTATACATTTTCAAAGACTGTTCAAGCCCTGCAAGAAAATAATTTGCCTTCACCTACCATTTTTGTTTTGTGTTCCAGATGGAAGGAAATAAAGGATGGCAAATGGCGTGGTGTTTTTTTGAACAAAGTTTGGACGCTGTGGAATGACAAAGAGTTCCTTTATTATGAAGTAGAATCAGGAACGCCAAGTCCTTCTAAAAGCTCTAAGATAATGAAACCCTCAACACTTACTGGTGATTCACAACTCAATGATGAAGATCTGCTCCAAAGCTATCTTAGATTGGATGTCCCTTTACAGAAATTTTATAGCGAGTGGTCGAAGAGTGATCCTTTATTTGAAAAAGTTTCAAATGATTTTCTCGGAGTGCGACTTTTAAATCAAGATGTTGTGGAAAATATATTCTCATTCATATGCTCATCAAATAATAATATTATAAGGTAATCATCATCTCATGGCAATTTTTTTTTTTATATACACCAATGGTTTGAAGATAACCTTTTCAAAGAGGGATGGATACACTTTTGCAGGACTGATAGAAGTCAGAAAAGTGTCAGGGCAGTAAGTAATGAGAAAAATGTAGAAAATGAACCAAGCTACATTGCCTTTCGAAGATCATAGCTAAAATCCATCAAACTTCTAGCTTTTACTTTGAATATTAAAGTAGATATCACCTTTTAAAACACATGGTGCATGATGTCATCCCCTGCAAAGCATGGTGGTTTCTTCCACCCATTTATCAATCAGTGTTGCATGCACTTGCTTTGACTGCTTGACTTGAAGCACAGTTGAAAGTAAGGGAAAGAAACTATGGTATGCGCCACTGTAGCGGATGACATCATACACTGTGTTTCTTAAAGCGCAATATCTCTATTATTACTGGACTGGGAAACCTTGGAGTCAAGAACGTCATTTAAGGGGACAGGGGGTGGTTGTTTTCGTGGCTGTTGACGAGCCCTGCGTTGTAGAGTCTAACCAGGAAAAACTACTTGGCTCGTTAAGGGAGGAGAAAAAGGCGCGAAAATCCTGACAACCTCTACAGAATACGCTAGCGGCTGCCCAGCTGAAATGTCGCTCTAGGTCAGTAAAAAAAAGAGAGTTAAAGAATAAACTTGTCATTTTTTGCCCAGCCTTGCAAAAATCTGAAATGGCACCCTTGCTTGGAGTTTTGACAGATCTTAACAGTTACCATTGCGGTTTAAAGTTGGCAGCTCAAGTAACATAGTTTCAAAAACAGGTTATTTAAAATTTTGTTACGCCATGTTTCAAGCAAAACATTTTTATATTTGATTTTTCCCTCAAAAAATTATAATAGCATATAGCTTGAACCTGGAAGTTTTCAATTCTTAGTTGCATGAGTTTAATTTTTTCATTATATATTTATTTTATTCATTTTAAATTAAGAGGATTTAATGTGATAAAAAATTTTAAAAACTTTTGCCGTTACTCTCTTGCAGTAATCTTTTAGGTGAGACGCATTTCGGAGCTCAGAGCTCCATCATCAGTCGGCAGCGAAGTAAAGTTGTTTCCTTTTTCTTCCCAATCTCTGCGTTGGTATTAAACTGTTACCATGTTTTAATGTCTTTGAAGAGCATTTTATTAGTGCCATCCAAATCCGTATTAAAGTTGTTTGTCCTGTGTATATAAATATTTTCTGAGACATCTAGTTCCCTTGGGTTGTTTATTTCTTTTTCTAAAATAGGTTTATGTGCTATATCAAGCTTTTCTAGCCAATGATGATGCGCCACCGTTGATGAGAGGATTTAAGAATGTCCAATCAATCGTATCACCACCAACCATTTGTAGAGACCAAGTTTGATAATCATGATTCAATTCTCTTGTTTGAAATTATTAATAATTTTGTTGATTCCCCCTCTCTGCTTTCTCATATGAATGTTCATGTTCCAGAAATATTACCAGGCATAACCGTCTATTCCATATTTACCTTTCGCTTAGAAATTGGATGGATAGTTCGGTTGTGTCTCGTAGGGATCTGTAGGATTGGAGATGAATTTTCGTAAATTTGTAAATAAATAAAAAATAAATTATTGTATCTGTTAAACCTGTCAATTTTTCTGTTTTTCAAGGATATCATCAATGGTTGAAAAACTATGCTTATTTTACGGAAATGAGATTGCCACTGTAGATGGGATTAAGTATTACAGCTTTCCCAAAGTGACGGCTCTAGCTGATCCATCAGTAGAATCGAAGTTAAGAAGTGCTGGGTTTGGATACCGAGCTAAATTCATTCAGCAGTCAGCTGAAAAAATTGTTGAATTAGGTGAAGAGGCATGGTTGACTAATTTGCAAAAATTGCCTTACATCGATGCTAAAAAGGAGTTAATGAAGCTTGCAGGAATCGGTGCAAAGGTAACTTTCTTATTACCATACTTTTTATTGTTGAAATGTGACAATCTTTGGGTCAAAGGACATGATGGCTGAGTAATTCAAAATTGAGATTTTAACACCATTAAAATAGTGTTTTACGAATATTAAACACAAGAAGCACCTTACAATTTCAAACTAAATCATGGTTGTGCCAGTTAAAAGTTTGCATCTCAAAAAACATAATTTCAAGGAGAAAATATCTTATGTTTTAAATCAGTGTAACCAACTAAAAAATTTCAGAATTACACATGATCAAGCTCAAAATCACGCACTTTGGACCTTGGCGCATCCCTCTAATTTTGCCAAAATTTAGCGTAAAATTACTACTTTAGTATCAGTTTTAGAAAAAACTGCGTACAAATGTATCAACTGTAATTCATTTTATCAACATACCAGGACAAGTCTACCCTAGGGTTTCCGAGCACTTAATTCCTGCACTAAAAAATAGACAACTTACTCCTACTGTCTTCAAATTAAGTGTCCAACTAAAGGAACTAGTCTTTACAGTCATTTATGTTGCTCATTTATAAATTGTGTTTACTTTTTCCCTCCCAATGCTAAAATATCATTCATTCCAGCATCTCATTGACCACCTTGAAGAGAGAATCGCGTCAGAGAGAGCCTCTTCCTTTTTCTGACAAAACTTTCAATCTCGTACTGCTTAAAGCGCTTTACGCCAAGCACTTTTTCTCTCTTTCTTAAAGGCTAATGCATCTAATCATTACTGTTAATAATACATTTTCTCTTCATAGGTTGCAGATTGTATATGTTTAATGTCCTTAAACCATCTCGAAGCCATTCCTGTTGATACTCATGTTTTTCAAATCGCTCAGAGGTATATGCCTCATTTGAAGAAGTGCAAGACTGTAACCGACAAGGTTTACAATGAAATTGGAGAGTATTTCCGTTCATTGTATGGTGTTTATGCCGGTTGGGCTCACACGGTATGTGAACTTTACTGTAATCCACTGTAGTGTTGTATTTATAATTTTTGTTTACTGTTTGGTCGTGTTTTACTATTTTTTTGTTCTATAACATAAAACTATGCGCCACAGTTTTATGTTTTCAATAAAAAAAAATAGCAACTGTAAACTATTCTTACATTTTTTTTAGAGATTGGGCTGGCAATTCTCATTGTTCTCTGGAACTAATGAAGATTCTTGTTTGGACAATTTTATTTTAACCCAAGATGCTACTGACGATCTGATTAACTAACGATCAAAAACTAAATTTTGTGGATCTGTTTACACTAACAAATAATACATGGTGTGGAGCACATGTTAGTTATCAATGTGATTTGAGGCTGTTTATTAACTGACTCCGGTTTTTGCATACCAATTTGAGTTATTGATGCAAAAACCATCGGCCTGCTGGTAAGTCTTTGCAATGATTGAAACTTATGAAGAAGATTTTCCTAGGGTGAATGATCAAAGATGATACTCATTGGTTAGATCCAATTTTTTTTTTGCAGATCAGCCAAAAGAGGCTGTACATGAATTGAAACGATCCTTTTTTCTTATTTAAAAAACTGAGTTTTCAGTTTTCATGCAAATATTTATGATTGGGTTACTCTCTGAAATGATGTCGTGATACCATCTTTGTGTTTCAGATCCTATTTTGTGCAGATCTGAGAAAATTTCAAGATGTACCGACTAATAAGGAGCATACTATAGAATCTATCAAAGAAACGAAAAAAGTTGCTGCCATGAAACGGAAAAATGCGCCTACAAAAACTGCTGTTAAGAAAGCAAAGAGAAAATGATAGGGAATTAACTTCTTCGGCAGTCCCCTGTAAAAGTGTGATGAATCTTTTTTAATCTGACTCTTTTTTAAGAGAAATGTGTCCAGAATAAGTTGATGTGAAGGCAGTAATGAATGCTTTTATTATTTTACCCATTGATTTAATTGATTATGCTCCTTCTTCGGCAAAAAGCGTTTTTTCCCGTCTAGTGCAAAAAGTTCCCGTCTGCATTGAATGACGTTTTATTTAAACTGAGACATGCATAAAAGCTGTAGCTAAATTGATGTGCACAGATTCAAAGAATCTATTAGACGAATTTATGCTAAAAAGAACTATGTTGCGTGCAAACTCTTTGCAGTTAGTTCCTTTTAGCATATGTACATTCTATTGGTATTCACTTCTGCAGTAGAAGACTACAAACAATGTGTTTTCTCAGAGCTATGTTTCCATTATTACTAAGGGTGAATACTTGGAATCAGGACAGATTTTTTTATTTTTCATTTTTCTAATAATTACTACCGTCACCCCACTAAACAAGGTCCAAGATGGCTTTTGACATGTCTTTATTTTCCGAGTGCCCAATCTGAAATGTTTACTTTCATTCTCTCTCCCTCCATGAGACAAATGTGTGAAATAAATACGGAAAAGTTTTAATATTTTATCAAGCTATAGGGAATTTTAATACCTTTCACTAAGATTTTAGAAATCGTCACCGGGAGGAAGGGGGTCAGAATGAAATTGTTTTGAAGAATTCCGGACCGTGTATTTATTCACCTCATTGTCAATCTAATATTTGATAAGCATTTCAAGTATTTTAGTTTCTAAAAATGGGAAAGAAGAAAGTTATTAGATGATTTCAGTATAAAAATAGTTTTTTCTTTTTTTACTTTGAGTATAAAAAGTTTTATTTACAATTATCATTGCATAAAATTATAAAAAGGATAAAATCCATACAAAATTTATATAAAATCAAACATAAAAGATAAAATAACATTAATTTAGCAAAACTAAAAATCTATTTTTTTGAATTTTTTTTCATAAAAATTACCCTGAATAAATAAGTACAATTCCATGAATTTTAAAGCCGAGAGGAATCCAAGGCACAGCATGTAATCTGTAACAAACAAAAAAAATTCACATCAAAATTTAAACAAATTTACTATTTTCCTATGTAAAAATTGGATTTTCCTGGCAGAGATTTTCGGAGCTGGGTAGTGATAATAAACGTCACAACGTTGTGTGTGAAAATCTTTCCGTAGATGTTTTTCTGGGCAGAAATGCTAGTGTTCTAATCTATCTAACATGGTAAATCTTTCCTGTGATCTCCTCAGATTTGAAAGTGTGTTTGAAGTTGGATAAATCTCGATAAATTTGTATTTTTACCTTACAGTCTGTGACTGTTTTTCAATTTGCCATTTTAAGTGCTCTCGTCATATGTGCTATCTTAAAAAAATTAATCTTTTGCTTTCAAGAGCACAATAACATAAATGACATCATTTTAGTGACCGAAACAGACAAGTTTAGTTGAAACGAGGTGTCAACTATTGCATTGTTAATCTTTGTAACTATTGATCAATAAAAATGATTCAAAACAACCGTTTACTGACTGTAAATCAAATGATTCAAAACAACCGTTTACTGACTGTAAATCAATCTCATTCGTCAAAGAGGAGCAAAAATCAAACCATTCTTAATAATTACAGAACCTAATTACTAGTTAAGTTGATAAGAGAAAGAAATATTAAGTCATAATGACGTTGGTATTGTTAGTTGAATGAATTAATATTTCAATAAATGTTACATGCTAACATGGGTAAAAAATTAATATTAGGACCTTTTCATGAAAATTTCAGACACTGATTTAAAAGGAAGTTCAATCACCACACTGGTGTGTTAAGGTATAACATCCTATGAGCCTTAGGACTTTGCTAAATTTTGCTTAATAAAACATGAAGTTTCTCGGAAATTCGTGAATGTGTTCCATTTTTCAGAAAATTTTATTAGCGATTCAATCTAAAATATCTGAAAATTACGAAGAAAAGTATTCATAAAATTTCTTGAAAATAAATATTTTGCTGAAGAAAGTTTGGCAATTTCCAAAGATTCATACAGCGTTTCTCCCTAGCCAGTGCGGTCCGATACGCCGAAGCGGACAGTTGTCGTAGCTCCCGTGCTCTCTTATCTGATTTTGTGATAACGTTGTGCGCTGTAAATACGAGGCCGGAGTGGCCTATTTCTATTCGAAGTGCCACACTCTAAATTTTTCCTGTTTTTCGTTAAAGTAAATAATATCTACCCCTGCTATGGCGGGGGTAGCTTCGGATCCTCCCCCACAGGATCCACCTACAAACAGTGATGTGATTACTGCCCGTTCCCTTTCGGAAGACATTCTTAATGCGGACCTTCGTCCTATTCTTACTGACTCCCGAACGCACGAGTCCATTAAAACTTATATGGCCAAGGCCCAAACTGTAGTGAGTGAACTCAATAAAATTGTGTTAAAACAGCGGGAAGAAAAACAAGCCTTAAAGGCACAGTTTTCTCAGTCGCAGTTAGAAACAAATAAACTCTTATCTAGCCTGCAAACTCAAATTGACACTCTAAAAGCGGCTCCGTCGCAAAACCATTCTGCTCCGGCGAATACTAATGTAAATGTTTCTTCTAAGAAACAAAAAACTGTTCAATCGAAGTTAAGTTTTCAATCTCAACTTTCCCGGAAGAAACCTGCACCGACTTCAGAACCAAATCAGCCAGGTACTCCTACTCATAATAAATACGCTCAATTGGACGAT